CCGTTCCTTTTAACTTACATATTAAAAAAATGAAATTTGTAAAGTTCGAAACTTAGATATCAATATAAATACCAAAAAATACAAACAGAATATCAGTTGTTTATTGAGTTTTGAAAACTAATACGCTTTCATACTCGTACTTGAAATAAAACCGGAAAATTGTCATGGAGAAATCAAAAAAGCAGCGACATCTAGTTTGATTTTGGGATCTAATGTATTTTTTTAAATACTTCCTCATTCTCCTTAAAATTGTATTGTTTATAGGTACATCATAGAACTTATTAGAAAATAAAATAATATAAAGATTTTATTGATTGTTTGTTTAGATCGCAAAGGCTCTTTAACGATTTTAAAAATTCTAACAACTACGGAAATTATCATACGCGGGTTACATCCTATTAATCCTATTTAATATTATAAATGTGAAAGTTTCTTTGTTTGGCTGTTTGTGTGTTAGTCCGTCAATCATGCTGAAACTACTGAAATTATTTTGATAAACTTTGGTATACAGATAGGGTATTAACTGACTTAGATAATAGGATAATTTTTATTCCACTGAATATTTCCTTAGGCACTGGCGATAGATAGTAGGCTATAATTTAATGACATAATTGTCTATTAAATTTATATAACATATACCGAATGAGAGAATTCAGAAAAAACAAGAGTTTTTTTTATTAAAAACATAATGCGTCGGTTAATTAATTAACTGGGTAAATTAAGATTGTACAGTTGTCTTTTTATATTGGCCCGAACCCTGAATCTCTTGTTGTTTATGACGAAAGAACTTTCTGGTTAATGCTAGAAAAAAATGTACTTACTCAGGTTTTTTTTGTACAAATAAGCATACGCTCATAAATATTCCTCCCATTAGTTAAGTCCACAAATAGTTGTATGACATTTCATATTATATTTGAAATTTATGAAAATTAAGATTGAAAAAAAATTTTCTAAATTCAGACTGACAGAAAATTTTGGAAAGCGGTCGCAAGCCCCGCCACGTGTACAAACAATGTCAATGACGTCACGTTACATAATATTTACTAACAATTCAGCATTCGAGGGTATTTCTATATTTCATATCATGCAACCAAACATTTCAAAAAGCTTATTATAAAGTATCCGATTATATGACAAATAAGATTGCTTGGACTTAAGATGGTCCAGCAACTAGATAGGTGATTTCTTATAAACTCATTATATCAAAAATTATCTTGTTTCCATTATTATTCAATTATTATGTTAACATTATCAGACCAAAGTTTTTTTCTCTCTATTTATAATGTATTGATCTGGCAATGACATGGTTTTTGTGAATGTCATTACTCCTATTAGAGCTGATGAGTTTCTTGCTCGTTCTTCTTATCAGCTAAAAGACGTTCTAAACGAGTGGTAGGGATAAAAATGTTGAACGATTCAAAAGTACTTCTATTTGAAAAATATTATTTTGACTTTGACTTTTAATTTCTTACATATCTACTCTGAATAAATCTATGCAAATATTATAAAGAGTAAACATTTGGTTGTTTATTTATTTGCATCATGCAACTACTGGACTTCTTTTAAACATTCCTTCACCTACGTCATACGTGGGTGACACATGCTATAATATAACAGAGATAACAGTGCTCTTTCGAATATTATAGCAAATTGAATAATTGTAGTCGTTGTCTTCGCTTAAATATTTTTATGTACGTCCATTGCATTTTAAACACTTTTTTAGTCTGTATACAAAGTTAAAATATTATAAAAAGTTGTGGAAGTTGATTTGTCAGCCCGACGTATCAATCAGGGTTAAAACTTTAGCCGTATAAACTTATTTTTAATTACAACCTATTTTAGTTTTACCTAAACGTTTATTTTGTTCATATTAGCCTCGACTATGAATAAAATACATAGTCGAGGCTTTAACAAGGGTATTACCGCCAGCCCATAAAATCTTTTATGATATCAATAACAATTGTTGATATGCTAATTAGTATAATAATGACAATTCCTGTTTAATTATAAATACGAGAAAACTAATCGAAATATAGTAAAAGTTTCAGTTAATCGAGTAATAAAATTATTAAATTTAATAAGTAATTTCCTTTTAGCTTTACCGAGTTCACATATTAAAACGTCAATTGACATTAAATGTAATCCTGTTCCTTATCCTATGTGCAATAAGAGTGGAAAAATATCATCATATATTAACGTCCCGCTGCTGGAGTCTGTAGCTGTGCTTTTCCTATGAATGGGATTGTATAGGGAAAAAGAGCTTTAACCCACCATGGGATCCAGTGCTAATTGGTGGGCGTTACCGGATGTCAAGTGCAGCTTAACGTGCCTTCCGAAGCACGGAAGAGCTCGAGATAATAAGTTTTTGGTCACCCATCCTATGACCGGTCATTGAGAAAGTTTCTTAAACTTTGGCAACGTAAATCGAACGCACTAACGAATGCGCAATGATTTATATTTCTAGGTCAATCGTTAATAGGTATACTAGAAGTTAACCAAAGTTTAAAATACGATGAGTGTGTGAGTAATCTTAACGTACAACAAAAAGAGAATGTATATGGAATTGTTTGAAAAGTATCAAAAACTTTTATAAGAACTGTTGTCATAACAATACTAAAATATGTCGCGTACAAAAAAACTTAAAATGGAAATGTTAAATCAGATTCTACGCCCTTGAGATTGATGACACCGATTGATGTGACGTCGCTCGTACATCGATCTTTTCGAATGAAATTAAAACCACCATCACGTACATGGCGGCAATTGGTATTACCCACAATGTCCCAGCATCTACAAAATGATAAGGTCAATACCCCACAGTTTAGACTATAGTGTCAAATTTTGTTTTTGTATTAGAATGTAGTTGAATAATTCTAAAATTCATAAATTTGGTAAAATAGGCCGGTACAAATTTGACAAATACAAAGCGTCTCATGAAAGATATGTGTCATTAATATCATAACATTTCCAGTTCTGTCTGAGATTCCGCGATCTCATCTTCCATAGATAAGCGTCGACCCCTAATTATTTTACGAACATTCTTTCTTTTCATCTTTATCGGTGTGGCTAAATTATATTAACTTATTATAGTTATGTAATGTAAAGATATTTAATGTAACATCGAAGTATTTTTCAGTATGTCAACTTGAGATCTGTTTTAATCTTAAGTGGTCATTGATTAGATATTCAATGTAGTTTTATCCAGTTTTATGAGCAAAAAATAGAGTTGTTGTAACAACTATTTACATTTAAGTGCATAGTAAAAATTATTTTAAACTACCAACTGTATCAAATAGTAATGTTTTGGGCCACAAAAAGCTATAGTTAGTTGTTTTAATAGAGCTTACAAAGCGGCATGATCATCGGGCGTCCGTGAGGGTCGGCGACCGAGTTCGGCTGCCACGGCCGTTCATTCACTCGCTCCTGCGCATCAGCTAGGTATATAATATGGCATCAACGTAGAAGTTTTCGCGAGCGCCTATTTGCGTCTCTCGCGGCCAAGGTGAGGGCCACGATAACCAATAGCCATGGAGTTGCAAATAAACATTCGGTGATAATGACCCCGTATAATTTATTCTACTCTTGGGTGAACAATTACGTCAACTTCGAGTTTGTCATTCCATTTGCTTTGTAATAGCGTGATGTTTTCCTCATTCGATAGCGTCTCTTAACAACCGTTTCCTTATTAATACATATATACTAGTTGCCTTCTCATATTGTTATAGGAAGACTTCTAGTAATTTCGCATTGAAATGAAATATTTTCAACCGTTCTATTGTATGTTTACGTATTGTTTTTTTGATAATACGTAAACATACAAATTAAAGATGACTCTTTCAAGGGCGTGACTAAGATTAGAGATTTGATCAATGTTGTCAAAATACTTTTCTATATTCTCAATGTTGAATCATTGATATTGTGTGCACTTTTTTCATGTGCCTTAAAATATTTGAATTGTTTTTGACCTGTAGAAGTTCAAAGCAGAAGGTTGTCGCTGCACCTGCTCCTAAACCTATCTATTTTATTTATGTTTTCCTTATCTATCTGAGCTATCAATAATATAAGAATAATAGTCATTAATTTTGAACCTACCGAAATACTTCAGCTTGATAGGTACATATATGAAATCTGGGTAGTATATATAGTATTGTTCTATATTAATTCTATATTTACACTAAAATTGCAAAATGTATCTGTTTTATTTTTGAGAATATCCTTTTTATCACAATCGCAAACGTTGAGCAAGCCAACACATATTAAATATAGGAATAACATGGTATATTTTTTTATCTGCGTGCTTAATGGCGTAACACAAGTTCGTTGCCCCGTCGTCAATCGCCTGTAGTTGTGTTTGTGATAATACCTATAGGTGTGAGTAAACAAATTGCAAACTCATGACTCTGCGATATCAATAAATAAGAATAACAGCCTTCGAGAGAAGAATAACAACAAATACTCCGTCGAAACTTAATAAGAGAATTACTTCTGATTAATAATGCTACGAAACATACATTATAAGCTATTATTGAAAAATGGAAAACTAAATTATATTTCTAAGAAACTTCAAAAGCTAATTGTAAAAATAATTCTTAAAATCTACAGAGGCAGGTAACTTTTTAAAACTTTTTGAACAGGCGCTTATATTCATGCAGGCAGATCTCTTCGCATTCAAATGCAGATTCTTACCGAGACAGCTCCAACTTAAAATTAAAAAAATCTGTTTAAAATAAAGATATTAATGTATAAGATTTTTATTTTTACTTACTAATTTACAATCTGCCCCTCTGAATTTCTTTGAGTATTCAGATAGAATACTATAAGATATTAATTTATTCTTGGTATATTCGTCATTGCGGAGGTTAAGCAATATTCCCAGCTCTCATGGGATGGGTAACCAATCCGTCGTGGACTGATCGAGGTCTGCTTTTCCTATATTATTTCTATCCATATGGCCTGTGACGCAATTTTTTGTTATTTTTAATTTGCCATTTCTTTTCCAGGACATGCAAGAGGTACTGGACGAAGACTCAGAAATGAGCGACTGGTTGATACGCGACTCAAAGTCTGGTGTGGTGCTACACGACCGGCTGATGACAGACGCAGCCCTGGGCGCAGCGCCCATCAAGACAGAACACTCGTACAGCCTCCACTCAGACGTTGAGTCCGCGCCCTCCTCGCCACACCACACCAAAGTTGATGGTTGGTATTTAAAATAGGCATATCTGAAGAATACTACATTCGGATATATTTTATCTGTATTCCACATCGGATACATTTACGTTATCGCTTTATCAAATAATATTTCGAGAAAGAAGAAACTTACAGTTGAGTATTTTAAACATATTTGGTACAACATGCATTATATTAATGCGTACTGCATTAATATAATGCATTATTTCGTTTTTAATTCTCGGAAATGTCATTGCATTAGGGTTACCAAATATGTAGAATTAAATATTGGGGCTCTTTAAAAAACAACCTCTTTTCTAGAAATATCTCGCAGGCTTCGCGAGCGACTGATTAATGTAGTAATTTTGTTTATTATGTTAAACTTCTCCTTAACAGGATATTTCCTTTTCTATCGCGACTTTGGACATAGTCCAAAAATTCGGGAATATGGTAGGAAACGTCCGAAGTTTCGAACGAAATTTCGTTTTTCGGTGAATTAGAGTAGGCTCCCAGAAGGATCACGCGGTGACCACGAGTCTTTAGATTTTTTTATATGATAATCAAAAGCTCTAATCAAGAAAATTTAAAGTTTATTTGCAATGTACCTATGTGTGGTATATACAGTTATTGGTAGACCTTAAGAAGATAGAATACGTACGCTTGTAGAACAAAATGTAGCAAACGATAATATGAGTCTTTGATTGGTGCAAAGTACCTATCGAGTAGCTCGTTGGCGCAGTGGATAAGCGCTACGGCCTGCAATCGTTTTTGTTAAGCAACTTTCGCAAGGGTCGGTTACGGGATGGGTAACCAAAAAAATATTATCTCAAGGTACTCCGTGCTTCGGAAGGCACGTTAAGCCGTCGATCCCGACTGCATTTGCAGTCGTTACCAATCTCTCCAATCAAGACTCTCTAATCCGTATTGGGCTAGCGTCGAGTATGGCCCATCTTCTTTAACCATTCGTAAGGAAGGCCTGAGCCCCTACAGTGGGGACGTAAAAGGCTAATGATGACCTATTGGCGTATTATTTTAATAGGAAGAGTTAACACAGTTACGCTTAAAATTCGCCATTATTTAAATGTCTTCTCATATTAATACTATTTTTATAGTGATTTTTGATCTTAGATTCGTAACCGATGATCTATATTTGATCCGAGTATAATGGCTTGCTCTATCTAATGCGTTGATTTCGTTTGTTTTTTTTTATCTTCACACTCAGCCTTCACTCTCTAACTACATAATTTAATTATAATCATGTATAATCTTATTTCACGATTATGTACGTGCAAAACTCTGCTTTCTTTCAAACTTTTAAGATCACGTTCTGCTTAAGCAGTGAATGCATATTATTCAAAATAAATGTGTAATAATAAAAGGAAACGTTTGTCACAAAGTCGGTATTGCAATGTCGTTGCCTTCTTTCATACGATATGCAGTTTCATCGTCCAATGACTAATCCATTGTTAAAAGAGTATTAAAACGAATTATTAATAAAAGATATTAAACGTACGTTAGTTACTCACACTGATATTGTAATACCAAAATCTATATTGTATGTTAATAAATAAAACGTTGTTTTGTGAAATGAAGGTAAATATTTAAAATAACTACGCCTCTAAGGATGATATCATACAGTAACCGAATTATGACTGTCATGCGATTATGGTTGAGCCCAGAGGTACATCACTACATGGTATAAAACAAAGTCGCTTTCTCTGACCCTATATCCATATGTATGCTTAAATCTTTATAACTACGCAACGGATTTTTAGATGCGGTTTTCTTTCATAGATAGGGTGATTCAAAAGGAAGATTTTTATGTATAATACAAGACCACGCGAGCGAAGCCGCTGGCGAAAAGCTAGTTCATAATATTAAAAATAATCATCAATATATTAATGAAGAAATCGTGAAACATACATACAAAAACATTGAATCGAATTGTTAACTCCTCCTTTTTGAGGTAAAAAAGGACGCCAATCCCATAATTGGCCTTTAAGAACGTTTCTTAACCTCCGGAATCATAAACCGAAATGGTTAGCAGATTTCTATATAAATTATTAATATAAATTATTTAATTAATCCGAAGAATTTCTTGGAAATTCGAAATGCTTAAGTAAATACTAGACACAATAAAAAAGGTAAAAGATAGTCGCCGTCGAACATATAACCTCTTCCTCCTTTTCGGTTTTGAAGTCGGTTAAAACAACACGATATTACTCGTGTGTATCCACGTGTACAAAGTAAATAATATTTACGAATAAGTAAGCGAATATCAACTGAAGTAGGTTTTCTACTTAGATCAAATTTCATATTTTCGCTACTGACGCTTAAGTGGCATGAAAGATATAGGTATCTAATATTACTTTTCCCTTCAATAAACTAATATAATCATACCAAAATCATAAAGGTATATATATTTTTCAAGTATTTAAGGAGATATAAATAATATATTTGAAATTCCCCGTTAATTTATACTGTGATAACAAGTACTTGCCCTTTCTGTTTTTTTTTTTAACTAATGGAAATACATAAGTTCCTAATGTCTTACACCTGTGTCTGATATTTCTTTGCATATAATAAGTTTATTAAAAATGTGTAGAGGTACTTTTAATATTCTTGAATTTGCTTGCAAATTTTTGAAAATTATTCAATAGATGTCAATTATTTTGCGGGCAATGGAAACTGACTAATTCATTTATAACTTATTTTTGCTAAAAAATAATAACATTATTTTAAGAAAATAAGTAAAATAACTATAAGTTCAGTTTGTATGTGAAAAAATAACATAGTTTAATGAAATTCGTTAACCATTTTCTCAAAAATCCAGCTGACTAGAGATAATATTTTGCGATCGTTTATTTAAAACCTTAAAACCTTGAAAATTGAGGGCTTCATCATACAACATGAAACTTAATTCCATGCTCAGATGGGACATCCTTTCCACCAAAAATAATTTATCTACTGTGGTGTTGCGTAACACGCATGTATAATACTATTAAATCATATGAGTAATGTGTATATTAATTCTAATTAAATTGTTATAGTATGGAACGAATTCCGCCTATTTAACAGTATATTCACAGGTGATTCGACGCCATTGTAAAGTTGATAAAACAAACTTAAAGTTAAAGTCAACACGATGTTTTTATCATAATAAACACGAAGTGTATTCATTTCAAATATTTTTTGTAAATATAAAAAATATGTTATGATGAATTGATATTACAGGTTGTTTTCTCATTATATTAACACATTTATTTGTAAGTTTTCGGCCTATGTTTATTACATGTAAACGAGGAATTAACGTACTGTTGGCTGTGTGATAAAAAAAAAACAAAATATTTGAAATTTGAAGAAGCATTCCGAGTTGCATATAAAATTGACACTACATACAGCACGTTCAGATAATTCCTAACTTAAGTATGCACTAATAAATACAAGACTGCACGCAACATCTGATAATGACAATGTATAATCGTGCCTCTTTGTTAATTTTATTATTTATGATGAAAACGGATCTAACACATCTCTGAGCTATATTATAAGATTTATCAAAACAATTAAAGTGACTATTTACATTTTATTGAAACTGACACATTTTATAATTGTACACGATAATTTTTTACATAACACCACATATATTTTATTTATGTATATATTTTTAAACTGTTTAAAGAAAATTAAGCTCGGACAAGCCAGTGAAGCCCGATTTAGCTAGTGATATATAAAATAAAGAACGGCTAAAAAAATCAAGTTAATTTGTTTTAGAGGAAACAACCGATATTGCTACGTGAGGTCGATTCTTTTGTTTTAAAATTAAATTAAAACGGGACAATATTGCCTCTCTTTTTTCTCGGGAAACTGAAATGGGGAAATCCCGTTTTAATTACAGGTACAACTTACAGTTACCTACTTTTCTTGTATTATATTATTATGTAACTGACACCATTTCCCACGACATTATCTTCACCACTAAATTCTACTCGTTTATTACAATTATAAGTAATGAAAAAAAAACATTAGTTTTTAATTAGCTTTTGTAAAAGAAAGCAATTCGTTTTCTTTTGATGTTATTTTATCAAACTACTAACCATTTCTTGTGTGAATAAAATGGATGGAGAAATAAATAACAGCTCTTTTTGATATTTTTATAAACCTTATTTGTCTTTCGAAACCTAGCTTCTTATTTTGGTAACCATTTCGATGGAATACAGTAATAATTATGTTGGATAATTTATAACGCTTACACCTACATCTATTATGCGTTCGACTCTGCTTTTTACATACTATTTGTTTTGTTTATTGAATGCAAGAAGGCTTATATATTAGGGCATCCACAGACATATGTAAATAAATATGTCTGTGAGTGAAACTAAATCTATACTAATATTATAAAGAGGTAAAATTTCTAGCTTTGTAGCGGTAATCTACGGATATACTGATCCAATCAGGAAAATTCTTTCACCTATTGATAGTTACATTATACGCAGGTTGACATAGGCTATAATACTACAACTTAATTATTTAGGTAATTTAAGAACTGAAAAGGGGCAATTTTACGATTGATATATGAACAAAATCTTAAAATTTTGTTATATGTGTGTACGGTGTATAATTTATACATTTTATACTATGAAATTGACGATTAGCAGTACGTCATGTCATACAAATTGTTGAATTTTTAATTCTTAACACATTGAGAGGTTATGTAGGTACTATGGTATAACTGTTGTTAGTACGTAGCCAAAAGTTTAATACCGACAAAGAGAACAATTAAATCAACTTTTAAGATGAATGTTATTTTATACTTGGTAGATAAACATTTATTTACTGTTTGTATCGATGCCTGTAATTTACAATATAATAACAAATAAGACCTTTTGCTGCCTTAACTTTATCTCCCTTATAAAGAATGTCAAGAGCAATTTTATCTAAAATTCAAGGTCAATTAAAAGTCATTCAGCATGACATGAAGACCGAAGCCTCATTCCGTCGATGGCATTTACCCAATATTATTTTACGCCAAGGTTTATTTATTTTCCGTGGAGCTGTATACCTACTATAATCTTATATGAACCAATACTCAGTCACCTAAAATAATGTGTTTAAAAAAATTTATGGTCTAAAAATGCTTCCAGTGAACAGGGGCTAGTCATAGACAACATGAGTATTTTTCCGTATTTTTCCCAAATCAAATGTCTACTTCACAAACATCCTATTAACTAAGTTCTGCACTCTTACACAATATATTTCCTCCTTTAGCAACAGAACTTAAATTAATTAAAAAAAAAACTTTTTATTATATACTATAAAAAACCTTATTCAATGTTTGTCGCGCCAAAAGTAAAAATAATTTGAGTAATTGTGTTGGCCCTTGCAGATGTCGAAGTATTTAAACTTAAATGAATACAAAAATGCATGCAAACTTATAATAATAACTGATACTTATTGCTCTAAAGTATTGCAGGTTTCTTGCTCAACTACATGTAGTTAGTGACTAGTGTCAAGCCCAATTCAATTTTGTGGAAGGCAATCAAAGAAATATGTTATTTGAGGTGCGGTCGCCGTTTTATTCACATAAGGCGCACTGACATTTGAGCGTCACCGGCACGGCACATTCACCCAAAGATACCTTTCACCAAAATAAGTTGCAAATTAAACCGAGTTCAAGTTGAGTGTGATTAAATTTAATGATTGCCTTGACGCAATAATGTGTATGGCTACTATAGGAAAGAACGGTATCTCCCCATTTTGCTTTTGCGGTAGGTACTTGGTGTAACTGTTATGTGTTTGCTTTAATGTCTTTTGAATATACAATTAATCTACACTAATATAATAAAGAAGAAATGTTTTATTGCTTGTATTTATGCACTGAATAGACTCCGAAACTACTGAATTTATATTTTTTGTTGAATATTTAAAATTCTTTCACTTTATATATAATTTACGCGGACGAAGTCGCACGAAAACTACATTATGTATACAAAAGTTATTTGATACAAGAACTTTGAAATTAGCGTGCTTATATATCTTAATTAACACGTTTGCATTAATATTACCTACTTCGCAACAAATGTCAGTTTGAACCAATATAGTGGAAAAAATATTGAAAAGTTAATCGTTCGTTATACATAATAAATGCTGTTTCGCTTATTAGTTCCAATAAAACGCGAGAGGCTGCTGCAATTCGGAATTAATTTAAACGAATATATTAACACCTCGAGCAAAGGTACACACACTACTATGACGACATTCAATCGCACTGCTAGACAGAATAAATTTTGACGTAATTTACACATGCCTGTTTCCACATATATTCCAGATTCGAGATCTCAAGTTTCTGATTTAAATTAAATATGAATATAAATAAATTTATGATTTAAATTAACGTTTCCACTTAAAGAGACGAATTTTTAATAATTTACCGCTCACACAATGTACCCTTTTTCTTTCCATCAACTTCCAAATGAAGTTGGATACAAAGCTATAGTAAATACGAGTATATTAATTTTCTCGTCATTCTCTTATACAAAGTATACGACTATACAATATCCAAGATAAATCGCATGTTTATCACCAAACACGTAATGCTTTCAATAGGAAGCAGCTAGTATAATTATACTGTAATACTCATTTAACTGACTACTAATCAAGATAGGGAAATCGTAAATCATATAATCAAACTATTAGTATTCATCTGGTAACTAATTACCCGGACTGTGGTTCATGCAAAAAGGAGACTTATGATTTTAACTGATATGAGTGTATACTCATCTGTGTCCTCTCAACTTTTCAACTGCTTATTTAGAAGCTTTTCCATATATTCAGATAAGGCAAAATAAAATTCTCCTTGATTACAGATAAGAACATTTCTTAATTAATTTCAAATAAAATAGTTTATTAATTTTACCCATAATATGTGTGTAATATTGTTATTCGATTTGCGTAAATTTTAATGTCAGTCTATGTGGGTTATATTGTTTGTATGTTTGTTCACGTATTACTCGTGAATTAGACATCGGATCGCAATTACTTTTTTATTTGTTTAATGCCTTACAAATTAAGGAACAATTTTTTCTTTAATCAAACTGACTTACTCACCTACGCAGAACCCCCGTCAGACTACAAATAACTATGAATCTTTAATTAATTTCCACTTTGTTTAACTTGTTTTTTTATCGTTTCATGAATCTTCAGTAGTCTGGTATTAGTTTTAGACGTAACTTTTTTTCCTGGCTCAGAATAGCGATTAAGCGTTACGTTATATTAATCGATTAAAGTTATGTCGTTACGAACTACCCACGCATTTGTGTTATGATGTGCGGTAAAACGTGGGCGTTTGTATTCAGTTTGCTAAATTTGACCTTTAAGTAATCCACAAAATATACCTTATCAAGAGAATGAAATAAGGTCTTAATATAATTCATTATAATATATCCACAAAACGTAATTCTAATGTCATACTTAAAATAATTCCAATTCTAATGAAGCACATAAAATATAAAATGACCTATTTTATCATTGTATAGAATTTTATTATTTTGTATATTTTACATTATAATTATTAAATTATTCAGCCCCATTTTGTACCTATATAGCTTAGACTATAAACTTGTCTATAAATTATTCATTGGTAATTCGCATAATGAATACTTTATCAGCAAAAAAAAAATTAAGAAGAAAAATACATATTTTATTGCGAATATAGGGATATATATATTTAAATGTTACATTGTTTCGTTTCAGACATGGAAGATGAATGTTACCCAGCCATGCCAGCGAGTGCGTGGAGCAGTCGACGGCGCTCCAGTGATTCACCCCCACGGGAGGTGAAGACAGAACCCAAGTCAGAACCAGAATCGCCAGCCTCATCCTGCCCACCCTCCCCCACGCCCGGCACACCTGTCACACATCTCGACTACGTCATCGACCACACAGTAAGGATTTATCTATATCTTCACGCCGTATCCCGTGCAGGATAAACAATACATAATGGATTATCCGTATAATGCCACGAAAAACATTTTCTTGCAAAAGCTTGCCAAGCAGAACCAAAGTCCCCATGGCAGACTACGCAAGGTAACAGCCGAGAACTATGTCACTATTAGCCTAAAAACAGGGAAGAAGTTGCTCATTATTCCTACTTCAAAAACAGGTAATAATATTGTACGATAATTCAATATTTCCTGTTTTTCCGTGAAATAATATTGTATGTAGTAAATTCATTTATTACATACCGTGCCTAATTTATTTTTTTTATCAACAATTCCGTATATTTTTTTGTTATAAAATAATCTCAATGCGAAACATGAGTTTAAATCATGAGTTTAAAACTCATGAAAATATTTACCCAACGCAATTCGGACGGTTTATTTCTCGCTGTATGTAGACTTGGCGCGTTGCGATGAAAAAAAAAAGGCTCGGTGATTTTGCATACTTTCCTAACATCCCTCGATGGTTAATATTGATTACTGAATCGAATGTACATTTGTTCTCCTTCTTGAACAGATAACTATTAGTTCTTAGAATTCAATTTTTGTTTATTACACAAACTTATTACTTAACTCTCTCGATATAGACGACTTAATTCAATTCAATTAAGTCGTCTATATCGAGAGTAGGAAATTAATTAGGTATGTGGCTGAATTATGTGTTAGTCTTCTTTAATACATCATTTGAATCACGATCTTCAATCAAGAAAAAAAAAATAAAGGTCACATGAGTTTAACTAGCCATCACCCACTTCTCAACTTTCGCCGGTAATCCGGTCGCCATCATTGTAACGTTTAAGGTCATAGCACATTAAACGGCGCGACGCCAAACCAGCGATTAATATGTCGTTTAAATTTGTCTATTAAATCGTATGTCATATAATACCTATGTATATTACGTATGCCTATTTAAAAAATCGGCAACTTAAGAAAGCTATCAACTTCAAGTTATTAGGTTAGCTCGCACGCTTCAAGCATGCTTACATCCTGCCGACGCCAAAAATTCCACCATGCGCATCGTCGCCGGCTTACCAATAGCAATAATTTAAGACTCGTGGTGTCGGAGCTTGCATCTCGCGGGTAGTAGTGAGCTCTAATTAAAATTCTAAACAATTTCGTGTTGTTGCTGATCCGCTTAAATGTACAAGACCTCTAATATTACTTGGTATCGGCATTTAGGTGAGAATAAGCTATCAACATCATGTAAGTAATAATTTACATGATGGTGATAGCTGATAAATGAAAATAGGCATGGTGATGCTCAAGCTAGGTTCGTCCTTTTAATATGTAGTGCAGTCCAGAGTACGTCAGGTTATTACAAAAAGCCGTTAAATGTTTAAGTACTATTATGCAGTATATTCAAATCGTAAAAAATGTATTATGAACCTTTTGAAAAAAAAAACCGTGTGCTGGATGGTCTACATCTATTTACATTGAATTTTATTTTATTCTTTGCACTAACCACTTTCCATTTATTAAATTAAAACTTCTTATTTTATTTTATATTTTGTATTATCTGGGTCCGTTGTCTTAAAGTAGTTCATAGTTTTGTATGTATTGGTTTTCTATAAAACTGCCAAACGAATGGTAACCGCGACGGTTTCATAATAATAATGAAACAAATTAAAAGCGTATTATTTTGTTTAACATATTTGGACATAATAATGATATCAACTACAAAATAAAACAGAGGGAGCCACACGCTCTATAAAAAAGAAACAAATACAGGTGATAATAACACATGTATTTACCTGTATTATTGGTCTGTAAAACATAGCCTAGCAACTAGCAATATATATACCTAAATATTTTTGTCATTTAGCGTCTGGCAATAATATCGTCGATAATTAATTAATACCAGCATTTCTGAGCGCTTAGTGTAAGTTTTACGCGATACGATTTTAATATGGAATCCGGTACAGCACCCCTAGCGGTAACTACCTATAACTACAAATCTCCATACAAATTCTTAACACGCTCACCAGTGAACGCGTTAGCGTAAAACTTACACTTACCACTCAGAGGAGTTCGAGTTAATATACATAATTACAATGCGACGTCGTATCATGGAAATCCATGAAATGCAACATAACGCCAGCGTTTATAGTCGAGGAGACTTAAAGAGAAAATTTTAATATTTAATGTTAATTTCATGAAAAATACTCATGATAACCGAAACTTGTTTCAGACGGGAACAATCCACATGCCACAAGCGGTCTTACAGAAAGTTGGCGCCGCTGGAGTACCACAGTTGCTGCTGAGCGCGGCGCCAAGACTCGCCAATTCCCTTACATCAAACAAACTATCCATTAAGGTCACCAGTTCTAGCGCTTCAGGTGAGACTGGCTATCAGGGATTGGCGGAATTAAAGATTTACCTATACCTTGGAGTTGCTCACTTTTCGGGTGGAACTATTCTTATTTTAAACAGCCTGTATATCACAATTTAATTTGTATGCCGCTATGAATGGGACGTAGGGTAGGGGTAGGTACATAGACATCTGGCGTAATATGAGTTTCGTATTTTTCGATACTCGACGGATTATATATTAGATGGATACTAACGTATATCTTATCGTCTGTCGCATCTCACCTACGCTACTCTGCTCTACAGTTCCAAATGTTTTAATCTTGTGTCTGTAGTTACGATAGCAAAAACAATCCATTGATAGGCAAAAAATAAGTGAACAGTAATAAGCTGAAATTCCATTGATTTGAAAGTATGCATAAACCAAATTAAAACAACACTTTACACTAAAGGTGAAACTTGTTGTTCCGAATTGAGAAATACTTTGAATATTCTCTATGTTAGGTTTTTGCAAATCGAAGTTAATTATTCAACTTTAAAAATTTATATTTGAAGGCGTTCTGTAAAATGTATAAAAAGTTCAAAAGTCTGCTCACTTTTATCTGTATATGCGATGGCGGCACTGATTTACTGTGGGACCAGCTTATATGCCCTTTGGTGTACTAACAAAATCAAGGATAAAAGCCATTGTTTATAACTTTAATAAATTTACAGTTATAATCAATGGCTTACAATTTTTGTTATGGTATTATTATCTTATTAAAAATAGATGCTTACATTAATACCATGTGAAAGTTGAATATCAATTTTGTATAATATTGTGAATATTTTGTTGATAAAACAATTTTTATAATAGTTTTTACAATAGTCCAGAGGAAGGCTACTTTAAAATAATTTTAAATAGAATCATAATTCTATTCTTAATGAAAAATGCTTAAAAAATCCACTTTGTCCCTGGCACTCTGAGAGTCGAACCGGGAGACTACTCTACCAGGATCAAACAGGACTGACGAATTTTTCAAACACTTGTACCTTTTTGCTACTACAGAGCGTAATTTCATCAATTTTGTTATAGCATTGTGAATGCAAAATTTATCATATATAACAATCATAATTCTCGTAATAACAACACACAGAAATATTCTCTTTCAGTAGTGGTGACAATTTTTTTATAACGCACCTTATTTCGTTCGGCATAGGGTTCAATTTACCACCGACGCCGCCGTCCTCGCTATCGTCATCGGACAGTGAGGGCGCGCTGTCGCCCGCGCACGAGGCCCCGCCCGCGCCCGCGGCGGCGCCCCCGCGGCGCGCGCACCTCTACGTGTCCCACCACTCGCGGCAACCGATCAACACGCCGCTCATTAGCACGCAACCGGTGAGTTTACTTCATATGTGGCGACATCTGTCTAATAGCGCTAACATTTCCACGATCCTCGACAGCAAAGCGGAAGCTTTGAGTTATCTAGCATAGGCACGAGATGGTGCCGCTATACCTGTATTGCAGTTACTAAGTTTCGCTACGACTCCCCATATGTAAAACTTGCAATCTACTTCGGGCCCCGAGCTACCAACGCCCAGAAAGAGACATTTTCCCGTTAGTCTACCAGTTGTTAACACCAAGGAAGACCATGACCATCTTTGGATCCTCCCACACATATAACTTCTTTTGAATTCCTATCTCTCGCGACATTTAAGATATTTCTTTCTCTATAGCTAAGGGAAGTTGGTTTTGTCGTTATCGATGAAACCAGTGAGATGTCGATGGAATATTAACCCTACATAATTTCTAAACTTTATTTTTATCTGAAGCTTCCCTCAACCTCGATTCTATGTTCTATTGCAGAAAGGGTCAACAGGTACTTTGGTCCTCACAGAAGAAGAGAAACGCACACTACTGGCCGAAGGGTACCCCGTGCCCACGCGTCTACCCCTCACTAAAGCCGAGGAGAAATCCCTGAAGAAAATCAGGAGGAAAATTAAAAATAAGGTAGTTTTATTCATAGTTATGTATGATTCAGTAGTCAAGATAGCTAATCATTTCTCGTTATATTAATAAAACTTGATTAGTAAAATCTCCGTCGGAAATTAACTGCGAACCCAATTTTGTCCAGTAAAAGATAACCTCAATTATACATAATTTTCCAATAGATATCGGCACAAGAGAGCAGACGCAAGAAAAAGGAATACATGGACCAGTTGGAGAGAAAAGTCGAGATATTAGTTTCCGAAAACACTGACTACAGAAAGAGGGTAGAATCGTTGGAACAGAAGAACGCGAGTTTGCTGAGTCAGCTGGCCGCGCTGCAGGCGCTGGTGGCGCGCGGCCGCAAGTGACGTCACACGCGCGCCCCTCCCCCACCCCCTCCACCTCCCCCCCGCACACGCGCACACCATGCGGATAACTACTAGTTACCTATCCACCACGATAGATTACAGAACACCGAAACACGTTACCCCCCCGTTCACACGATATCATCTTGCACGGTTTTTTTAGTATACGTTTTGACGGATACTTACATTAGTAGCGCATAGGTTTTATATAGTATTTACGTATAAACTTTGTACGCTTTTTGCTGTTAATGTCATGTGAACGGGGGACTTAGAATGACCCGGCGGACGAGCACAGGGCTATGAACTAATGTCCGTATAATCATCACGTATAATAGTTATTCTCGAACTAATACGCTTGCGTTTCGCAGTAACCTACGAGCGACGAGTATGTCTGTATAAATAAATACGCAATTCGATGTGCGTTTGATTGAAAGACCTATGAAGCACAATCTAATTTGCTCCTCTGCGTGAGCTCGTATCTATTAAATGCGATTCAACGATTGCAACAGACCAGCTCCATAGATGGTAACCATTCCGACCTGCAAGGCGATTCTGTAGAAATCTGAACTCGAATTCGAATTCACTCCCCGATCTCACGTCATTTAATGAAGAAATTCTACCGAGTCCGTTTTTTGTATAAAAAATACAAAACAAAATTTATTTTTGCGTATCTCAGATATTCTATTTTTATGTAATTTCGAAACTCAGTTCATTTATGCCACGAAACGTTATTACCAATTCAAGATTGAGCGGATGCCGCTTTTTAAAGTGAATTCGGATACCTGAATGAATTCCAATTCGGGTTTGCACTTTTACAGAAACCCAGGGCTGTTTCTGTGTTGCGATCAATCGTTCCTCTTTATCAATATTTCCGATGTAATAAAACATTGATGAAATACGACGGTTTACAGATTTAATAAAGCGGCTCGTGAGACTAGTGTTTCTTTAGATCACGTGACGGGATTTTTTTTTCTTACAAATAGTATATCCGCTGCGCTGCGAGTTTCATTCGAATCACGTGATTCGATTGGGTGCGTAACCGTATAAATTATATAGAGGCTGTGAGAAGTATGATCGGTGGTCACTCTCACAGTTACAGTTAAATATGGAGGTGTCGCTCCGCGGAGTGTTGTCTGACGATGTATATTTTGGATGTATTTACAGTATCCCGACGGTATCCGTGGGAGAGCGAGTTTTGAATGGTTGCTCACTATTTAGTAAATAGTTATACCGTGGTGCTGGATCGTTACGGCCGCGACTGTCGAGTGCCACACTAGATATTTATTTTTAATTTTTACACAGTTTTCGTCGACCGAATGTGTACGAGCGGTGGCTCGATGACAGGGAATAAGTACTGGGGATTTAAATAAGTCGATAGTTATTTACGCGTGTTGTTTGAAATCTCGTAATATATTTTGATAGAGCTCTAGAAGCGTTACATAATTTAAGTTTTAATTTGTGCATGTTTTTATTAAAATGTGCAATTAGTTTTTAAGGATTTTAATTGTTACCCAAAGCATACGTTATATTAGTATGTCGCTGTGTCGATGAGCTAGCGAACTAGACACGAGAAGTTCATATTTATGATTGACTGTGTGGAGGATAACAGTGTTATGGGCCTAATGATATAGTTTAACATCGGTTTCTGTTCCGACACTGGATTTCACACGAGATAGATCATTGTGACTGAACACTTGCTACTTGATTATATATTTTGTCGTGTCCGTCAGTACAGCAGCGCAAACATCTTGGATATAGAAATAAAATGTTGTCTTATCAAGTCCTTAATTAACTGTCGCTGATGAAAAAGGGCCAACTGCAAAGATACATTAGTTTCGGAGATAAATTAAAAAAATTATGGCGCTGCTGGCCTGACGGACACTATTTTGTCTTCATTATGTCGAGATAAAACAGAGTAACTAGGTTTTCCTTTTTGTAACTCTGTCTCATATGATTGACTTTTAGCATTTTGCTTGATATCGCCTTATAAACTTATGTTTGGTGAAATATCTAATGCGCAGTTGTCTATAAAAATATATAATCGCGTTAGGGTGTGGTGTTATCGGGATCTTAGTAGCATAATAATAAGACGTGCACTATACAAGCGCGTCTTAACGGTTAATATTGAATTCCATGAATTTGCATTTATAGCGAAATGTGTGTCGTCCTAAGAGATTTTATCTTGTATTTAAGATAACATTAGGTATAAATCTGATAAAGGACCTGTTGAAAGACCGATTTGCATGACAATTGATTTCGGTTATGTCTAGTCTCTTGTAGAACCATACAGAGGTCTCATTGTAGAGGCCTTCGATAGAAACATTAGCTATATTCAACCTCGTACTGCGCTCAATAGATCTACAAGTACAAATGATGGCATGCCTTCGAGAAAGTAACGCAACTAACACTCATACCTCCCCAACGATGTCAGGAGCATATCTCAGCTTCGAAGAGTATTTTGACTGTGACATAACTAGCAAAAAAACTTTGACGTTAATTTTCGAGGAGTAAATGTTGACTTCACCACAATTTACATTTCCTTCCATCACCAATATGTGAAACTTATAACATTGTCTCGTTGTGTCTTTCCTTTTATATTCTTGCTAGTACATACCTGTCAACATTTTATTTTTGAAGTATAAAAAAAAAACTTTTACTATTTCTTTGAGTTAAATTACGAATCATATTTTTTAGTTTCTCTCTTTAATCGATATCCTTTTTTTGAGATTAATTGGCACCCAACATGGCGCTGTTTAACTTAACATATCGTACACCAATTTGTTGCTACGCCGTTATAACAAGGTGATATAAAGATTCTACAATATAATCTGTTCACCTTGTTCTAGAAATGGGAAATTAAAACAAAGAAAATGTTTCCTCACAACATTCGAACTCCCTACAGAATAAATATAGTGTTGTTTCGAGACAAGTATCTCTGGTCTTGCCGATTATACTCATTTGTTTTCGAAAGCTCTGCCGTGCAAACGCACACGAGAACGAGTCTGTTCAAACTAACATTCTTTTTATACTAAACATTCCATTTCCATTGTCTCGAGTAATGAGTGACTTAAAGTGAGCTCGTGTACTTACACTAAAAGTTAGAAGTAAATACATGTTAATTTAACCTTATGTACAAATAACTGTTCTATAGTTTTAAAGCTGATATGACTTCGCTAGCATTATGTACATGTGATAACTGTTTTGCTGTTGTCTTGTAATATCTATTGTAGATGTGTATAATAACGACAGTGTAATATAACGGATGTGATTAAATCTTAATATTTTAGATAAAAATACTACCTGTTTAGAAAGATCTACTTCAACACAAATCGAGCATTTATACAAAATTTCACAGTATCTTTAGTATTTTTATTTATATAATTGAATCATCAACATCGGTTATATTACATTCGTTGTGAAAATATTATTTCGTATTAATGTTTTACTGTGTGTGCAATTAATCTTTTTAAAGTTCTTCCTATTTAGACATGTAAGGAAATGGTCTATTTATATTACAAGGAGATAAAGAAATTAACATCTCCTATATTATTATCCCATCTCATCAGAGATCATATTGAAAAAAAATGAGATAATTATATTTTAAGAGATTTTTTCTAATGAAATTTTAGAAATATATATGTTTAAAACACTTTTTTATGTGTATTTATATACGATTTAGGTCTCTAGTTTGTCGTATAATACCAACAACATAATATCTATTGATAACTATACAATGTGTGCCTGCCTGTCTGCTATTGGTTTACCATAAGCAACGATATCGAAAAGTATCATTTAAAGAACTTAAATAGTAATTATATAATAAAATATATTAAAGTATAAAATTGTTAATTCCTATAATGGCATTTACTGTCTACAAAAAGAGTGATGTAATTGAAAACGACTTATATAAACTAAATTAGTTGATATTTTTAACTTATGAAATTAATATTATTAATTTATCGCGTACGAAGCGTCGTTTTGGTACGACCTCATGGAATTTTAAGCATCTGCCAAACATCATACTTTAACATTTATAGTTTGAAAAGCACCGCACATAATTGGGTGACAATAGAAGATCCATTCGAGATTATACAGAAAGAAATAAAATAATACGGGGTCTTGTGTACATTATTTATTAGATGTATATATTGTCGCTCTAAAATATATTTATTATAAATAATTAATTTCGAGTGGATCGAACCAGAGCACGAGTATCGCTGTTTTCTCGAGCCTGTGGTTTTGTTATTAATATTGAAGTGTAATTTTATTTGATAGTTTTATTTGTTAAAACTATTCGCTGTTACCTTGAGTCATGATTTGTTGAATCGTTTGTTTTATTTTTATTTTCCAATGACATTACGGATTTTACTGTCACCCTTGAGCTAATAAAGTGTCAAATATTGTATGCCCACTGTTTCATTTACATTTAATACAAAATTTTCCTTTTCAGATTATTTTATTCTAATGACATTTCTCATATTAAAGTATTATACATACGATTTATAAATAATAGTCCATTAGATTCACGTTTATTTTTTTATTACCAGACTTATTTAATCTATGTGCTTATGTTACAAAAATATAAGTATTTAGTAATTCTTAATTATAACTACGTTGATAAAACATACAGATTTAAGACTAGAATTAATGTAACGGCGGCGAATGGGGAATCTGTCAACAATTTTATTGTTTCATTTTCAATTGAAAGTCAGTCTTCAAATATAATTTAGTACAAGTATATAAACTAGTCTAAAATAATTTCTTATATTTACGAATCAGTAATTTGAGAAAGTCAATTAATTTTGAATTCAATATTTTAAAAAACTTCATATGATTATATTTTTTTTTATTTGATATGTATGTATCATTACGTACAGTACATATAAAATTCTGATGTGACAAGCAATGTGACCTCTGAAACTCGCGTGCAAAATTTTGGCCACACCATAGCTTTAGGCTCAATGTGAATCGAATACGATTTCCATTAATCTAATGATTTCTTGTCTTAATTCCACTAACAGAATTTTCAACGTATGACCAAAAATTAGCGAGCGGCAATTACTGCACCTTAAACTAGACTTGTTGCAGTTTTATCAAACTGTTATAAAAACTTTTTTCTTTGCCATGATGTGTGCGATGATAACCCATAGTGCGGTGCCCCATACAGCTTCCAATAGTTTGATAGTATGCGTTCTCATGATGGGTAGTCTCCAGTGGAATGGGAAGATGTGTGCGCAGAGTGAATGACCGACGTAGAGGGCGATCGCGTTCATACCGGGAGCTCTGAATGGGCCTCCGCCCCAAATACTCAAAGCATCAGTCAGGATGTAACATATGCTGAGAATGGCTAAGTTGCAAGCTGATGTGACGAGAACGAATGACAATGACCTGAAAATAAAAAAATAGATTAAATATATATTTTTATTTTATACATACTGACAAAACCCAGTCATTTTTCTCTGGGAGGTGCATGAGTTAGTGCTTTCAGTCTGCGATGTGGAGCTATCCTAATCTGGTTATAACCAGGTTTCCCTATTTGATTCTATCCTCAAGGAAGGCCTGTGCCTAGTAAGGAGGACAATGATAATATGCTCATGATGACGTTGATGAGACTGTTCAATAATTTGATAACTTTCTTTGGTTTTGAAGTCCCAGTCCACGTTGCACGTTGTCCACGGTCGGATCCACGAAGGAGATAAACTATTCTATGTGGGCTCGGAGTCCGGTTGTTTCGCCTTTGCCGTTTATACCTTCACTTAAGATTGAGCAATGCGATTATTATTGTCTATTTCGCTTTAACAATGCCATCGTATAAATCAGCATGGTCCCTGAGATGCTTGTTTTTGTGTTCTTCATTTTCATTTTACATGTAAAAATTAATTTATTCGTAGAATTGTGCGAAATGCGCAGATAAGCCGTTAATAAAAGACGAAAACTGGCAGATGTTATACTTGTATTTAAAATTGAACAATCAAAGTGAATCTTTGAAATTATTGTCAGGAATCTATTTGTTTCATATGTATTTAAGTTTATTATATGCAATCACCATTGTTAATAGTTAGCAACTAAAATAAATTAGACCTGATACTTCCATAATTAGTTATGGAAGTGTCAGGTCTATAAGTTAAATATGGTTTGATCTATACTAATATTGCAAAGAGGAAATATTTGAATGTTTGTTTGTTTGCATCGAATAGATTCCTAAATTTTTAGACCGATTTTCATAATTCTTTCACCTACGGGAAGCTACATCATATGAAGTGAAAATTGTCTATATTTTATCCCGAACAACAACAAATAAAGAGATGAAAATTTGTATGGGCAATTAAAACGTCACCACAGTAACTATTCAATTTGTCATTATAACTATATCCACGTCATGGAATAGATATCCAAATAAAAAGTTCCCTAGGGACGACGCGGGAGAAGCCGCTGGCGGTAAGCTTAATATCAATTGTAATTCACTGTTTGTTTTCCTAGATACAATAAAATTAATGTTGTGCGCGATAGATTACCATTAATCGATTAATCGATTTATCAAATAATCAGTTACTATCAATTATGATTTCCTAATCAACGATTAACCATCGATTATTTCCTAAAACGTTAGCAATAGGAATAGTTTAAAACGTTAGTATAGTACCTACTTACTTCGATGGCTCAGCAACCCATAGCGGATCGCGAGTTTGAATATTATTAGAAGTATATATATTATTATATTCTATTACTTATTATGGCAACCCTGGAATACTCCCACGGCCAAATAGGTAACCTTACTCTTTGGTCAGTGAACTCAGGGAATAAATTATATGTGTCTTACTAAATGCACATGTGAGTATACACGGTACATACCTATACCAAAATAATATTTTTATATTTTTGTCTGTCTGTTTGTTACGGCTAAACTCTGAAACGGTTAGACCAGTCTTTTACTGGCAGATAGCTTATGTATTAAGAAATCACTAAGGCTACTTTCCACGCGGATTAAATCACGGGTTCAGCCAGTTTAATTCTATAAATTTTGCATGCACAATGCTGGTATAGTAAACATTGTCTTAAAATTGACTTTTAACTTGGACGGCTTTAAAATACGGTGGTATTAATCTGAAATCATTAATAACCTTTTGGGGTAATTCATTGACACGAATCGATTACGAGTAATATTATAATCGATGTGTATAATTCGCTTCGGCATGAATGGGCCGGCTCGACCGGAGTGATACCACGGCCTCACAGAAAACCGACGTGAAGCAACGCTTGCGCTGTGTTTCGTCGTGTGAGTGAGGGTACCGGAGGCCCAACCCCTCCCTATTCCCTTCCCACTTGTAGCCCCTCTGGTGTTGCAGGTGTCCATGGGCGACGGTTATCACTTACCATCAGGTGATCCGTCTGCTCGTCTGCCCCCTATACCATAAAAAATATAATGACCAGAGGTTCTTGTTGATCGGTATGACGCCGTGCTCCCTGGAGAAGCCGGCGAGTAGCGCGCCCGCGAGCGCCAGCGCCGCCGCCCACGCCAGCCACCGCGACACGCGCGCCTTGTGCGAGCGCTGCAGCAGCACCGTGGCGCCCGCCTGCACGCCCACCAGCACCTGCACGGCCGACGTCAGGCACCCTGCGCGCATATACATACTTTGTGGACTCAACCAGCCTTAAAAAAGGACAGGTTAAGCGAGCCCGGTCGATAGAGGAGCTCGGTGGCGCGGTGGCTGATGCGCTCGGTGTGCGATATGGTTGTTAAGTAACTTTCGCAATGGCCAGTCACAGGATGGGTGACCGAAAATTTGCTATCCCGAACTCCTCCGTGCTTCGGAAGGCACGTTATGCCGTTGGTCCCGATCGTCTGCAGTCGTTAATAGCCACCAAACCGCACTGGACCCGCATGGTGGGGTGGGTTATGGCACGTTCTCTCTATTCAATTCGATTCCATCCTGAGCCCCAGCAGTGCGAAAGCGAGGTATGCAGAAATAAATTTCCCGTCGTCACAAAAAAGGCCGGCCTACTTGTTAAAACCCATTAGTAAAACCCTGGACTCAGCTAGGACCCAAGGAGCCCGTCGGGTGAATATTTATTTATTTTTACGCCACGACTCAGTGGGAACGTAAACTTAATTTAAGCATTAAGAAGGTCTACTATAAAGCACTAAGCACTATACTTACCAAGAATTCCTTCAGGGTCAACGGGCGGTCCTCCATAGACTTGACGAGAGGCACTGTTCTGAAATAGATGCGAGGATCCAAGCAGTAAGCGGTCGATATAGCCAGCAGCGCCGCCGCTGCACTCAGGTGCCACCCAGTCGTCGTGCTTACCACCCGGACCTACATAGCCGCTGTTGACACAATAATTATTTATCATTTTAACACTTATAAATTTATTTCTAATAATTTATAAAATTATTACCCTAGTATCCAAAAGTTTCGGTAATAATAATACGGGTATTTTATATAATATATCGTTCCATGTTTTGCAATAACATATCGTCTTTTATATAACAAACTTAAATGAAAGTCCACAGCTTTTCAGTAGACATGTAAAACTAGCTTTATAAATAGGTTTATTATGATTAATTTGATAATTAAAGTGGTTTTATTTGATTTATTTGGTGTGCAATTTTAACACTAGAAAGATTTGTGCGTACCAAGGCTAACTGGTCTTTTATTGGATAAACGACAAAATTGATAACATGTCTGGCAAATCTTTAATCATCGTTGTTTATGATACGTTTTCTGTTATTTAAGTACTATATATATGTCAAAGTAGTGAAATTAAACAAATGTATCCAATGACAAGAGAGATAGGCGTTCGCAATTTAGAAACGTTTAAATAATGTGCCATGCACGAATAATTATAAAACTTTCAAAAAAATAAAAATATATTAAATGTCATTGGATGGACGCTGAGCGTCTACCCTGGTTATATGGCCAGTTTAATGATGATAGTTAACGTGACTCACGCCGGGCAGTCAGGGTGATGAACGGTGAAGGTGATGGCAGTATGTACAGCTACCAGCACCGCAGCCAACGCCCAGCACCAAACACATGACAGCACATCCTTCAGGGCTTGCCCACAAGCACCCTTTAAACAAAAACATAGTTAAATCAATAACATGGGTCAGCTGGTCTACCTTATAGATATAATAATATTCTATATTATTTGAATGTTTAAAGCTGTTTTTTTATTGTTTTTACAGCGTAACTAACTAACAAGTGAAATGAATTCAATGCACACAATCTAATGGTGTAGAGAGATATTTTTAATGTAAAGTATTAAAAAGAATAAAGTATTAAAAAAACCTTCGACCTTAAAAATTATAAACCAGATTAATTGATCAAATATAAAAAAGACAATTTAAATTGATTAAGCAATATGAAAAGATAATTATAACTATTATGTAATAATTTAAAAATTATAAATGAATAAAAAAGAATTGTATTTTCCGTTTCTAAATGTTGTCGACCCCTGGTCCCGTACTTAAAAATTGACATTTGATGTAAGTACACTGGATTATTTCGTATGCTAATCTGCTTTAACTTACATCCTCATAATATCATAAAACACTATAAAGTTGTAAACGATATATCGAAAATTAGTTTTCAAAGCACGTAATGACAATATGCACTGCTGCACTGCACTTAAAACAGCGGTGGACAAGACATGCGTATCTCTCACGCCCAAAATTTTTTAATATTGGTCAAAGAAATTGTAATCTTATATATTACGCAATCTGTCTTGATCTAGTATTCTAGTAATTTCACGAATCTGTAAATAACTTAGTTTTTACCTTAAATAAAATAATGGAGGTTCAAAAATGTCTTACATGTATACACGCTAAGGCATTAACAACATTTATTTTGTATTTTATATACAACGTGTCCCAAAATTCAACGATAAGCGGGCGCCAAGAGGTACCCTTGCTCATGTATACTTATGGAAAAATAAGAAAAAAATTATATCTTATCTTTTTTATTATAAAATTAAATTCGAAAATCTTCGAAAATTTACACCTTTTATGATATTTTCAACTACCACGACCACTATTTCTCAATTATGTTCAATCTTTTTTTGGTATCGGATACCTAAGTAGCACTACTATTCGCTACAACTCTTTCGAAAATTTTCGAATTTTATTTTATAATAAAAAAGATTAATAAGATATATTTTTTTTTCTTATTTTTCCATAAGTACACATGAGCAGGTCTACCTCTTGGCGCCCGCTTATCGTTGAATTTTGGGACACGTTGTATATATACTAGCTTTCTGCCAGCGAATTCACTCACGTAGTTCTATATATACACCTTGATCTTGACTAATTCTTGATTATGTTTAAGTAATAAAACAAAACTGCTGTTTGCTCTCGGGCTAAGCCAAGACTAGAATGTATAACTTGTAACATACTTTAACCATATATCATGTCCATACATGGAATGTGAAAACAGACAATTGCTCACCCTCGGTGGTGCGTAGTATTTAGGTGCAGTGAGAACATAAAAGCCAGCAGAGATGAGGTAGGCAACAGAAAACCGTTGAAGCACTCCGAAGATCCGCAACTCCTGCAGCATGTTGGAGCCGTAAATTGTGTTGAGAGATACTCCCAATAGGAACAGTACTGACGAACGCTGAATAAAAATAAAAATAATGTCAAATATAATAATGTAAGTAATTGTATTTAAACTAAACAAAAAATACTGTCACCGGCTCAGGCGCCCCAGATAGCCATTCAAATATGAAAAATAAAAGTACTTAATTAAAACTAAAGTTATAAAAGATGGAACAAGTTATCAAAACAATCAACAAAATTGACTCATACTCGATAATAGGAATTGACGCCGCAAAATAGTATCTAAATTTATAGGTATCCATCATCGTATAGTTGTTATTTAGATATTGTTCTAACTGCATCCTCATTCGAAGATCTACATTGATCTAAACCAGGTCACGTCCGCCACTGGGTCACATCATTGAGCTAACAAACGATGTCTTTAAAATACCATCTCTAATCTATTTGATAATTATGCCTTTACAATATACAATACGCTCGTTGTTTGTTCTATACGAGATAATAATACAAGAAATACTGCAATGTAAAGAACATTCGCAATGCTATCATTCACGGTGCGGGAGAAAGCTTTACGAATACAGTCAACATCACGCAAGATTAGAATTTCCAATGAAAAATGCCGCAACAGCGTGTGTACGTTGAAATAATCTCAACAAGATTGATTCCATTGCAACTTAAAGAAATACGGAAGATAATAATAGGTGATGTAATTTACTTGAAAGTGAACGTATAATGTATAAAGGTACACATAGAATTTTAATGACCGTTTAAAAAGCCTGATAGGAATACCATATTGTGAAAATAACCCAATCCAAATTCATTTCCATTCCTCATATATAAAATATTTATAGCTTTATTTTAGAACCTACGTAATATCAATTTTAAATACCTATAACCTTCACTTCGCGCATGCCTACAGTTGATTTAAAATCTGGTCCCCTAAAATATCAAGTTGATCGCATTAAATTACAAACTGTTGCATTTGTCTGTGCCCATTACATATATTAACTTATTGTAATGGGCATTACAGACGGACAATATTGATATTCAGACTGGCTACGTAACTTTTATGTAATAGACTGGTTCTTAAAGGTTGCGTGCTTGTGAACGCATCTGCACCCTTTAGATGGAAGCTTTCTAGCTGCTGTAGCTGTGCGATGTCGAAGATGATTACTATCTTTTATAATTGTACTAGCATTTATATACTGGCATCGAACTATATATATAAAATTCTCGTGTCACAATTTTCGTTCCCGTACTCCTCGGAAACGGCTTGACCGATTCTTATGAAATTTTGTGAGCATATTGAGTAGGTCTGAGAATCGGCCAACATCTATTTTTCATACCCCTTAGTGATAAGGGTTGTGCACCCTTAACATTTTTTGTCTACACTAGAAATTACTTAGAAATAATTTATATGGCAAAACAATGTTTGCCGGGTCTAGCTGACCCGGTATGAAATAAATTATGTAATCAAAGTAGAATAAAATATTTCAGGGTGAAATGGATAAGTAAATTGAAATATAAATGAACATTAATATATTCTCTTATGTATACTGTCTCAACTTTTAGGACACGGATCATTTCTAAAGATAGAATCACATGGATGCCTATAAGAAGATCAACCCTTACGAAAATTTCTTCACTCCCTAATGACAGACTACACACACTCGCCACTGCAGCAACTTCCAGTACTGATAAATAACAATAGACGAGTATATAATGCCTTAATCTATGTAGAGGTATGTGAATTCGTTTTTTTTTTAAGTCGTTTCTATTGTTTCAGGACGTTTCACATGAGAGATGCGACTGCCACGACTCTAGTCATTACTGGCTAATGGCTACTGTTGCCCAAAATAGTTGATGAAGGAAACTTACCCATACAATGTTCAGAAGAATCTTCCACCTAGGTATGCCCTTAGCGAAAGCGCTCTTTATGGACAGTGGTATACAGACGCCCATTATCCACAGGAATGCAGGAAACACCAGATCTCCTATCACGAGACCGTTCCAAGTGGCGTGCTCCAACAGCCAGTATCCGCCAGCACCGTCATTAATAAATATCATTAAGACTATGGCTATCCTGGAAATATAAAAGTACCCCAAATATATATTTTATAATAATTTTGTTCGGAGATTAAAAATAGTTACTTTTAATTTCAATAGGTAGTCTACAATATTGTTTTCTAGAAAAACATCGAATCCGAACCCTTCGAATTTTATATAAAAACTAATAGGGGTGTAGACAACAAGATATACATGAAATACTCGTTATACAAGATATACTTATAATGGGTATGTTCCGATATACGCTGCGAGCACTGCGCAGTGGTCTTACTGCTGAAAAATCCGTTCCGTTATGGACTGCCAGTACACTGCTACAGTACCCTAGGGAAATTTATGACGTCATTAATTGCCGCCATATTTGTACTGTGAGCACTGGAGATTTCGAGGTAAGGTGCTCGCAGTGCTTTTGATCACGTGATCAGTCGAAACAGAATCAGAAAATGATAAGTTTCTAAATAAACAAAAAAAATACTTACGTTTATTATAAGATGGATTTAATTGATAAATAATTTTTTTTTAACACAATTTTATAATATTTTCTTTTGAAAAGAGGGAATCTATATTTATATTCACCTTGCATTAACAAATTTGAAAATGGCGCCAAAAAATAGGATTAACAGTATACTGGACTGCGTTCCGTTTTAAAAAGTCACCAGTATAACTAGCTATAAAGGAACGGGCTTCCAGTATACTATATTGACGTCATACTGTTCAGTGGTCGCAGTGTATATCGGAACATACCCAATATAAGTTAGTTAAAAAATTAAAAATAAATTTAATTTTCAAATTCTCCCGCGTAAACGCCACTTCTGTCATGTCATCACTCTGACGTTACGTCCCTAAGAAACTAATATCGTTGAACTAACCGTTAGGTTAATTGCAGAAATGTCCGTTAAGGTTTAATGAAGTTCTAACTTTCTTTAAGTTCTAATTAATGATCTAAACTTGAATATTTATATCGATAATATCGATTTAAATTAATGAAAATTTTAATGGAGCTTTGTGCAACTGGGTGTAAGTTAGGATATGAGTAAGAGGTACTTACGTCACACACGCGATGTTTAGGATCACGTGACGAGGAGTATAAAAAAATTGTTTTTTCATAAATATTTTAAGCAATATTATAAATATAATAAGCATATAAAAGTGTGATTATAAGTAATATTATATTAAACACTACCAGAAAAAAACAATATATATTTATATTCGTTTACTGCCTACACCCGTTTTTGAGACACACTTGGAATCCAATTAAAAAAGATTCGTATTTATATAAAATGACATCAATTTTTTTCTCCGTCATCTGCTTAATATAAAGATATTATTTTGAACGTTCGTTAGTATGAGAATTGAAGATATTGGAATAATTACATACAAGCATGACATGAAATATAAGTACATATATATCTAAGTATTAAACTATTTTAACCACATCCAAACGTATAAAACCAAACCCGACTTTCTTACTTCGAAAGGTTTCTCAACGAGTTTAGATTTGTTTAGCGTCCTAAGGTGGCATGCAATACTTGTTTTGTTCACTAGACCTTCCCGTTTTACTGGCCCTCGATTAAAACTAAACGCACTGTCGATCCTGTGGGACTTGGAACCGGAATAAGATGCAATTCCATAAATTACCAACGCTTGTAAATGTAGGTTTTAAAATCAAATTTTGTGTAGATATTATATAGTTTTTAAAATTGCAGCCACTATCTCATTTACTATTAAATATATAAGTTTCAATAGGTTTACACAGTTATACTATTATTTCCGTTCTATTTGTTATTTTTTATTTCAAATTTAATCGAGATCTAGGTTAAACTGAAAAGGGTTGTTTGAAATTGTTGAAAACTGAAAGTATCAGTTACATAAAAAAAAAAATAACGGGCTCAAACTTTCGACCAATTAGTATTGAAAAAAAGCAATGACAAGTGAAATCGTGACGCATAAATAAATTATTATATTAAGGTCACCATTGTTAAACTGTATATTTGATCCTTATAATCTAAGATTTGACCTTTAGTAAAATCTTCACACAAGAAAAAATGTGATTGATAGAATTGAATCAATTTGAATACAATAGAAAAGAAAAGGAGTATTTGAAAAAGTTCATATTAAATATTTTTTCGTCACAATTTTATCACAGATTTTTTTAAATTAAATATATAAACTAATCTGCTGAAAAAATTTAACGCATATAATTTGGTCTATGTATTAGATACAGGCTTCACATATTCGAATAACATTATTAATCATCTACAAAAGAAAATTTATGCTGATTGAATAGATTTGGAATTTTATTTCGTGAATCGAGCGCACGTATTTCATAATTTATGTGTCTCTATTTTATAACATTACTAGTATTACAATATCTGTGACATTGTGTTGTTTCATTGCGGAAAGAAACCAAACATTAACATAAAGCGAGGTTGCACGAAATAACCACTTTTTAAATAAATTTTATTCTAAAGCTATACTAATATTTGTCAAATAAAAATCAACAATCTCGAAACTCTAATATACAAAAATAGTTTTTGATATAATCTAAAGTATATTTGTTTTAATAACTGCATTTGCTTTTTTTTTATGACTAAAAAGTATGAAATCGTAAAAGCGCATCTTTACTTTCGATGCGTAGTTGTTTGCGTATGTGTATGGAAAGGTAAGCGGAGGTATAGGACCACTATAGGACCATAATATAAAATTTTACTCAAATAAGGTATTATAATATAACATAACCTAAAGGACTAATCGTAGGAGAGCAGGTAAACATTTTTCGAGAATCATCTTCTAAAGTCTAGATTCTAGCAATCGTTCTGATGTCAGTAACGATGAAAGTTTAAACTAACATATCATGAAAATTTGCTCAATAGGAGGGTAGTGGAGTTTAGTTAAGTTTGTCAAGGTCAAGTTCCTTTTTTCCTAATCATCCCAAATTATATCATTCCAATGGTGTTATTATTTTTCTACGCGCTCTTAGCTCTCGTCTCGACAATCACACGATAAATTATATATCATTTGGATGATAGAAACTAAGATACACGAGAAAAGGATTTATGGGTCCATTGACCTTGAGAGACTAAATTCCACTACCACTACAGGTCTGCATTTTTAGTGTTGAGAGATGACAACAAGATGTGATTTATGAAGACAACAATAATTACAAGGTGCATCTTTAGTGCTCAAATATTACATCATGCCTCTCATGTTTTTACAATGCCTCAAACGCTTCTCAACAAATGTCTACGAACTCTTTGATCGTAACGACGGTATGAACCATAAAGATCCTTATACTCATTCGAAAACTATTGACATTTATAAATATTTATTATTCCAAAACCAAACACGAATTATCGTCTATCGTTGTCTAAAGAATGGAGCAAAGTGTGTTTGTTAGTTCTCTTGTTGATGCAAAGATACATTATTTATTTATTAATCTAAAATGTAGTTGAGAGTCCAAGTGTCACAGACATTATTAAAACAAATACCAAAGTGCTGGCTTGTCTGTTTATGTAAGCGCGATAAATTCTAAAATAACTTAATGAGGTTTTATGCGGTTTCCAATAATAGACAGAGTAATTAATGAGGAAGGTTTAAATGAGTATTTATTTTAAATTTTGTGCGTAGAAATTCATTGAGTGGCGGCATTTGGATATGCATAGTTAGGGCAATTAGCAGCGCGATAGCTAACTTGGAAGAATAGAAGGCTATGCAGTATTATGTGTGATCTTTTTTGAGAGAAAATGCGTAACGCACTATCCTTGCTACTTGACGGGACGACAGGGTGTGTGCGACTCTCCCCTGCTAACAGACCGCAGATAACCAGAACAAAAGGCGTGGGGCTACCCACTAAATCCCTAGGCATGCTCTCGTGTGAAAGTTGTACCCAGGAACCTAGGCCAACCAGTCCCAGTGTGGGGGGACCCCTATGGTGTGTGACCTAATATAATATACAAAACTTCACTACCTCAATGGTTGAGTAATTTACAACCGGTTGCAAGGTATCGCCAAGTCTGTGGGTCCTGCTATGCTATGTTAATTAATAATGCTGGCACGGCATAGAGGTTCAATGAAATAAAATCTATAAAGGTAATTTCAAGTAAGTAGGTCATCGATTCCGAGGCTGTTTTATAACAAAACAGCACTACTGGTTCGATTTCTTATCATCTTATTACTGAAAACAATATCGATGTTGCGGTATACTCTTGGCGTTTTTAGATTTCCTAACACGAGTGTTAGCTACTTAGGTTTATGACGAGCAAGGCTAATAAAATAAGCAAGGCAATACTCACCCTCTGAAGGTATCGAGTGCTTTTAGCCTCTGTTGTATAGCTAGCTCCTTGTCACCGTAACACAGTTTGCCGGTCCGCCGCACCCGGGACATGACCAGTTGGAACACTCCATACACTATCCACACACCCACCAGAAAGCCGAGGAGGAGCAGGAGAGCTGTATAAAAAATACACTTGCTAATTTCATTCTGCCATGTGGAAGTTAAGCAATATTCACAATGCTCAGTCATGGGATGGGTGATCAACATTTTAGTATCCCACGCATCTGCGTGCTTTGAAAGGCACGTTAACCATTTGTTACGGCTGCATTTGTAGTTATAGAAATTAAATGAAAATATCTTTATTCAAGTAGGCTTATTACAAGCACTTTTGAATCGTCCAAAAATTTTTTGTCCCTTCCACTTATTCAGAAAGTTGTATTTATTATTGTGATGATACATATTATTTTGGTAATGACATGATTTATGTAAATGTCATTACTTATGATAAAGAGCTGGTAAGCTTCTTTCGCTTGTTCTTCTTGTCAGCTAAAAGACATCAGATGTCTTTTAGCTGATAAGATATGAAGTCACTTTCCATTAATTAGAAAATATAAAAGTAAAATAGTATTAACGCCAATCGAATCACATGTCTACTGAAACAAGCTCACCGATAAATAATTGAATATACATAAAAAAGCCATATTTAAGCCAAGCAGTTTTGTCGTTTAAATTTATTTACAGTATAATATCCTTTACTGAGTAGACAGTTTTTAATATGAGTTAAATTTAAAATGTCCATAGGAATTTTGTTATAGTAGTGTATACCTTGACCCATAAATGTTGATAGAACCTTCTTTAACCTGCATGACTGCAAAACAAGTTTATCTTTGTGTTTAGTATTAAAATTGTGATGTGATGACTATATTTAATAATATACATTAAATATAGTCATGTACACAATTTTAATACTTTTTCTGTTAAAATTTAATGTTAATATTTTTTCTAACATAACGACACCTAGCGATATAAAATAAGTTCGTTCTAGCAGCCCTATGCGAGACGTTCCTGCAAACTGCCAACCATAGATCTGCCAACCGCAATCAATGAAGTGCAGTGACAGCGGTTAAATATCTAAACTAAAACTTAACTGTAAGTAACGGCTCCGTACTTTATTAATCGCGTCACAGTTATGTAATAAAAAGCCGTTTTCTGGATCTTCAATAATGTAGCGTAACTAATTTTATGTTGTAATATAATTTCGCGTTAATTTTCAATGAAAATCGAATTCCTATTATTATGATTTAAAGTATGAAATCACAAAAAATTGCTACGGGATTAAAATACTCTTCCTCCATTATATGAAATGAGATTGTTGGTGAATTAAGTAAAACGAGCCGAATGCATTTCACAGTTTGGTCGGCTTTTTAACCATTGCGCTACTAGAGGCATTGTTAATGAATAATATTGCTTTATTTGTAATTTTAAGTAGTTTATATTTCAATGTATAAACATAGGATCCCTTTGTCGGGATCTGCTCTTACTATAAATACTACAGCGAGAGCTTTCCGTAGTCGCGATTGCAGACGTTAAGCAACTTTCACAAAGGTCAAGCGTTGGATGGGTGACCGAAAGTTACTATATACAGCTCCGTACATGCAGTCGTTACTACTCACCAATCAACACACCGCCTAAGCCCTTGACGTCGGGTAAGTTACATGGAATTGAGATTATATTATTATCTCCGCTTACGTTTCCATACAAATACGCAAACACTACGCGTCGATAGTAAAAACACGCTCGCTTGATTTCATAACTTTTTTAAGGCACAGGAAAAAACAAATGCAGTTATGAAACAAATCGTTTGGTCATTTTGGATCATACCAAAACCTATTTTTGATTCAGTTAAGATAAAATTTATTCATCGTGAAATCCATCCAAAAACCTATAAACTCCTTTTTACGATTTTTGTCTATCGATCCAATAGGGATGATGTCTGGGTAAAAAAATTGCAATTCTATTTAGTCCGTCAGTCTAATAATAGAAAAATATTAGATACGTATTTTTTTTTACTTCAATTTAACAAGAAATAGTTTAGGTAACAAGCATTAAAGTTGAGGAGTGGGGGCTCGCTACGTCACAGTTTAGTAGAAAACGTACTCTAACGTGACGTCTTGCGAAATTTCAATTCAATGTAACGCCGTAATTTTATAATTACGAAAAAAATAAAAAAATACGTGTTTAATATTTTTTAACACTCTACCTGACGGACAAACAAACAAAAATTAGTCATCATCCCTATTATTTAAATTTATGTTTCTGTTTTTTGCAAACAATCGACCAGATATTCAATATTTGAATAAAATGTATTATAATAAACGGTATTTAACTTTATATTATTTAACAATTTGTTATATCATTCCTTAACGGGATATAACAGGTTTCTAGATTAAAGTGTATGACGAAACTCGATTATAAGTGACCGAGAAGAGTAAGTTAACAGTTTTGACAGAAATATTGAGATATAATTCTAATCTATAATAGTGAGATATGATAAGAAAGATGCAACAAAAGAGTGGATTAAATATTAAAATGCAGAGAGACGGACAGAACCAAACGGAAATATTTTAATAATACGATATTATAAATGCGAAATTCTGTGAGGTTCTGAGATTATATTACCATGTATGTATGTTAATTTTTCACGCAAAAAGTACTGTTCGTATTTGGTATGTATACAAATAATTCTAAGCCTGAATTAACCTAAATGGTCTCCTGGGGATAAATTTACTTTCGAGCTATCGTTCAAACTGAAAAATATTGAGATGATAGATAATCCTAATAGATTAATTAATTAATGATAGATTAATTCACGAAGGAATGGCGCTGGCCTATGATAAAAATACTAAAAAAAACTTTGGCCACACCACTATTTATCAAACTTAAAATGATTAACGACACTAAAAAAGCTCCAGCTTTACTACATGCAACGTATGTAGATAATATCCAATATATCTATGTGAATAACTTGGCAGTAGTCTTTCCAATCATTTCTGAGCAAAAACTAACCTTATTTGGACACTTATTTCTAGATTAACGAACTTATTAAAGCGTTGCGCTATTTGAAAGCGATCGTAGGCCATACAGAGGATGTCCTTAATTCGTTTATCAACATGATTGCTTTTCACAGATTAAGCCGTCTCAAGAAAATTCCCGACGACGTACATTACTTTTTTATAATTCTCACAACCTAGTTACAAATATTAAGATAAAATTGATACATCAATGTTACGCCATCGTCGGCACATTACGGTAACGCTTATCGTTTATTTACACTGCTTACATAACAATTTTAAGACACAAAATTATACGAGTACAATCATTTTAATATTTATTTATTGAACCTCCGAAACGATATTTCAATATTTTTTTCCAGGAATCAAAATTAAATGAGGTATTCAACTGTGAAATTTGAAAATCACATCGTTTTATAGTTCTTATAAAATATATAATTTTTTTGTTGCATTTACCTGTAAGTTTTTGGTACGTCTTAACCTTGTATTCTAATTTGAGTTATTATCATATGTACCTATTAAATGTTGGTTGATCAGGAATAGGTAAAAAATAGAAATTCTAAAATCAATTAACTTGTAATTATACGATAATTCCAAAGTAAAAGTAATCAAAGTTTGTGAACGTATTTTGCCACATAAAATGTGGCGTTATTCTATTGATTTCAGATTGACTCCGAAAAATGTTCTGTAAATTTGCAATTTTAAAACAAGAAGTATACAAGCCAAGACTTATATAAAGTAATCTATTATTTCATTTTCTTAAAAAAATAACTTTGTTAGGTAGTTTATTAAATTATACGTCGTACAAATTACCTGATGAAAAACTAACATGTAGGAAATTGGCTGTCTGCCGAATAGTCTCTCATCACTGGCACTAACCATGAGCCATATAAAATTAGGAGTCACTTTATGTCGTATAATAAGCTTTGGATAAAAAAAGTATTAATTAATTTTAAATATAAATAAGTAAATTAACATGATACAATATCACAAACATTGCTCGGATTCCAAGATGAGTATTATGCAGTATATGAGACAACGAATATATCACTACACTCAGACTCAACTCATTACAGTAGACTTCATTTTCTACCGGGTATCGAATTCGCGACCTTCGAAATGGCGACACCTAGAAACAGGCGTGCGAACCATTCGGTTACGAAGGTCGTTGAAATTCAAATTATTTATTTGCTGACGTCAAATTCGTTTCTTGTCTTTAAGTAGTAAAAGTTACTTTATTTTCCATTCAAAGTGTTATTTTTATAAATTATATACAAATTATATGTTTTAAATAATAAGCCTCCAATCCGCATTGGGCCAGCGTGGAGGGTCATGGCCCATCCTCCTTAACTATCCATAAGGAAGGCCAGGGGTCCAATTCTACTAAATAAACAATTCTTGTTCTATTTTAGCTGGAATTGTATTGTATGTCACTTAGAAGAATAGAAAAACCATTAAAAATTGTAGTTTCGTTCGGTTTCGATCCGTTTTCGATTCGATTTAAACAATATTTACCTAGTAGTAAACAAAATTGGCTCCAATTTACCTGTGCCCCTGCAATGGGGACGTAAGAAGGCTGGTGATGATGATGATGATGAAATAATAAGCTCCTGTAAACATTGTATCATATTGAGTGCAATAAAGTATATTATTATTATTATATCATAGAAAATTAACGTAGACAGTATAGTCAGTCGTAAATACTTAACTGTTACAGCCAGCCCGGTTATCAAAAGGATAATATAATTCAAGTTATTTTTTTATGTATTTTTATTTATAGTGAATTAAAATAAATTACGTATTCTACTGAATTGTTTTTTTGTTATTAGAGCCTTGCACGCGTAGCATGATAATCTCGAGAGACTCGAAAAACGGGTAAGAGCGAGACCAACCGCGTAGCATGACAAATTCGAGAACGTTTTGAGTCCAAATGTCACTTTAGTCGGGAGCGCCTTGATATCTCACTCTCGACCCGAGGAAGGTGACCTTTGGTGTAGACAAAGCATTTCTGCGGCTCTATATTTCTCTAAAAAAAAAGTGTTTATTGAAATAGTTTTTTAATTTAATCATCGATTTTCTTGTTGCAGAATACGGTTTCCAAAAAGTAGTGTTGCTTGGTGTTTAATGAATTTTTTATACTGAATACGTTGTAATGTTTGAAAATGTGATATGATAAGAGATTAACTGTCAATAGCCAGCCGAAACACTCGATTGTTGAAGAATCTGCCGTCCGAATCTATCGTCTTTACAGATAACGTGCTTCGAGATCAGAATGCTTTTGAAAATGTCGAGATAAAATAACAAGATATAATATCACCGATTTCTAACTTACACTGCATTTTAATATAACAAGTTATAGTGATAGGTATGTTTAAATAAAAATGGAGTTAGTGTTATTAGGAATATTCTTGTTGATGTCATTTGTGCAAAGTTTGGATTTGAGAATCGATCCCTTAGTTTTCACTAGTCAAGGTTTGGTGCGAGGTCAAAAGGCTACTGATGGCGACTACACAACGTTCCTTGGTATACCCTATGCAACCGTGGATGAAAATAATCCTTTCGGTGTAAGTCCATATTAAAATAGACTTTCTTTTAATAAATTTCTGCGTAATCTTAGAAACTTTTTGTTATTAACACACTGCTATCACAGGAAACTGTAGCTACTGCGGTTATCACTTCTGCCCCTTTGCACTTTTCACGACATTGCAATTGTACCGTTTCGTACTCTTGATTGGGTACACCAGCGCCAGAGTATGCTAGTGAACCAATAGAGAGTCCGGGGCGGTCGAATTACAATGTCATTGGTCTCGATTGCGTTTGAGAGTAAGGGTGCTGGTCAAACAAGTCGTTCCTTGTTTTCCTTAATGGACATAGTTACGATGGACATTGTTAAATAAATGTTAATTTTTAAGTTCAAAAGTAATCAAATTTGTTTTTTTATGCGTCTAAAGCTGAGCAATTACTATCCGGTATTTTTTGACTATCAATTGGTTTGTATCAAATAGAAGCGACTGTACACAATGTCTACGTAGAATCACATAACGTAGAATAATTATTTACAATAATATATTCACTAGTAGTAGTACAAAAGACAAAATGGTTCGTGATCTCGGTGTAATTTGTCAAGATATCATGTGGATGTCAACAAAAGCTTTTTACTAATTTATTATAACTACATATATCAGTTATTGATTAAATTATCACTTATTTGAATGCTGTCTGCTCTTAAAGTATGTCTATCTTATTTGTTCAATAATCAGTATCCCACTAAATAAATTAAATGCAGTAACATCCGTATTATTGTGTATATTCAAATAATAAATAGCAGTCTAAATAATTAGCATATTTTTACTTAATAATTTAACTTGCTCTTGTTAAAATAAGAAATGTTATATCTAAAAAAGAAAGTACGACTCTTTTAAACTGCACAACTATTTTGAAAATTTAGTAACAACACATATCTTGTTTGACAATTTAATCTAAATAGATGATGTTTTCTCATTTCTAGCCTGCCACACCACACACAGCTTTCGATGAAATAATATTCAGGGCAAATGATGGATCAGCTAAATGTCCACAAACTGACGCATTGCCCTTAGCTAGGGATAGTGACACACAAACAATAGATTGCCTCAAACTCAACATCTACGTACCTAACGAGGCTTCGTCGTACAACCCGTTACCTGTGTTAGTATGGATTCATGGTGGAGTGTTTGCCTTTGGTAGCGCTGGAGAATATAACCCTCGAAAATTAGTTACACAAGGAGTTGTAGTAGTAACCATAAACTACAGATTAGGACCTTACGGTTTCATGTGTTTAGATGTTCCCACGGTACCAGGCAACCAAGGTCTGAAAGATCAGTTCGAAGCATTGCGATGGATTCGAAATAATATCGGTTCATTTGGTGGCAACCCTTACAATGTCACAATTGCAGGGCACAGCGCAGGAGCTTGCTCTGTTCTTCTGCACTTGTATTCATCTAAAGAGAAACTATTCCATAAAGTCATAGTAGAAAGTGGCACCCCACAGAGTGAAGGTATGTTTATCAACGGTGATGTAAATGCTGCCATAAAGTTGGCAGAATATTTGTTGTTTAATACGACAGATACAGAACAAGCATTAGCGTTCTTAGCCAGCACTCCACATAAGCTTGTCACTGCTGCTGCGAGTGCACTTGATTTCGATTTAAAGTTGAGACCTTGCAAGGAAAGGTCATTTAGTGGCATTGAGAATTTAGTTGAAGACGATCCGTATTCATTATCTAACGTGAGAAAAATTACAAACACTCCAGTCTTAATTGGTCATACGTCTAAAGAGGAAAAAAATGCAATCGCTTACAGATCAAATTATTACGATACTGATCCATTTTATGACAAAATAGTTAATAATTATAATTTGAATAACGTAATTGCTTCTAAAGTTTCAAGTATGGTAAGACATTATTATATTGGGGATAAAGATATTTCTGAAGAAGTAGCATCGGAATTAGAAGACTTTGAATCTGATTTCATATTCAATCATCCGATGCAGAGAGTAATTACTGAGTTGTTAAATGAAAACGCAAATCCAGTATATCAATATTTGTTCAGTTATGTGGATGGCTCTCAAGAAGAGGGAGCAGCTCATTCAGCCGAATTGAAATATCTATTTGGCATGCCCGACTTTAATGAACTGACCGAAGATGAGAAATCAATATCTGACAGCATGGTTACAATGTGGACAAATTTTGTGAAATTTGGGTGAGTAAACACTTATTCAAAGGTTTTAAGGGATAATTATATGTTGTGTAAACTTTTACACAAAATATAATTACCAAGAGATTTAAGTTCTAAGCGTATATAATCATTAAGAAAATAGAAAGCAGAATGCCAAGTTAGCAAAAATGATTTCTCTAATATACCCAGAGGTAAAATAGATATATATCTATTTTACCTACTAGATCTACCTATTACGAAAACAAATAGGTTTAGGAATGTGGTATCAATTAGTGGAAGTTCATAATTACTTATCGTTGATATCTCAACATCTGATTGACACGACAATCCAGTGAATGTGTCTCGTATTACAGAATCCTTACATTCAATTTACATGTGGGAGAAATTACCAAATGTTTACCTATACAAATATTTCTGCATTGTTAGTCATTTATTTAACCACCAAAGTCTGGGAGAAAGTTGAAATATATTTTGCCTAACTGGCATTATATTAATTAAGCTACTACGTTATCATAGGAAATCAAGCTTCAATTCATAGAAAAATGATTTTGAAGTTCAAATAACAATCTAAAATTTTGTATATATAATACGTTTACATGCTCAAATTGTTATTATTCCAGAAACCCTACACCTGCAGCTTCAGGATTAGTGACATGGATCCCGAGCACCTCAGAATCCAGACCCTACTTGGTCATAGACAACAATATGCGAATGGAGAGTAGGATTTACAAGGAACGCATGGCGTTCTGGGACTTATTCCACGAAAATTATGGATCTACCAATGTCCTTGCGAGAGTGTGCAAGGTCTAATTTTAGATGTAATATCAACATCTCGTCATAATTATAATTAAAAAATTATTTATTCAAACAAAATTTGTTTAACTTAAACAATTAAAAGTATTTCAAAACTTTTGAAGTATATTCATCATAATTAGTGTTCGTCAAATGCATAATTGAAAAAGAGAAAATAATTATAATATATTAGGTATATGTATACTCATTTTGTAATTAACATGATCTACCAAATTGTGATACCATCATAAACACAGCATCGAAGGCAACGTCAAATATATTTGATTGAATCGTAAGAGGTTGACACTCAATTGCATAAACGATCTTTAAGGTTTAATGGCAATTTTAAATTTTAATGTAATTTTGCAATTTTAAGGTCTAATGTATTGGCATTTACACGAGTTACATAATACGTTACACATATAAAATTTCAAATTTAAAACATAGACTAAAGATTTCTTAATTTGAAATTGATTTGATTTTGATTTTGAATAGGTGTCAATGAAGGTTTTATTTGACTGACAGTGAGTTGCACAAAGGTTCATTTTATCATTAGTTTAAAGCCATGTCACAATTAGTTTAAAGCAAAGTGACATTACCCATACAACTTTGACATTCATTAGCCATACAACTTAAACATTAATGGATGTTTGTGCAACTGACCGATAATCTACTGTCTCTAATGCTGCAACAAAGTTGTGTTCGACGCTGTGTTCCATTCTATTTTATAGAGGACCTCTATGGTTATTTACTTTTTATTTTAACTTTCCAAAAAGAAAATCTCTCGGGCTTGTAACACAAACGAATGTTATAACAGTTTGAATTTAATTTTGACAATTCGCTGTACAGGTACGTACACATTTTTTATCAGCGTATTGATTCAGAACAATTCAAACACAATGTTGTTGCATTTTTAAACGATACAGAGCGACCGTTAGAATATTGCTTTGTTAAATTTTTAAAACGAGTGATGGTATGTCATCTGGAGCAAACGGAAAACGGCTATCAGGCGAGCGCGACGTCCTGATCTTACGAACAAAGAACTGCGCCTACTTAGGTCTGCCCACACGATCCGTTTGTGCTTTCCGTCAATGCACAATGAGCAATTGTAATGTAACAGTTCGTTGAATCTCTAGAGTTGTTTTGTACCTGTACAATTTCGTGAAAGGTGACAAACAACAAACATCATATGTGAAAACTTTTAAATGGCCTTCAGCATTTATTGTATTGATATATCCTCAAACACAGCTGTAAGTTTTCTTTAAAATAAACAAAAAGAATAAAAAAAACTTAATCGTACAATACCTTTACAGTGTTTTAATATTATATATTGAGGGCACCCATACCAAAACCATTATGCAATTTAAAATTCATAATGTAATAAATTTCAAATAAACCGCATAATAATGTTTACATTACTTAATTTATGGGTGATACAAATTTTCAATTTCTTCTCATTATGGTTAAAAAAGATTAAAATAATTCTTAGAACTATAAATATGGTTAGTAAATCGGGTAGTAAAAATTATGGCCATTAAAACTACGCCCGAAAGTTTATTTAATTTATCAACCATTTTTCTATAGTTTTTATTATGCGACTTTTTATAAGTTAGGTTTAGTTTAAAAAAAATACGAATATGCGTCCTCTATGGAATCGAAATATGCCTATTCTTGAGAAATTTTTACAATAATGTTAACAGTTTGCAAGAAATGATTACTCGATTAACTAAGTAAATCTCTCGATATCCGAAATGGAATTGCGAAAGGTTGTGGGTTCGAATTCGATCGTGGGGTAGGAAAGACCAGAGTTTTTAAAGAATTTTGGTAAGTTTTTAAAGAATTTTTGTCTGAGATATTTTTTATAACAAAATAACTGGAAGAAAATTTCCAAATAAACCCATGGCACTACGGTGATACAAACCATAATATTGACACTATAGAAATTAACTTTCACTATCCCATCGCGGTTCACCAAAGTATTAGTTACGCCAGGTTTTCACAATTTTTCTTGGCTTTCGTGCGTAACCGCCTTAACCTTTGTTATGCCGTTTGTTAGTAAATAAATAGAATCATTAATAGCTTCTATGAAGATATAAATCGTTGCAAAACTTGTATTACTAGTAAGATAAAATACGTACATATTATTGTATACGTATTTTATCTTACTTTATTTTTAATGTAGCAAGATTTGCAATATTTCAGTCTTAATAAACCAAACCAAACTAAAAAAAAATTAAGAATCAAATGACTTCTTTTTGAGTTATATTATTTAATATTTATTCTTTTTCAATATAGAGTGATGTTTTTTCCTTTACGTATTTTTTCTTATCTTTTTACACATGTTTCTTAAATTGTCTCGATATTTAAAACACAGGTTAGCTTAATAATGTGAACGTACTTCAAAACCTAACTTTAATGCAAGTACAAAAGACATAAACGTGTAAAATGAAAACGAATACATAGATAGGTTCCTAGCTTATAAGGCGTTCCAATCATAACTATTGTATATTCTATTTTGGTATCGATTGCAAAGTCCGATCATTTGATGGGTGACCAGAAGATTGATTATCTGAATCTCCTCTGTGGAAGGCATATCCTGGCTGCGTGTACAGTCGTTAACACACACCAAACCGCACCGAGCCCGCGTGGTGGCTTATGGGCCATTCCCCATGGTCGAGGCCACAATTAAGCCCCATCCCCATCTGTGGAGACATAAAAGGATGATTACGATGATCTTAGAAGAAATATGTCAGAATCTTTTCGTTGGTATATCACACGTAATCTTATGCAATGTTTTTTTATATCTTTTAACCTTATCTGTACCTATGAGAGTAGTATACAATCACACAGAAGGGACAAAGCGATGTCGTTCTTGCGTTCACCTTGGACAGAAGTAGGTAGTATACACAATAAAAGATGTATTGTAAACGAGGAAAATCGGCAAAAAAATACCGTGTCCATGCCCAATACCTATCAATAGTTGAAGTTATGTACACAGAGTGCATACATGCGTATGTAAATGTCGATGTATTCCCATAAAAATAAAGTACTTAGTAATTCAAATTATGGTTGGAATCTATTCTCGATTACGTACAATATAGAGGTAATATGGACTCAAGTTCCAATTTAACCAGATAAAACATCGTTTCCTGACCTCGGGTCATAAGCGATTATTAGGATGGGTTGATTCCTTTCAGCCCTTTTACGTTCCCACTGCAGAGGCTCAGGCCTTCCTTATGTCTAGTCAAGGATGGGCCTTAACCCTCCACGTTGGCCCAATGCCGATTGAAGGGTACAAATGACTACAAATGCTGCCGGGACCAACAACTTACGTCTTACGGCTTCCGAAGCACGGAGGAGCTCGAAATATTATTATTTTGGTCACCCATCCTATGACTGGCCATGGCAAAAGTTACTTAATAACCGTATCGTAGACCGAATGCTCTAACCACTCCGCTATCGAGAATTAGTTAATGGATATTAAATACATTGTCTTATTTATATAAAAATCATAATACAAGTAACAAGTTTACATGGTTGCACGTCAGAATAGCACAATATGTCAAAATTCCTCAATCAATTTGACTTCATCTACAATGTATTAAATTTTAAAATCAAGTAGAGAAATTTGACAGTTTTGTATAGTCTGATGTGATATTGACTGTACATTATGTTTGTACTAGTGTCATTGTAGAATCGAAATACTTAGAGATAATATGATATAGGTATAGTTATAAATATATTTCAACAACAAAACAATATCATCAGATATCGGCTGCTAAGCAAATTTCATAACTGTATTCTTCAATAGTCGGAGAAACAAGGACAACAATATTCATGTCAGGGTTTTTGATAAACCTGCGTAGGTGTATAAGATATTAACATTGACTGTTTACAATCACAAGTGGACGATTATAGAAAAATCTTTTTATGAACTTTATATAGGTACCTATTTCTATATTTTTTTCCAATAATTTGTTCCAGAATAAATTAAATAAGTATCTAATATCTCTTTTAATAAGGCATCATAATTCTCTGCTATTTACTTTTTATCACTGTTCATTACTTTAAAAAATATAAAATATTAAACAGAATTTTAATTTTACCAAAAAGTGTTTTGGTATTTTGACGAAGGAAAGCTTAACGGGCTCTCGTCATAATTTTTGTTTGAGACTGTTATTTAAGGCGGAGAACTAGTAGAAATGGCCATAATTATTATTTTTTTAAATTAAAGGACTTTCTCTTGTTACTTCGAAGACTTCAAAAACGGAACAGTACTTTTGCAAAAAGAATTATAAATTGCGACCACATTGTAATTCTACTACGGAGATACGTAACCCTTTGCTATTAGCAAATCAATAAAAATACAAAACGACTTAATTAATAAAACAAGGGTACAAGGCCTCAATTCTGTTAATGTTAACGCAACAATGGTATCTCAACGGCGTCTTAATTAATTGGATTATGTCGAATATTTTGCTTACAATGGAGACTTGATAAATCAATGGTGTCAAATAAGAATAAGAAACACTTATTCTGTGATATAATAACGACAACCTTGCCCAAAATAAACGGTATTGAAGCGTCATTGATCGCTTACCATAAATAAGGTCCTATAATGTTCTTCTGTAAAAAATACAGCACCGACCACAGAACTGTCGCAGCATTAAAGGCTAAATCAAATAAATCCTTTTGGAGAGAGTTTTATTTGACTGAAATTCTAATGCTTTGTTTACCGTACATCAATTCTGATTGGAAAAGTGTTATCAATCCTCGTATAGCAGGGGTCGGCAACCTTATGAAACAGAAGCGTACAAAATTTGTAGTTTTTAAAGAGAGACTGAAAGACTTCATTTATTCGGATTTTATTTTAAACTAGCTGACCCGACAGACGTTGTCCTGTCATTTTTATGAATATTGAATACGAATTGGCATAATAAAAAAAAATTAAAAAGTGTTTATTATTCTAGTACAACATTCTTAGTTTTTACACCCTATTTGACGATATTTGCAGCACGCATTCTTTCAATTCTATATCGAACGTCATAAGGTTACATTAAAAAAAGTTTGTATTAACCAAAGCACTAAAGTGAAATATATACTTATAATAAATCTGTAGAGAGGTCAATTCTGTACATGAAATATATTTCCAAAATAACTATCAGGGGGTGATTAGGAATCGATACTGATGCCAAAAATGCAATCAGTAAAATTTTTGTTTGTCTGTCTGTCTGACTGTCTGTATAACCGTTATAGAAACAAAAACTACTCGACGGATTTTAACAAAACTTGGTACAATTATTTTTCATACTCCTGAGCTGGTTATAGTATACTTTTCATCACGCTACAATCAATAGGAGCAGAGCAGTGAAGGGAAATGTTGGGAAAACGGGAGAAGTTACTCCATTTTTAAGCTTCCGTCGCGTGTGCAACCTTAATGGTTAAAGATACCCAGAAATCATGTATGACAGAAATGTTCTCCTTAAAATTATATAAAAGTTTGTTTGTTTGTTTGTTTGAACTCGCTAATCTCAGGAACTACTGATTCGAATTGAAAAATTATTTTTGTGTTGAATAGACCATTTATCGAGGAAGGCTTTAGGCTATATAACATCACGCTGCAACTATTAGGAGCGAAGAAATAATGGAAAACGCGAACGAAGTCGCTGGCGGCCACTAGTTAGAAATAATGGTGGTTAAATATTCTTAAATTATCAAATTTTCTTGTTATTTCCTTTCATAAAAACCTTCTCTAACAATAACAAACACAAAGAAAAAAAATACGATATCGGTCTTGCCGTTCACATTTAATGGCGTGACAAAGAGAAATAGGGATTCATATGGATTGATTACACGATGTAAAGAGCTTCGACTAAAATATTTTTTGTAAATAGAACTAAAGAACCGCAACTTGACATCGAAGGAATCGCAGGTTGTCGAACCCTGTTAGCAATAAATTCTAGTGTTTGGTGAAATCAATTGCTTTGGATTGGGGAAGGTGCTGAGTTTATTAGAAAAATAACCTGAATATACGACTCACGCATGTATATGTTGACCGGTTCCTTGTCCGTGGTGAACAGACATTCATCATTGGTGACGTTCAGTCGGTACACTCCGAATTGGCCGACTTCAGGTCTCAGCTGGCACACCATGCCCCTGTAAAAACGATAGCACGTTTGACAAAGGTATACTCATACTTAATTAAGGAGAAAAACAGAAATATTATAATTAATATTAATGTTAGTAAATTAATATTTGCGAATTTTAGTGGTAGTAAACAAACATACGTAAAAAGGTATATTGATAAAAGAAACTTTTAAATTGTTATTTTAAGACTGCTTTCATTACTGTAAAGTATATTCAAATTTTGTATCTCATTAATTAACCTTCGAACATCAGCATCGGAGATAAAATAACAAAAATAGATGTCTATATAAACACGTTTCTACTTAAAATATCCCTATCGTTTTCCTAACCTATAATTATTTCAGCATCTAATTTACAATTACTTTCTGTATTAACGACGAAAGCGCGAAAAAGACAAAAACGATATCACAAATGTAGCAATTTGCAAAATTGTACTTTTAATAACCTTGGTCAAATGAAGTGAATTCTAGTCGAATGACATAAGTTAATATTTATCAGATTAACTAATTAACATTTTGGATAGCATTGAAATATTTCGAATCGTTACCTAAATGATTAATCTATAAATTAGATACAAAAATATTTAAATGAACCTATTATAGCTAATTTAATAAAAAAAATCATAGAATCTTAATAAAAAAATGTGGTCATTGCCAGTGTATTGCTAAATAAAATTAAAAGTAAGAAAGCAGACCTTTATGAACGAACCTTGATAAAGTACATTTGCTGTTTCTGTATAAAATGAGTTGTATATTATAATAATGCGTGTACAAAAAATTCAATGTCAAAACTCATTGAATGGCCACTTTCACAAATCGTTGGGTGTAAACGTGTAGTAAGAACTCGTCTTTCATGAAATCTTCAGATTAAATAATCTTTATTCGAAAACAAACCATACTTTATTTGTAGGTACTTGTTAGACCCATAATAATGAATAAATATATATACTTGATTGTATAGTGATAGTCGTAAAACACATAAAAACACACAATGAGAAACATAAACGCAAAAGCAATCCTTATCAGGCTACCTTTGGCTAAAAAAAACTATACTGCGGGATATTGAAGAAAGAAGAATGAAGAATATTTATAAGAGTAAATATATACAATAAAGACGATTACTCGTTGCGGTTGCATGATTACATAGCTGACCAAGCCATACATTGCTGTGGTGCCTGTGTTTCATAGAATTAAATAATTGATATACTCGTATAAAAAGATTTTAACTTAAACCGAGTTATAGATACATATGAAATTTGATTATAAGCATATTTTTAATAATGGCCATAAAATTTTTATATGTAGATAGATATAACTTATTGGTTAGAAAGTAATTATATTAAATCCCTTTTCTCGTCGTGATGTATTTATATGAAAAAGTTCCATAAAATTTTGTAAATATACTTACAAAATTTTATGGAACTTTTTCAATATCTATACCAAGACAACCGAGCGCCGTAGTAAATGGTTTTAACAAATAACGAAGAGGAAATCAAGACTTACGTGGTATTTCTGGAGCTGATGTACTCATCACTGGCGTCAGAGTATATTCTCCAGGTGGCGCGTCGGACTGTACTCACTACCCAACTTTCCTCAGAACCTTCATACAGAGACTTCTGCAACTCGTAGGGACACTGAAAAATATTAAACCAGTTAAGCCACATTCTTATTAATTTTTTACGAAATCGCTGGTCTCGAAATCAATTAAAGCTTGGTGGTTAAAATTAGCTACAGAAATCAACTTTAAGAAAATATTCATATATCAGAAGCGTGGTTTGTAAATTTATTGTAGTACATCACATAAATTTTTTGACTCCTTGCAATGAGATTTAATTAATTTACATGTAGCTGAAAAGCTTAGTTTCTAGTACCCACGATTCTTCTCGTATAAACTTTATGATTCTTTTACTGTGGTTATTCATGGCAATTAATATTTTTTACCATGGAATTGTATGTTCAATTTGGTGTTTTTTATATATATATACATATATGTGTGTATCGCTTAAGTAAAACATTGTTAAAAAACACAAATTTATCACAATTCGTATGTACACTACGAGGTATTTGATAAAACACAAAATATATCAAAATAAACAGTTTAAAACACAAAATAATGAGGTAAAATAAATATGAACTTGCTAAATCCTTTTTTAGCATAAAAATATAAAAAAATACCTTAAAAAATAAAACTAATTAAAACCAGCCGAGCACGACGCCTTATTTAACATTCGTGGGAATATTGCGATTTTTTTTTTTAATATACAACAACGCTTATGTAACACTGTTGTGTAAATATATCGACACATTAAAAATTTACCAAGCGGACAAGAATGTAAGGAAATCGTTTTTATTACTACCATACCTAATTGAAAAATGTTATTGTCAGTTTTTGCTGACGCTCCTATTGCAGTGTTTTATCATACATCGGTAATTATACACTTGCAGCTGTTAGCAATGTTTGTATTAGAATTTCTCTATGACTAAGCGCGACCGCAAGCGCATTATTTGAAACAGTATTAATTTTAACGTTTTGTTTACGATATCGATAAAATTGTTTTTTTTTTTTTGTCAGCCAAAAAACAATCAAAATAATAATAATAAAATGGGTAGTGAGCGTTGGATAAATGAAAAGTGCTTTAAAATGTTTCAAGAAAAGAAATAAAGTTAAACAAAAAAGGTAATAATATATATCTTTATTCAAGTAAGCTTGTTACAAGCACTATCGAATGGTCCAAAAATTTTTATCCCCTACTATTTGTTCTGGACGTCTTTTAGCTGACATGAAGAACAAACGAAAGAAGCTTACCAGCTCTTTATCATAAGTAATGTTATTTATATAAATCATGTCATTACCAAAATAATATGTATTATCACAATAATAAATACAACTTTCAAAGTCTGTAGGTCATAGTTTGTACATAACTAAGTATAATTAGTAGTTTTAGAACAAAGCGAAGGCTATTAATTCCATGCATCGCGGTCCTTAGAATAATCATCAACTTTATAATAGCCTTTACTCATAAGTATGTTCTTTACATGAATTTTAAATTTATGGGTAGGTCAATTACATTTTGTAGAACTTTATTGAACATAATAATGCATTTACTCAGAATATTGGTCTTTTCATATTGGTCTAAATGTGTAGAACATGTATACATTTCGTGGTGGTTTTAAGGAATACGTCATACCTAAGTACGTCAGTATTCATCAACTCCGCAAATATAGAAGAGAAATTTAAAATAATACAATCAATGGATTTTTGAATTTATAAGTATAGAATTCATCTTCTTAGACTATTATGGAGGTGACGCCTATTAAATAAACAATAGAAGGATTTGACGATATGCATAATTAAATTTTCATCTTCGAAATAAACGTTAATTAAGAAATTCTTTACAAAAAATGTTTTGTGAACAAATAGTTAAGTGTTTTGTTTGTTTATTCTATTGTCAACAAAGACAAAGGAGTAAAAAATCTATAATATCTTTTAAGCGAAAACATTTTGGATTTCTCGGACTTTTACAGAAAAACATGATTCTTATAACAATATCGAGGAAACATAAATCTATTTTTATAAAGGTTTCTATCATAGCCTTCACTAGTTAACTAATAGAAACGATATAGGTAAGTATTTTAGTTGCCGATTTGGTTGACCTTTCATAACTGTTTATACCCGTTAGTTCAACGTCATCTAGACAAATATAATTAAGTTGTTATATATACTTCTGCTCAGTATTCTGTTACAACAGCTCTGATACTAACAAATCATAGCTGTTTTTATGAAAACATCTAGGAACGACAAACTATTTAAACATTACTTACATGATTGGTTTGAAATGAACGCAGATCTGCTGGATTTTGAAAATTCTTGCATTATGAATGCTGTATTATTACTTAGGCAATGGGTAAGGCTTTTTGTACAAAACAAAAGTGAATATAATATATTTTAAGCAAAAACTATCATTTTGGACTTAATTAAATGATTCAATAAAAATATAGTTCTGTAGTGTTGTCGCTTTAATCGGCTGAGTTGAAAATGATCGCGAAGAAAACATTAAATACTTGCCGTCTACCTTAAGGCCGTTTTAGAGGCAAAATGGGAGCAAAAAGGACCTTTTCGGCTTTCACACTAGTCGTTGAAATTTCTTTTGTAAGTTTTTAGCTGACTTCAAAATAGTAAAGGAGGAGTCTCGGCGGCGATGTATTTTTTTAAAGTCAAAAGTTTGATATTTCCCAATTGATCCCCAAATCCATTTTATGATAATTCAAGCTTATTTTCTTGATGGATTTACGGTATAAGTGATACCGCGCTATTCCGCAATAAAAGAGGGTGAAAAAAGGCACGGTATCTTGGAATACGAAAATCTCTGTAATGCGGGTTTGAAACCTTAATTTACTAAGTGTAGATTAAGTTGGGCTAGGTATATTTCTATATTTTACAAAATCTATACCCCATTTTGTAGTTTGTATCAAATATATTCAGAATTTTCTGAAGTAAACAAAGTGTATGTGTGTTTAATGAACGACCGCCCTATTTCTGGGGAAAATCCCGTGACGCGTTTAATTTAATTCTAGGAAACCGGGAATCGGTAATCATGTTCGACGTTGTTGTACCATAAAGCAACAGTAATATTCCAATGAATATTAACTAGAAATATAATAAAAAAGTTCGGTTTTTACAAAGTTTTCTAATTTTAGCGATAAAACATTTACATAATAATAATTCATTTTAGAAGTTCTTATTGTATCTAGGATAACCAGGTGTTGCCGGCAGGCTCCTTGGCGAATCCCGGGTCCTTTATCGGATAATATAAAAAAAAACTACATAGGTATGGTATTTTGCATACATATTATAACCATTTTAATTTGCAGAATCAAAAACACAAAGATTCCTTGCTCCATTTCCATTTGCCGCTACAGAAATTCAATGAACGAACGAACAAGTATAATATTTACGGTCGTTGAACGTTATATTACTATTGCGTCCCAGTTTTTCAGCCGGAAATTAAAAAATGTAAGTAATCAGTCGTATTACGATTTTTATTTGTGACAAGAGTCAGGTAGAGTTAACTGAGCGTTGCAAATGACGTATTACTCAAATACTAAATAAAAAATAGGTGTATTATATAATGTGAGCCGTTTTCCCGTATAATTATGGCCAAAATAACTTTACATAAACATTCAAGTTTAAATTTATTAATGTTCTTTGTTTTGGTGATGCTTTAAACTAGTGATAATTTTACTGGACGTTTGTGGCTCACGTACGTACGATGTAGCATGTAGCTAAACGTAGTTGAAAAAGAAATCAAAAATTAGTTCAGTATGTAGTTTCCAAGGCTATTCAATGCAAACAAGTAATGAAATCTTGACCTGCCGAGAAAAGAAGCGAAAGCCCTTGGCATTATGATATGATGTAATGACACATGCACAAACCACACACAATGTAAAGCCAGAATTCAAACCCGGGAGCTCACATTGGCGACATCTATAAACCGGTGTGCGAGACAAGTGCGAGAAGGTTACGGCGGCCGAATTAATTGAAGAATGCGCTTAAAGTCAATTATTTATCTACTTTTCCTATAGTAAACGAGTATAATAATGAAAAGATATGAATTGAATGGTCAATTTTAGAACAAACTTTGTATTAATTATATTTGATAAATTTTTGCATATACCTCTGGAAAATATTCCTAATGAAGAATGCTTAAAAATCCACTTTGTCCCATGTACTCTGAGATGGGATCCCATCCCATTAACTTAGTATTTATTTCAATCTAGAAAAAGTTATAAGTTTACGTTGAAAGCCAAATGTGGTGTATTTAATTGTGCCTAAAAAGCGGGGGTATCATCCTCCATACAGTTTTTGTACTTAAGGACTTTCTATACAATCATATTAGCTTTATTATTAGCACGTGTTATCTAACGATTTCAAAAGTATACATTTTTAGTTTTATAACAACTTTGCGTATGTATTTTGAAGAATTTTGCTTTATCATAAGTGTAGTGTGCACCTAAATATAATGTGATAATATTGTGAATGACATTGCAAAAGAAAAATCTCTGTGACAGGCAGACAATTGTAATTCAACATGTAATTGACATTTCTATGTTGCTTTCATTTATTTAAACTTTGCTTTCATGAATTTGAAACACTACCCTCTGTGCAGATTTTGTCTACATAAATATTATTTATACTAATATAATAAAGAGGAAGGATTTGTTTGTTTGTTTGCATCGAATAGGCTTCGAAACTACTGAAGCCATTTGAAAAATTATTTCGCCTACTGCACTGATACACATAAACTATCCTACGGGAAGCGATATCATAGGCGGGTAATATAGGCTATAATATACATGGGTGAAGTCGCGAGAAATATCAGCTAATAAATGATAAAATAATAAATAAAAACCTTTGCACGTTTCTAATCATTACAACAAAAAATGCACTCAACCTTTTTTAACAAGTACCCTCTAGGTAGTTAAAGAGTTTCTTTTCCGTCTTATAATTAGAACACACCCAACCTTGTATTATGTGATACACATTAAAGAAATAATAAGCAATAATACCTATACACAGCGTTAAAGTTATTAATTACCCTCAATTTTTAATTGTAATTAATACCTTGACATAATTGAGTCACATGTGTTGTTAATATCAGTCTACTATAACAAACGGTAAAACCAATTTACAATATAAAAGAATTCAATATATACTTTAATTATCAAGCACTTGCATAAAAGCAAGATTATAATTAAACAGTTTGTTGAATATATCAAATTGATAATTGATTTTACATTTTCTCTTGTTTATCCGAGTGGGAAATATTTGGTTCGTCTTTCATAATCATTGTGAAGGCAGTTTTAACTTAAAACAGAGGCACTTGCGGCTAACGAAAGAGCCTGTGCTGAATGCAGTCAAACCAGTTGCAAAAGACTAACCAAAAACGTCAGGTTTGCAGGACGCGAGCAAAATATTATGCACGTCTACCAATAATTATTTATTTAAGACATTACCATTACAATAATTAATCTCAGTTTACAAAAATACGCCGTGACACTACCTGGTTATTTCATAAAATCTATCTCTTCAAAAATATACATATCTAGCGACTTCCTACAGTAAAGTTGTTTTTTTTTCAACTTTAGTGTAAACAAGTAGTTTAATTTTGTGCAAAAAAGAATAAAAGATAGAATTCATAAGTGTCGTAATGCATAAGTATTTCCTGTAACATTCATGAGCACATATTAAGTTGTTTATTTTTAAAGACCGTTCTAAAGAGGTCATTTTGGATTTAGTTGGTCTTCATTATTACTGTACTTCAAGTCCACGTTTGCAGACATGTCTTAAGAGGTCGCGTACACCAAAAATATCTTTAAATTGGTTTTGTAATGCTTTTTTATTTTGGTTTGGGGAAATAACGTCCAGATAACTTGTTATTGAAATTCCAGATAAGTTGACATTCAAAACGTTGATTTATATATTTTTTCCCATAGGAAAAAGTCACACACAGTTATCCCAAAAATTCCTGGTTTTTTTTTATTTATTCTCCTCATTATACTCTTTTTTTTCACACTTTTCTCTATAGGAAAAAATTGTAAATATATGAGTATTTCGCTACTCTCTGTCCCTATCAATAGTAAAGAGACAAACCACGACAGTATTTTGACCTTACGCCCACCCTTAACTAAACAAAAATATATGTGGACTTACACGAAAACAGTCATCGGACACGCTGTAGACAGCAACATTCCTATCAGCGGTTCCGATCACATAAGCCTGGTCCATGTTCAATGCCGTCATATTGAGCTCACCATGCTCAGAGCCAGGGTGTTCCAGCCACGACTGTAGCATCTCCTTATACCACTGCCAAGAGTGGTTCGAAGGGACTTCAGAATCGTTCATTTCCACAGGAATTAACACACAAAAAAAATTAAATAACTTTACTCGAAAGCTTTATCGTTGTTTCTATTATTGTTTATAAGCAAATCACTGTTATGCCATTGTTAAATGTCGCGGTTGTGCGTTATATTATAGTCGATTCACGCGTGCAAGTTGCGTTCGATCCGAGACAGAACTGAGGCACAACCACTAATAAACCGGTGTCTGTCGTTTCGCGCGTCTGCGACGCAACTCGCCACTTGCAGACTTTCTGAATCATCAAGAGAAAATAAAACATTTAAATGAAAGCGCGCGGTCTGACGACGCTACGGTTTTCCCGCCAAAAGAACTTTTAAATAAAGCATTGCCCCTTAGGTTTCCGCGAAAAATTTTAAGCGCTATTAACCTTATATTTGGTAATTCACAGTGCAAAAAGGTTAATAATCAAAATAATCTCTATTCAAAAAGTTTATTATCAAAAATACTATTAAATCGTCTTACATTTTTTAATCTATTTTGGCTGATAAGAACGAGTGAATGACGTACCGAGATTTACAAAAACCATATCATTACCAAAGTGGAACAAACAACTGACTGTATGAAGTAAGTAAGTAAGAACAACAAAAAATAAAAAAACTATGATAAAAGCAAGAGAATAATTTTGAAATATAACAAGTACCCATACAAGAAATCACCTATTAAGTTGTTTGGGTACACCATTATAATTTTACCTTATAATAAACTTTTTTGACAAGTATTTTTATGCTATTTTATCAATGTCACATTGGATCAACAGGCATAATAGTTTTTTTTCTAACAGGTAGTTGCCAACTACCTTTTTTTCCAAAATCTGTGAATGCAGTTTACAAGCTCTATCTAATTTATAGATAGTCCTAGGACAATTTTCATAAAACTATAAAAATCTCAAATATCCTGCTTAAAGATTTCCAATCTGAAACATTCATGATAATACACTCACTTATAGCGAAAGGAACAAAATACTGAAGAAATTTATTTATTTAACATTACATTGCACAATACGCTAAATTTTACAAAGAATAGAGATCTCATCCGAGCAACCCATAAAATTCAAGTCTGATTTAAATCTCGGAAAATTCAAGTCTGACTTAAGACTCGAGTAATTCAAATGGTAAAGCACCAACGGCTGCACCGTTTATATATTTCTCTCTATAATAAAAATTAACTGTTCGGAATAACAATTTTTAATGTAAACAAAATCTCTTATCAATCCCCTATCGAGAACTATTCGATGATTATATGACCTACATAACAATAAGCAAACAACAATATAAGAGTAATTTATCAATAACATTTGTTTTGTTCAAAGATAGAGTTTTCTTTAGCCATACAAGCATGATAATGCAATACGCATGGATGTTATTAGCGTAGGTATATAATAATTTTCCATACAGATGTGGTTTCTTTTTTATTCTATTTACAGTTTTTTTACAATTTAGTGTTTTTAAAATTCAATATAACAATAATGTATAAATGTTTATGTACAGTTATACGAGTCTGTCAAATTTTCCACTTGATTTTCAACCTTAAAGTTTTCAGGATAAAATTTAAAAGCAACTGTAGAAAGACGTTCTGTGGTAACCTGACGTGCAGACGTGTGTTCTCCAAATATTCATAAGTAATTAATTTGAACAAACAATTTTTTCTCTTGGATATCACCGCTGACCGATAACATGATTTTGTCTATATTCGACATGAAGAGCAGAAGACCTGGTTTTTTGCATTATAGCAAAACTAATACCGCTCTGGCAGCTTTGATTTGTCACAGTTTACTTCGTCGTTACTCTTAAAATGGCTAAAACCAGGTCATAGGTAAATTTCAAATAGCCAAAACCGGGTTATCTGCTCTAACAGAAGTAGATACTACTCGTTGTAAGTCTATACGAGGGTCAAACTGAAAGTTCTTAGAACTGGCCACTTATAAACAATATAATAAAAAAATAATTCTAAAATTTGAAAATATAACTCTTTGCCAATATTACTGAGTATATATTTCATTCATTTGTCATTTGTTTTACGATTTGGCGGCAAATTGAAAATTGTCTGTGTCACGTCATCATGAATTTAACACGAGAAAATTTTCGTGCAATGATTTTTTATGACTTTCGATGTCATTTAAGTCAACAAGAAAGTTATGATAGACTACGATTGGCCTTTCACGATGAAGCCCCATCTCGTGCGACTGTTTACAACTGGTTTAATGAGTTTAAACGTGGTCGCACTAATCTCACTGATGATTTACGTGAGGGACGGCCTTCTACGGCGACGACTGAAGATAACATCTGTGTTGTGCGGCGTATGATAGAGACTGACAAAAGAGTGACCTATCAACAGATTCGGACAAGCTTAGGCATCGGTATGAGTCAAGTGCACAAAATCCTCCACGAACATTTAGCGGTCAGGAAGCTTTGCGCCCGGTGGATACCTCATAATTTGACTGAGGCTCAAAAACTCCATCGTGTGGATTGGTGTCGTAAAATGATTGAAAGATTTAACGGAGGTGACTCAAATGCTGTGTTCGACATACTAACAGGTGACGAAAGCTGGATTTACTGTTATGATCCTAAAACCAAAAGACAATCTGCTCAGTGGGTGTTTCCTTTCGAGGAGTTGCCAACTAAAGTGAAGAGAGATCGAAGTGCGGGAAAAAAAATGGTGGCCTCGTTCTTTGGAAGGATAGGTCATTTTGCAACAATTGTGTTAGAGGATCAAAAAACAGTTTCTGCAGAATGGTACACTACCAATTGTTTGCCACTTGTCTTGGAAAAAGTTCGAGAGAAACGACCTCGCAGTAGGATCCTCCTTCACCACGACAACGCCTCGTCGCACACCGCCAAGCGAACGATCGACTATTTGGCGACATCAAACGTTGAATTACTGGGTCACCCGCCGTATAGCCCCGACCTCGCGCCTTGTGATTTTTATTTATTTCCAAAAATTAAAGAAAAACTTAAAGGAAAGCGGTTTATGAATGCTGAAGAAGCGGTGGCTGCGTATCGCGATGCCATTGAAGAGACCCCTAAGGACGAGTGGGCAAAGTGCTTTTCCCAGTGGTTCCATCGCATGCAGCGGTGTATTGACGTGAATGGATAATATTTTGAAAAGATATAATAAAACTAATAACTGGCTAATGTAATCAGTTTTTGATTTTCTAAGAACTTTCAGTTTGACCCTCGTATAATTGGTCATTGAGTATATACTATGTTAGCCTCACGTATGAAACACGAATCATTCATTCGCTCATGCTTTGTTGCGACAGCGACGTCTCCAGCTACAAGTCTACAGCTACCTATTAAACAGTGTACGGTTTGTTGCCTCAGTTAGCCGGATAAGCGCACAATGTTAGTATTTTTTATATTTTACTCAAAATTAAAATTTTAGAAATTCGAACAACTAATGTTGCCAGTTTAGTTTTTATAATTTTTAGTTTTTATAATTTGCTACATATGATTCCTCTATAATTATATGCACTTCAGGTATAGAGCTGCCCTGCAATTTTGTAAAAGTCCAAACCCTCCGGCGAACAAGTCTGTTTGATATCTTAACATAAATAAGTAAAAATACGTATTAAAGTCCCGAAACTGAAGATTAATATTGCTCAAATAATTGTAATTCAGCAATCGCTAAGTTTCGGGAATATGATGGGAATATTGCGACCAACTTAAAAATAACCATCTGTATTACTTAAATTATATAATTTAGTATATTACACACTTTTTTATTCTGGCTTTCCTTGACATTACTGCTGTATGCCACATACACAGTGAACTTGAGCGTAGCCAGCCTTGATGCGGCTAATAAATCAAACGAATCCAATGTCATAATGAAACTAGAAAACGATTTTGCGAGTTATAGGCATGCGACTCACAGTTCATGTATCATTTTAAGAGAACAACCTTCATAGCACACGCAATTTAATACTTTACATGTTCTATCAACTTATTAGACCAGTTTTCTTAAGTTTGAGATTGACCGTCGTGATTCACAAACGTCGAAACCGTTACAGGATCATGCTAGTATTTTTTTACGTTATATTTTAATATAAGCGGAATAAAAAAAACTGTTCATATATTATCATTCTTAAATTCACAATGTTCAGACATATTTTAGTGTTTTTATCGAGTTTTGTAATCGTGTTGTGTGATCGAAACTTTGGGACGCCCGCTGGCTATATGTCTGATTGTAAGTGCCTCTATTTTACTCCATGTTCAGATATAGGCATTTGAAGATAAATGATGGTAAAAGTAGGCATCTTCTTATTAACCAGGACTAACATTCTCAAGCAAAGAACTTTCAAAATACCTTAAGAATTTTGGAAGTTCGATTTCAATGCAAGCTGAAAAGCGATACCTATGAACACTGCCTTAAAAAATAACTAGCTTCCCGCCAGCGGCTTCACCCACGTGATCCTGTATTATACCTACATATAAACCTTCCTCTTGGATCAGGCTGTATATTGATGAAAACGGCATTAAAATCCGTTTTGTACTTTAAAAGATCTGAGCATACAGACAGCGGGTAGCTATATTATACTATGTACAGAAATGTTTTATATATAGGTCCTGGAATGAATCGCACAACCAGATTGTCCGATCACACCTTAAGGTCGTTAAGTGTGGTGGCAGTGAAACCTGTGAAGGGTCTCTTCTTCAAAAGTTCTGAAGTGAGATGCAACCTTTATGATAATGGTACTGCTTGCGTCGCTGCACACTTTCAACTTGAGAAAAAGAAGACTCAGGTATAATATAATAAATATATATTTCCTCTTTCTAGATATAAGTAATTAAAAACAATCCCTTAATTTTCATTTTAAATTTCCGACTGGCTAGCACCACAAAATATTCACTGTGTTTACAAAAGTTTACAGTAGAAATCAATAGAAAATATAGCTAAACAATAATGTTGTGGGACTAATTAAATACTGTAATAAAGACACAATAGTAAAGCATATATATATTTTCGCAAATTATTGTTAAGTTTGTGTTTTATAGAAAAAATGAAAAAAAAAATCTAGTGCTTCAGAATATAGCGAAAAAATTTATAAATATTTATACTTGATATTATAAAGGAGATGATGACCCACGCTTCATACACAATTTGCCCTAAAATAAAGTCTATGCGTCTCGTCAAATTGGTATTTTTATATCGATAATTTATTTTACATATCGTTTGTTGTTGTGATCGATATTTTATCATATATCGTTTGCAGTGGCGTTTTTAAGTCAAAGCATTTTTTGTATCACACTATTTTATCACATTAAAATATTTTTTCAGTTGGTATTAAATCGCGTATTTTTCATTTTTGAACATGAAACTATTCTGGGTTCCATTGTTTCTAGGAAATTATTAGTGTAATTTTTTTAAACGTTTTCTGAAATCCCTCTAGATAAGATATTTTAATTTTTTGCGTTAAAAATGTCTTTGTAAGATTTTTGCGTGTTTTTCATATTCAAACATGAAACTACTCTGGAGCAATTTTGAACATTTATCAAAGCCAAAAATTTTGTTTTTCAAAATAACCAGGAACTTTAACCTATTTAGGTGGTAATAAGTGGCTATTTGGACTCGTCATCGTCGCCATTGCTTCGCGCTGTCGCGGACGTGTACCTGCGGCGCGGACGCAACGTCATTATAGTGGAGATATTCCCTGTTTTAATGCGCCATTATCCCTTGTAAGTTGTACTCATTGCTCTTACCAATTACATGTAAAGTTATACTTAAAAGTTTCGATAATCTTAAAACCGACGATCCGATGATGAAAGGTTTGTTTCTAAAAATGTTTAAAAAACATCTTTGGCCCTGGCACTCTTGAGATGGGACTCCAACCCATGAGTTTTCGCAATCCGGACGATTGCACTGACCTCAGTGACTACTCAGGAGCTAACAGGACCGACGAATTTTTTAAGCACAAGTTACCTTTTCCTTTTTTATTAAAAATATGTATTAGCATTTTTCATTAAAAATATTTTTCAGTATAGCATTGTGAATTGATCAAATAAAATAATTATAATTTCGAATGAAATTTCGGATACATGAAACTGCCGAATTATTTAAAAAAAACAGCTTTGTGAATGGAAAGATATATTTAATACTTATTGCCTAATGTGAAATGTTGTTTTATCGAGTCGACAGCATCAAAATTGCAGAGTATGTTGAGCGATAAATTAAAGTTATTGAACGAAACACAATGTTTTCCATAAAACCCATACGCCGCAACACCATCACAACTTACCACCGCGAATGTGCATTTACAAAGCGTCTTAAAATTCCCATAGAAAATAATATTCAATAATGTATAAAATTGTATTATGTAGGTGAAGGTTTAAAAATGTAAATTGAATAAGTTTTTTATGCTAAACGATATAAAATATTACAAGTTTTCTTATAAATGTCTAGGCAAACAAGTGTTTAATATGCTGGACAAACCTTAGGTGATATAACGGAATTGTTTTATGTTTCTATTTATGTATATACAAAGCACGGTATTGCGTCCAGGAACATTAATAGTCCATTCTATACACGTTTATTCGATTGGTAAAACATTCAGAAAGCTAACAAATCTAAATTATATCGATACCTTTTTACACTACTGTCCAAAATGGAGTATATTATGTTAACGGTTAATATATACTTTAAAAGAACTTGAAGGATATTAATACCTTATGGGTTATAATATCAATTATTGCAGTCGGAAGACCTCTTATATTACGTATAAATGTTACACAGAACGGTCCCCCGACTCCATATAAAATTTTGTTAAGTCAACCCATAATACAACTTGTTTCTTTTATTTTTAGTTCGATGTTGCCTGTCGTGTTTTTAATTTTTAAATTATTTATTTTTAAGGTACATAAAGCTTATGTAAAGACATTTTACTTGAAATAAACTTACAAGTCATGTTTACAAGATTTTATTTCAAATTCATCACATTCTATTGCAGTCAATAGCACGTCATAAACAGTCAAAATTTTCCACACTATTTTAAACCTTAATATATTAAGGATAGAGTTCAAAAAACAAAATTATAATTTCTGCAATTGAAATTATAATTTTGTTATAAGCCGACGTGATGCTATATGTATTTACCTGATTTAATTTACAGAGCCGCTCGCGTAACGAGGCCATTTGGCGAATTTCTTGGAGAATTCTTGACTTCCCTCACAAGTCACGGCCTAACCGCTAATCGTTTGGAATTGCTGGGAGCTAGTTTAGGAGCTCATATAGCATCATACGCATCGCATCGCTTCGAGCAACTGACAGGATCGAAACCGGCAAGATTAACTGGTAATATCATAATAAGCAAGGTATAAATGCCTACCTAATATTTAGAAAATACGAAACCATAAAAGAAATTAACGAATAGTGAGTCATATTGATAAATTAATAAGGACAGTCGGGCAACTATATAATATGGGCCATTGTTTCAATAACTATAAAGTGTAAAATGCAAAGCTTTAGGTTTCCATCTCACTCACTCTCTAGGGTTCAAGCGCGTGGATATTTTCAAATTTTTAAATTTTCAAATTTTCTCTACTTCACGCTTTACATTGTGAACAAGTCGTAGTCTAGAGTGAGGGTTCATTGAAAGACTGAAGTTTCGTTATACCATTTATTTTATGGTAACAGTCAAAAGCCTAATGTTAAAAATCACAAATGTACCTATATATAAATCATCAAGAATACAATCATACCGCGATTCAAAACGCGAGTTTGACAGTGGCAAACTGTCAAACTCCACTTTAATTTAAACCTTATTGCATTGAAATAGAAGTTTTTTTTGATGGGATAGGGGGCAGACGAGCATACGGATTACCTGATGGTAAGTGTTACCGCCGCCCATGGATACCTGCAACACCAGAGGGGCTACAAGCGCGCTGCCGGCCTTTGAGCTAAGAATATGATCATATGGAGGGAAGGGTTGAGGGGTAGAGGGAAGGGAATAGGGAGGGGTTGGGCCTCCGGTACCCTCACTCACACGACGAAACACAACGCAAACGTTGCTTCACGTCAGTTTTCTGTGAGGCCGTGGTAACCTGGCGTGCAGCCGTGTGTGCAAAAAGCAGCTAAATTCAGATTAATCAAAGAAGAAATGGGAATCTTTAATATACAAAAACATTTTTGTAATACCTTGTTAATACAGCAAATATTTAATATCACTGTATTGCAAAACGAATAGGAAAAAGGTAACTACAACTAATTAATAAACGATTTTTGGTAACAGGTTTGGACCCTGCTGGACCTTGTTTCCGCAACCTGCCATATTCAGAACGATTGAATCGCAACGCCGCACAAAAAGTGGACGTGTTACACACCAACATTGACGGTTTCGGGATACCGGACCCTCTGGGACACGTCGACTTCTATGCTAACGGAGGTATTATACACGCGTTCATTATAATATCCTTTATGTTCCAAAATTAATATCAATCATTTAAGGATGCAAATATTTTCTCATACATTTTTTTTTGTATGAAAATAATATTTTAATATTATTTTATATAAGACTAGTAATGGTAAATATTGATGCCAGTTCTAAAATAACTTTTATTTTTCCACTATTTCCTACTCATACTCATATTACTTCTGTTATCGTAGTAATTCAAAAGTTTGAAAACGCCATTACATACGTACACACAAAACAAATTCAATGACTCAAGACATACATTTATTACAACTATTTCATCATTGGATGCCAATAATTAGATACTTAAAATCGACACACTTAAGATTCTGTTTATCAACAGAAAATGAGACTGAGCAGTCAGACTCCTTTGCCTTAATGGCAGTGTGAAAATTAAAATTTTAAAATACCTTAATCATTTTTCAGGGGAATATCAACAATCCATGAAGAATGGCTTCATTTTACCTTGTTTTGTGTTATGTAGTCACGTGCGTTCCGCCTTGTATTGGATCGATAGTTACAAAAGCCCAGACCAATTTGTCGGGGTGCAATGCGACTCCGTGGCGGAAGCGCGTCGCGGAGACTGTTACAAAGACCAAAATATCACTACCAATTTCCTTGGACCAAAAACTGATTTCCGGAAACCTGGCATTTACTACTTACCCACGAATGAAGCTTCACCATACTACAAAGGTTTAAACAGTTTAAAAAGACAATCACTCGGCATAAACACTTACCTCCTTCAGTTAGCGCCCGACGAAGATATGATTCTTTGACAAATAAAACTACAAACTACATTATAGCATTTTTATTTTATATAAATTTCAATACTGTATGCCAAACAACAACTACTTATTATGTTTCGTTACGCGAAATTGTTAAATTTGTATAAAAACTATTTAAAGTACAATTTTATGTATAAAATAAGTGGTTTTTAAATCAGTCGAGAACCTATAGAAAAACTCTTGTGTATTTACAAACTTGCTCTTGGATTTTCTTTTGAGCAAATTTTGGAAGCCACTGATAGATATAATTGATGTTTTATAAATATATCAATTAGATATAATATGTAGGAGTCATTATTGAATAAGTATTATGTAGACGCATAGTATATCTAACAATAACATTACGAAAGTATCATAAATATTTTAAAAAAATACTGATGTCTATGATCTAAATGTAAAATAATATAATCATTGTCATAATACACAATCTAAATACGTTTTCAATATCGCGATACCAATAAATAAACAATTCTAAAAATAATATTTACCATCTCATTTCAGTGAACTCATAAAATATATTGTTGTATTTGTGTGAATAAGTTGCATTTTAAGTATATAAAAAAAAAAATCAGATCTATTTAAACACAGACATAAATAAATGTAATAATTCATCAATTAAGCACCAGATATGTTCCAATAAATTGATTAAAATACGTAAATAATATAAAAATAGTAAATTTTAAGGAATGTATAATGTTGTAATTTAACAACCAATAAAACTATATTAGGACCATAGCTGAAATTGTAAGCAAATAACACAGTTAATATATATCTTATAGTCAGCCAACAGGCACATCTAGACAGACTAATCTTGAAGAATTCACGGTGTAAAAGCCCAAGCTGCCAAATACTCGCTTGGAAAATGCCAGTCAGGAGGGAATCGGCACATTTTTTTAAGCGCGTATTCTTATTGTAATTTTCTAATAAATAAATCGTTACTATGTTTGTTGTGAAAAAGTTATCCTTTTACATCCTATTCCTGATATCAGAAATACCAAAACCAACAATAAGCAATATGAATTACATTATACAAAAAAAATTGACAACCCTGAAGCAACGCTGAATGTCTAAATATAAAGCAGCATTTACCAGAATTTGAAATTTGCTCTACTGTAAGCTTTTACGTTGTGTCTTTATTATGTCTTAGCATTTCATCAGAAAAGAAACTTTGCTATAGATTGATTTATATATAAAGTGTGTATCACGAATTTTTGTTTAAATTCCATTTAAAATACTTAGGCCATATTTAGTATAATTTCATTGATAAGCTGATATGCATTCACATCTTAACTCTTAAGCATCATATCACCGTAACCTACCCTACTGTATTATCGATCAATCGAAATTCACATTGGTTTTTTGGCACAAAAACGCAAATCGACAATCTTTTCAGTACAATCACATACGGTTTCAGTTTTACAACTGAAAAATTTACAAAGTGGTCCATGACGCATCATTAAACTAGCACTAACTTATAAGACTGCACTGTAAATTCACTTTACACTGCACTTAGTTCACTTCAGTAGATCCGTACTCCACATGGCGGAGCGTGCCAGTATTAGCTACCGGGGTATATACTCCAGTGGGTACCAGGCAACGGTCTCCTGCCGCAGAGGTAGAGAATTGAGCGGTATAACAACGCCGCCGAGGAACTGGTTCTCTTGTAGCGAATCGTAGTGCCACACAGTAGCTTGTAGGCTACGGTTCTTAACAACCTCTATTGGTAGCCTATACTCAAGCATCTCCATGAATGATGGATGCGAGTTGCGTTTGAGAACGCGAGTCTTGCGTTTAGTTTCTTTGGTTGGATCCGGTACCAGGTACACCTGGAACATACAAAAACGATGGTAAAATGATGGTATATCAATGTTGCTGTGCCCTTACAGGGTTCATGTTATGGTGCTGTATTTGTGTAGAATATTTTAAATTACCACCTAATTGCAATATACAATTTAATTTAATTTAATTAAAATCATGACTGCTAATTACATAATTATTTAATAAACTTAAAAAAAATTGTCTGATATAAACACAAATAAGAGTTTTATAGTTATTTACAGGATTCGGAGTGATAATTATCACTTATAATTATCTTGATAAATATACCTTGATAATTATAAAACATTAAACTTACTCTTTTTGTATTATAGGACTTGTTATTAAAAGGGAATCATATTTAAATAACTATAAAATATGGTTTTTCTTATAGAGAAAATTGTCTAGGGATCTATGGATTTACAAAAACAAAAAAATTCCACCCCTTTTTATTTAAAACACAGTTAATTTTTTGTTTATATAATTTTAATCATTTATGTATTTAAAAAATCGTTGCCATTAACTACGAATAATAATCAGATAGTTATCTAAATATTTAATTATCTTGATAATTACGAACCCTGGGTATTTACATAACTACTTTGTAAATACATATATCAAGTCAATAAACTTTACAATGAGAACAAAGATAATAATAAATTATATACTGTATATACAATATTGATTTCTATTACCTTGACATAGGGATTAGGCGGGAGACCTTGTGGCGTGATGGCTAGCGACTGAGCGTGTAATATTAGCACGGACAGAACTCCGCCTGCATATTGCACGGATAACTTCAGCGACCCTGAACCACTACTCTCTGCCTCTGTCGATTCACCTATTTAAAAAATGTTATCATTTTAATTTTTATTTCTTATTTTGATGTGCAGATTTATAATGATTATTCTTCCATTTATCATATTGAATATTATAAAGAGGTAAAGTTTCTAGATTTGTTTGTTTGTAGGGGGTAATCTTCAGAAATATTGACCCAATCATGAAAATTCTTTTATCTACTGGAAGCTACATCGTACGGGGAAGACATAGGCTATAATTTATGCGGTTGAAGTCAAAGTCAAAATAATATTTATTCAAATAGACTTCTTAAAAGTACTTTTGAATCGTCCAATATTTTTTCCCCACCCCTAGTGCAGGACGTCTTTTGGCTGATAAGAAGAACGAGCAAGAAACTCACCAGCTCTAATGGGTGCAATGACATTCACAAGAAATGTTAGTCATAACATATTAATTTAATAATAGTGGCAACAAGATAATTTTTGAGATGTAATGAGTTAAGAAGAAATCACCTGTCCAGTTGCTGAATCATCTTAAGTCTTTATCCTTATCAGTTATATAATCGGATACCTTATAATAAGCTGTTTTAATGTGTAAGTATTTTTATAAATGTAGATTTATACTGCATGATATATAATTTTTTGCTAGGGACCTTATTGTAGAAGCGCACACAAAGACCCCTGAATGAGTTATTATCTTTTGGCAGTCTAGTGACAGGCACAGTTAATTTATATTTATTTCTTGCGAAAATTGTGTACATCACTTTTTATAGGAAACCAATTAATATTTTAACCAACGCACATTAAGTTCTTGTATGTGTATTGACAAGCAACAGTCATTATGTCTATTTCTTTAAATTTCTCCCTTAAAGAGTCCCTAATCTTAAGATTAAAAAATAATCTAATTTCTCTTTTCTGAAGCACAAAAATCATTTGTATGTCGGCAGCATTTCCCCATAATAGGATTCCGTACGACATTACAATACGAAAGTAACTGAATGAAGTATACTAATCTGGCAGTATAAGTCTATTCGACAATTTATTAAATGTGAGGCCCACTGTTATTTATAATCTAATATTATTCTTAAAAATACTGTGGTATCCACAAGGTCTATGTTCTTATATTTTATATTCACAATTATATCTACTTTTTTAACATTGGGCAGTACAAACTTTAGGCATTTTCTTTTTCCGTCATTAAGGAGAATATTATTTACATTAAACCAATGTACTACTTTAGAGTCGCGAGAAAACTATTAGTGTATCAATAAATATAAACGAAAAATATACCAAATCTTCCTTAACAATTTGCTTAATATATATGTATATACATTTATATCAAAATATGTACTATCACGGACATTTGCGCTCTTTCGCTTCGCATCGATATTTTCATGAACATGTCTCTTGCAGCGCTTAATTACGCCCCACCCACTCACGCACTATGCACCAATAACAATTAACTGTCCGTGAGTGCCGTGTACAAGGATGCATACTTAAACACTTTTTGTTCGTTTGTTTTTACTTGCAATCTACATTTCGCCCTTTGTCAACGCATCATATTGTGATATTTGTTAATCTTTCTACTGTTTATGCTACCCGGACTCTGATTTTTACTTCCACGAAATTTTAAAACTTTAAAGTGGAGGGCTATATCGTGTGTTGTGTTATTATATTGCTATATTGCAATTTTTAAAATATAAGTTTACTTTAAAATTTTACTGCAAATTTTAAAGTAAACTTATATTTTGCATATACGAGTATATTTAACATAAGAAGAGCTAATTAATAGAATGGCGCCTTTCAATTAAAAGGCTAGCCGCCCAATTGAACGGCTGTTTTGAAAACCAGACACCTGGCGTATTCGTTAAAAATGTAAAATATTGATTTATAATCAAAAATAATGGCGCGCAATTTAACAAGAGAAGAAAGAACTCCAATATTAATTTTAAGTGGACAAGGCAAAAATATTTCGCAGATTTTAACTAAATGCTTCGGTAAGTCATTAAAATATTAAGTTTTATATATATTTCATATTATTGAGATTATGTAATTTTTCTAAATTTTCCTTTTTTTATTGGGTCTTAGACTTAAATCATAATGTCTACAATAGGGATGATGACTAATTTTTGTTTGTTTGTCCGTCAGGTAGAGTGTTAAAAAATATTAAACACATATGTTTTTATTTTTTTCGTAATCATAAAATTACGGCGTTACATTGAGTTGAAATTTCGCATGACGTCACGTTAGAGTACGTTTTCTACTCAACTGTGACGTAGCGAGCCCCCACTCCTCAACTTTAATGCCTGTTATCTAAGCTATTTCTTGTTAATTTGAAATAAAAAAAATACGTATCTAATATTTTTCTATTATCTGACAGACGGACTAAATAGAATTGCATTTTTTTTACCCTGTCATCATCCCTATTATAGAAAGATTATTTTACAATAAACACAAAACAGTTAATATATAATGTCACCAAATATAATAATAACGCATTATTTTGAAAAAAGCAATGCAATTTTATTTTTATGCAGTTAGTTGCAGTATGTAACAACTACTTTAATCTCCAATTGCATCGTAAGTAATAGGTATGCCGTGCATTTTTTTTTTTGTTTATTTTATATTGCTTTTATACTATGTTATTTTTAGTACTGATGCTAATAATTTATATAATACTTATTTTACATAATTTTTGTTCTATATGGGTTACGTTAATGTATATTGCAATGATGTTTGATCATTTTCTGTGATACGAATAAGAGTTTTTTGAATGTCCGTGATTGTACACATGGCAATTAATTTTTAACTTTTTTTATAAACACACTACGCTTTAAAATTGCCGTGGACTATAAATGCGGTATAATTAAAAAAAATCGCACAAATACAACCATCTACACCTACAGACTTCTATTTTTACCATAACGTTTAAATTTAAAAACTGAACCATGTCTGTCCACGTTCAAACGCCCCGTAATACAAACCTCTATTCTTCATTCGCTGCGGCTCAACATCCTGCTGATCCCTCAGCAGCGGATGGAAGAAAGTATACACGAGGTCGGAATGTGCGATCTCATCGGCGAGATTGAAGAGAGAAGTGAGAAAAGCTTGCACATCTCCGAACCTTCTCTCCGCGACCTGGCGCGTGTTCGAACGACCCACGTGTAACCCCGAGGGTAAACTGCAAATTTTAAAGTAAACTTATATTTTGCATATACGAGTATATTTAACATAAGAAGAGCTAATTAATTGAATGGCGCCTTTCAATTAAATGGCTAGCCGCCCAATTGAACGGCTGTTTTGAAAATCAGACACCTGGCGTATTCGTTAAAAATGTAAAATCGACACCATATTCGATGTTTCCTTTATTTTTATCTGTAAAATGAGACAATTGTATGTTATCGCAGATAAAATTATTAAATGATTAAACAAATCCATTGTTTCTTCGATTAATTGAGTCATTTTCGTTGGCAAGAGATAAGGGCGACGACGCATTAAAACAACTTTACTAAGTACTCATTATCACTTATCTAATCTGACGAATCAAGTATCGATTCAAACATTAATGTACAAACACACTATGATCACCACGAATAAATATATTTATTTACATTCCTACTGTGAATAAAAACGATGGCTATATTAAGGACTCCGACAGAATGTAAGTACAAGCAGGTCACCCTTTAATTACGCAAATATACAGAAAATAATAAAATACTAAGATTTACGTGTTTTTTCAGTAAATCACCCAGTGAACTATGTTGGATCTATAGCTATTTTTGCGTGTGTGTCGTGCCTCATACTGATGCTTAAGTTCGGCGGTTTTAAGGCTCATATAAATTTCCATGCTCGAAATAAGAAAAAGGAAAGTGATAACGAATCTCTAGCTGGGGCGTACAGGATTAACAGAGATGAGTTTTTCGGTGAGTTAGAACACTACCATTGCATATAGTGAAAGTGTCACGATAAAAAATTTACGAAAATCAAGTTAAGTACCTTAAATTTAAAAACTACATTCAGAGTCCCTTAATTTCGAATTGTAACAGTGTCATCTCACTATGCGCTATATTTATCATCCATTCATAGATTCTTTGAATATTTCAGATAACGGAAGACTGTCAAAACCTCATAATGTAACAACATCAACATTCGAATTCCCTACGGAAATTCAGTCTAATTCTGCATTGCGACCAACAAAAAGCACCAGTGACCTCACCCACCAAAATAAATTACCCGATCAACTGCACAAAAGCGTAAACAATGTGTCATACGACCCACGAGGAGGTCCAGCTGTAAACGCCAACAGAAACACTAGAACTGACGAGAGAACGAAAATAGATAACAAGGAACAGATCAAATTGGAAAAGAAAAGACTGGCCGCACAGAAAGCCAACGAGAAGATCGCTGCGAAAGAGCAAGAAAAACAAGAGAAATTGAGGAAGAAGAGGGAGAAGGAAGCGGCGCGGGAACAAGCGAAACTTCAGAAGAAGCGTCAAGCGCCGCAACCCCAAACTGCTAATCCTTTAGCGAATACAACGTCATCCTTAACGAATACGACATCGAACTCGGCGAACACGACATCAAATACAGGAAGCAGAGAGCAAACAGTGAATTTACTACCTAACCAAGCTTCTAGGAATACACCGACCCAACCTTACTCACGTGACGTTCAATCCACAAATCGAGAACCGTATTCAACTAACACTTTACAAAGCTCAATAAGTCGCAGCAGCGGACCACCTCCCTACTCGGAGGTTACCACGTTAGTGGAGTCTAACAGTAGCGGAAGCAACGTGACTTTCAGCAAACCTATACCGGAACCTACCAACAGTTGGGACCTGATATCTCAGCATAGACAACAAATGTCCAAGCCGACAACGGGACAGCCGATAATGAAAGGTCCGAAAAAGAACATGGTCATGGATCTTCAATACAAACTTGGAAACGATAATAACAGTGAAGCATAACAATTATTTTTCGTTTAGCACAAGTGCTTCATGAATTGTGTGCAGTGATATTAATTCCATTAAAGAATTCAGTGAGATTAGTCCTGGATAGTGAACGATAAATTATTAATAATGTTGTTATAGTGATAAGAAAATGTTATCGTATTTATGTAGAAATAAAAAAATATGTTAAAATAGTTATGTTTCGTTAATTTATTGGATTAGATAAGACACCAATATCAACTGTATAAATCTTAATGGGGAAAAATAGCAAAAATCTGTCAGTAGTTTTCTATAATGATTTTTATGAAAGGTTTGACTAAATATGTTTTTTCTGAAGGAGACTGTACATTAATATTTGCACAAAAAACGACTATGCAAATATAGTTTTTATAAGTAACATAAAAGAACCATGCCCACTTCCTATACAATGATTGACCTGTCACATGTTTATTTTAAGAACGACCGCTCGTGATAATTTCAATTAGTTTTCGCATAATGTCATCTGAAGGCTGGAGAAATGAGAAATTTGTAAATATATTTTTTTAAGTTAGGGAAGCAGCTGTCAAAATTCGAGATACTTTAAAAACTAATGTATTAAATCAAAGCTTTTTATATCTTGACTCATGAGTGTCGAAATAAATTTTAATGTAATTGTTGATGTGTTTTTAGCCTTACCACTTAAGAATATTTATACGTAGTAGATGAAACAAAACGCAACAAAGCCGTCATTGTACGGTCCGAATCGCATTGTTGTTGTTTTCATAGACCTTTTTAATAGCAATTATCACTCGCAATATTCATTCCAGCTTCATTTTCAGACTTTATTATCCGGTATATCATCATCATCATCATCATCGGCTCCACTGCAGGGGCTCAGGCCTTCCTTATGGATGGTTAAGGAGCATGACCCTCCACGCTGGCCCAATCAATTAACGACTACAAATGCAGCCGGGACCAACGGCTTAACGTGCCTTCTGAAGCACGAAGTAGCTCGAGATAATATTTTTTTGGTCACCCATCCCGTGACCGACCCTTGCCAAAGTTGCTAAACGACAACGATCGCGTGTCGCGGCGCTTATCCACTACGCCACCGAGCTACTCATCCGGTATAAAATAAATAAAAAATTAAGAATTTTTAGGTCAAACTTGGACTCGATCCTTTTACCTAAACAATGTATAATTCTATAATATTCTAAGCGATCTCAAATATGCATACAGTGGCATATAAACGTTTTGAACACTAGTTTTTCATAAGTCACTCTGTGTATGCACATAAATATTATATATAAAATTATGTGAAAGTTTTTATTTCCAAAACTTGATTGACAGTGTTTTCTTTTCACTCCGTTTCATACTTCTTTTAATATCCTATGAGCGAGCATCTGATCTTTCTTCGACTTTATTACTGGTGTATTTCTATTTTATATCTTTGAAATCTTACCTGTGGACTTTAGCTAGCGGAAAATGAAGGCATATCTTCTGATAGAGCTCTGTAAAGTGCTTATACGAGCGGTACAGTACAGAAGGCGTAGTCTGCCCCTGACGATAAATCCGTAACGCGTATACGTAGTGCTTCTCCGGGTCGTAGCGCTTCTCGTAGCCGAGACATTCCACGCTTACTAGTCGTCCTTCCTGGCCCATGCTACGACACAAGGTTGCTTTAAATTAAATGCTTATGCTATATATCAATAATGTACAAAACAAATGATTAGATTTTCTTTATCTGTGTGATTCTAATAGGTTGTGAAGTAAGTGAATAGTAATAAATATTAACTTAAATTAAATTTCTAAATTAATATATTTTTGATAAGCTCACGTGTAAGTCCTCGGCATGAAGGACAGTAGTTCTGAAGTGCTGCTGCTTTGGTCACCGCTTGCTCTCAATTGTGCTAAGTTGTGTAAGAAGAAGTTGATAGGCGTGAATCTGCCGAACAAACATAGTTTTATCTTTTTTATACAAAATATATACTATAACAATACGACCATAATATATTTAAAAAAATAAATAAAAAAAAGCTATGTCAAAGGGTAATTAAATCAAACAGGAGTTTTGGAAATAAAAATCGTCTTTTTTTCCTTCTACAATCGTATCAACGTAATATAGTCCATAACCAAAGACGTAGTATACGTAGAAATTACTGCTGAATGCACCGAATGGTGTATTTATCTATATATGCATAAGGTTGAATCGAATGAGTAAGACGCGCTGTTTGCGGGCACGTGACAACGAGCATAGAATATTTGTTTTTTTCATAATTAGTTTAACCAGAAAAAAAGTATTTATACTCGGTTAATAATCTTCACGTATATAATTATAACTAAATTATAAGATTCGAAATTTTAAGAATTTTAGTAAGAGGATATAAATAGAATTAAGTGTCATATTAATGAGGAAGTATTAAAAAAAAAACGAAAGCACTAAAATAGCACCACCACTAGATGGCGACTCTAGTAAAAGTTGATTTTTTGCAGGAAACGAATGGATCAAAGATAGTAAATTCCGGTCCTTTTAACTAACATATTAAAAAACTGTAATTTGAAAAGTTCGATACTTAGATATCAATACAAATACAAAAAAGTAGAAATAGAATATGAGTGGTTTATTCAGTTTTGAAATTAATTTTTCAATGCAGTTGCTCATAAAGCGCTATTTTTTCAACCCATTGTAAACACCGAAAGTGAATCGTTGAACATGTTTTAAATAAAAATGTAGTGAAATCCTTTACTGCACACGTGCTTAAAAGTATTATTTTATTTTTTTTGGCCGAGCATCGAAGAAATTAAAAAAAAATTGATGAAAATATGTCAAACTTTAAAGGCAAAAAGGCAGTATTTCAAGGAGCCTAGAATAAATATTTTCAAATAAAAATGTATGAGACGAAAACATGTTCAAATATCACGTTTAATTTTAACAAATAATTTTTACCTTTAATTTCCTCGCAAAAAAAGCATTGAAAAATGTAAGAAAATTGAGCGTAAAAGGTTTTACGAATAAGGGCCAAATTGAAAACACGAGCGTAGCCCTTATTCGTAAAACCTTTGTTTCCGCACTCGTATCTTAAATAACTATACTTTATAAACATGAAAGAAAACTGGAAGGGTTGTCATGGAGAAATCAAGAACTTACCGTAGCGACATCTAGTTTGATTTCATGAACTCATGTTTTTTTTAAATACTTCCTCATTCAACTCGTATGAAATAATATGACACCTGAGGGCCTATTATAATCTACTAGTGGACGCCCGCGACTTCGTCCGCGTGGAAGTCGGTATCCCGTGGGAGTGAGAAGTTTTCCCAGTAAAAAGTACCCTATGTGTTATTCTGATGTATAACCTATATTGCTGTAAAGTTTTATCCAAATCCGTCCAGTAGTTTTTTCGTGAAAGAGTAACAAACATCCATACATCCATACTTACAAACTTTCGCCTTTATAATATTAATAGGATAGGATATACGTACTTGCTCTTGAGCGAGGAGTGTATGAGTCTCGCGAAAGCCGCGGCCGCCTCTGCGTTAGTAGCGGCCGGTAACAGCGCGCTACGGACGTAGTTCACGGCCGCACTGGTCACACCCGATACTCCCGACATTGCCATCTACATGTGGAACATTATAAAATTTGCATATTAATTTATTTACTTAATGCTAATAAATTGTATATAATAATAGCAAACGCATTAGCGGTACAGAGCAATAAAAATAGGTGAGTAATTTAAATAAAACTACAACGACAAAATATAACATCATCATCATCAGCCCTTTTACGTCCCCACTGCAGGGGCTCAGGCCTTCCTTATTTAAGGAGGATGGGCCCGCCCAATGCGGATTGGAGGGTATTATCGACTGCAAATGCAGCCGGGACCAACGGCTTAACATGCTTTCCGAAGCACGGAGTAGCTCGAGATAATAATTTTTTGGTCACCCATCCCCTGACTGACCCTTGCGAAAGTTGCTTAACGACAACGATCGAGGGCCGCGGCGCTTATCCACTACGCCACTGAGCTACTCAAATATATAACATACCAATAATATAAGTAAACTTACAAATAATTATATATATACAGCAAATATTCATATACGAGTATATAAACAAATGATGATGACAATCTTCACAACTCTTGCAAGAGATAAGAGTGCACTTTTTTCTTGAAACTGTCAAAATATTGACTGTGATCAATAAATTGTTACTAACTATATTTATTACTCCTGAACAAAATCAAACATACATTTAAAGCGTATGACATTATACCAATGTCAATGAAAAAACGTTTTTAATAATATTCCCATTAATTAAACCACAACATCGCTATATACAAAGGATTAACGTCATAATATGGTATACGGACATGTGATATAAATGACATGTGGCACCAAATTCAAAATGAAAAAAATTTAAAATAATTTTATAACATGCATTGCTCGTATAATGTGCGAGAAAAATAATTTTTTAATGGACTATTATTCCTGTATACTTTCATATTAAAATATTTTTGAAAAATTATCATAAACCCCATTGGAATATTGGCTATGATTTCTTTGTCAAGGTCAATTACGAAATCTGATAGAATAACCAAAATTTGCCATTTATTATTATGTTTTCAGAGTATGCTGATGGTAAAAAACATTTAAATGCGTTTCAATAAATATAATCATAATATTTATCTCTTTAGACGTTTTGTAGCTTTTGATGGATGAATGAATGACGGTTCATTATAGAACGAAATAATAAAAAATGTTAAAATAAAATACTACATTTTTCATTAAATTGAAATGAATAGTTATTTATTACTACAACTCTACTCAAACGCAACAAAAACTATTTTTATTATTCTTTAGTAATAAAAGCTTGTAGAAAAGTTTTCTGTAAATATAATATTTATTATCTAAAAAATTTAAGTTATTTGTAATTGCCATAACTCTTTTGAATAGGTCTTTTGTTTCCTACCACCAATGCAATACTTCTGTCATATGCGACGAAAATGGATTCATGTACAGTTGAGCTCTAAAGTCACATTAAAAAATATATAAGGCAGAGAAAACAAAGCAGTATTCAAATTCTTGCAGTGTTCAATATATCGTCAAACCGTCAAAACGTATTTTATTACATTCTAAAATTGCTATGCAATTATAGACGTTATTACAATAATCATACGCGCTAGCTGCACACACACAGACTTCGATCTAGCACAGTACTAACCAATGCGAACAGATCGAGGATATGGTCGTGATGAGCCCGTACGATATTGAACGCCATACAGCACAACTCCACGAAGTGCTGGAACCGCTGCGTGGGCCTTTCGCCGCCGTTGATCACGTATACCATATCGTGGGTTAGCACAAACGGAGCACGGTCCCTGTAAATATTACTTCATGGTATACCAAAAGTGGAAAGTAGTAATGGCTACATAAAAATGACCCAAAAACAATAACATTCTGTTACGTGCTTTGTGGCGTTCCAATCTGTATGATTACCTCGCAAAATATCTGACGTAACCAAAGATATAGGAGAGTAGTTGGTATCCTCACAATTTTTTGCTTATTCACTTTTAAAATATTGCGCTGCATTATCATACACTTATAACGCCGGGTATCAGAAGCGATTTTACAGTGACCTGCGCCGACGATTCGGCCAGTTTGCACTGATCATGTTCACTACGAGACAGGAACAGCAAGTTTACTCCTGCCTGCATCCGAGGGTGAATTTTTTTCCACTCTCAGATTTTGCATCCAACTTCCATCACAAACAACACTAACGGTGTCCCTATTCCACATACGAGCCATATTCTGGAGCTTAAACGATTGCGAAAAAAGAGTTTATGTTTTAGCAAATACTGGATTCCATGCTTGTGACAATTTATATCCATCTTCCCGATTGAAGTTATTAAGGTTTTTCTTAATTTCAAAACCCGGTATTATAAGTATAAAATATAGATTTCTATATTACTAACTTGAGAAATCAGTTATGTTACTTATCACAGATATAATAACTGTCATTATCATATAATTCGCCACTTTTAGTTCCTCGTTCCATTTCTTCACACTTCAATATTAAAAATGTATTAACGGAAAGAAAAAATATTTTCACAAATTATTTTTGCAAGTAACATTAACGTCCGTGTACCAAATTACCTCTTGAAGTTGCCGAACATCTGTGCATCACCGAGGAATTTGCCGAAGTCGATGTGAAACAGGTGGCCGGATGTCTTCAACATGATGTTATCGTTGTGCCGGTCACAGATACCGAGCAAATAAGTCGCAACGCTGTATCCGGCGCATGACGCTGCAATACAATAACGCCAATTTTAAACCCAAAATCAAATTAATAAAGAATCATGTCTAATTTTGACCTAAAAATTTACTAACACGTTTAGTGATCTGATATATCTCAAAATATAGTTTTTTCTTATTTCATATCAGGAAATTGAATCTTAGAATAACTACCCGAACGCGATTCGGACCGGTTTACTACGTTTGTTTCATCTACAACGGAAAAAAATGATTTATTTACATATTTACTAGTCAAACTATAAAAAAGCTTGGATTTTGATGCATTAATTTTTAAAGTATCTTCAGTATTATCTTTAGTTTTGACAGCTATAATAACCTCAAAACATAATTTACAAATTACTAATTCCTCTGGTCTCCAAATAAAAAGATGCTAAGTTATTATTAATATTAAGCAAAAAACACATATCAATCAATGTATAAAAAGTGGTCATGATTCTTTACACACGGTCTATCTTATTATAAAACGACTACTACCTGTTTTGTACCTGCACGCGTACAAACCCGAGATTCGATTTGTTTACACCAAAGTTCACTTTTCTCGGGTATCTTATGGGCGCACACGAGAAAAATGACATTTGCGAGTAGACAGAACGTTCTTGATTTCATCATACACCGCAGCAGCGAAATCCGTAGTAGTAGCAGTGAAGTCCGATTAATTGCGGCAAAGGGTTTAAACTAAGTACCAACTTTAGCCTTCGTTTTATGTTAAGATAAAGTAAGTTTTGCAAACAGTTTTATTTCTAAGGTGTAGAATATTGAACAGAAAACATTTTCTATTGTTTGTTATATTCATAAACATTTTTATATTTTATATTTCTTATACCTGTAAAGTTGTCTCTAGCGCGTTGGTATTCCAGTTCGGAAGGATTGTGTTTGGCCAACCATTCCGCTATAGGTTTATCTTTAAACGATCCGGTCAATCCCCATTCAGTCTGTATAGCGCGAAGCGTTTCCGCTTCAGACACTATCTCTATCATTCCTGGAGAAAAATTTGAAAATTTATGATATTCTAGTTAATAAAAGAACTCACTGAACATATAGTATTAGCAGTCTTTATATAGTTCATACAATAAACCAACGGGCAGGTCTAGACAGATAATTGTGGTGTGAAACGAGCGTGTCCCAAGCTGCCATACGCTAGTTTGGGACACGCCAGTACAAAATAAGTTTGTATCGAGTGTGTATTTTGTTATTTCATTGCTATAATAATGCTCTTCGTGACGGTGTTCATTTCAAATAAGCAAACGTGATATAGACTAAACGGCAAAATATTTAAAAAAAAATGAAATATTTATAGCGTTAAATCTACAGTTCTTGCAGATTTTATAATTTTTATATATTAATATATAATTTTCAGAGTTTTATATCGCCATGTAAAGTTATAGAGGCTATTTAAACAATTTAAACGTAAATAGTCTTACCTCGCTTACTGCTAGTGGGTAAAGCCTCGAAGGTGACCATACGCAGGTCTAAACCGGCCTTTAGCCATAAGCTATCCATTATTTTGATCACTTGTAGCACTAAGGCGTCTTGTCTCAAATCATCGCCGACCTATATTGAAATATAAAAATTTGCCTTGTATTATTAACAAAAATTCGTAATATTTACAATAACATAAGACAATTCGATAATTTACAATACCTTGAACATAGCAGGAATTACAGCGTTATCCACACCGATGAAGTTGATTTTAAGGGGGAGCGTGTTTGACGAGAAATATGAGCACGACCTAAAGAAATCATATGCAATTTAGACGATCACAAAATAACGTACTTCATAATAAAAAAAATCGTCATCAATATTTGGACACATACACAAAAGTTATAACAAAACTATGTGTCACTTCAGTAACAATGTGGAAAATATTAGTACAACTATTCGACATTCCAGTAAAGTCAAAATTAAAACCTTTGAAAAAAAATTTTTGTTTCTTAATGCAAGTAATGTTTTACGGAACGGTAATGTTATGGAATGGTTTAAGTCAAAATTATGGTATGGATACACAATACAGGGAGTGTGCGGTGCGCCTAGTGAGGCTACGGCACAGAACGGCGAGTGTACATACTTGACGTCCACGTCGTGCACGTGCGCCCTCAGTGCGAGCGGGAGGGCGGTGCGCCCAGTGCGGCTATGGCACAGTACGGGGAGTGTACATACTTGACGTCCACGTCGTGCACGTGCGCCCTCAGTGCGAGCGGGAGGGCGGTGCGCCCAGTGCGGCTATGGCACAGTACGGGGAGTGTACATACTTGACGTCCACGTCGTGCACGTGCGCCCTCAGTGCGAGCGGGAGGGCGGTGCGCCCAGTGCGGCTATGGCACAGTACGGCGAGTGTACATACTTGACGTCCACGTCGTGCACGTGCGCCCTCAGTGCGAGCGGGAGGGCGGTGCGCCCAGTGCGGCTATGGCACAGTACGGCGAGTGTACATACTTGACGTCCACGTCGTGCACGTGCGCCCTCAGTGCGAGCGGGAGGGCGGTGCGCCCAGTGCGGCTATGGCACAGTACGGCGAGTGTACATACTTGACGTCCACGTCGTGCACGTGCGCCCTCAGTGCGAGCGGGAGGGCGGTGCGCCCAGTGCGGCTATGGCACAGTACGGCGAGTGTACATACTTGACGTCCACGTCGTGCACGTGCGCCCTCAGTGCGAGCGGGAGGGCGGTGCGCCCAGTGCGGCTATGGCACAGTACGGCGAGTGTACATACTTGACGTCCACGTCGTGCACGTGCGCCCTCAGTGCGAGCGGGAGGGCGGTGCGCCCAGTGCGGCTATGGCACAGTACGGCGAGTGTACATACTTGACGTCCACGTCGTGCACGTGCGCCCTCAGTGCGAGCGGGAGGGCGGTGCGCCCAGTGCGGCTATGGCACAGTACGGCGAGTGTACATACTTGACGTCCACGTCGTGCACGTGCGCCCTCAGTGCGAGCGGGAGGGCGGTGCGCCCAGTGCGGCTATGGCACAGTACGGCGAGTGTACATACTTGACGTCCACGTCGTGCACGTGCGCCCTCAGTGCGAGCGGGAGGGCGGTGCGCCCAGTGCGGCTATGGCACAGTACGGCGAGTGTACATACTTGACGTCCACGTCGTGCACGTGCGCCCTCAGTGCGAGCGGGAGGGCGGTGCGCCCAGTGCGGCTATGGCACAGTACGGCGAGTGTACATACTTGACGTCCACGTCGTGCACGTGCGCCCTCAGTGCGAGCGGGAGGGCGGTGCGCCCAGTGCGGCTATGGCACAGTACGGCGAGTGTACATACTTGACGTCCACGTCGTGCACGTGCGCCCTCAGTGCGAGCGGGAGGGCGGTGCGCTCGGCGCGCAGTAACGCGGACACGCGGGCGCCGCCCGACACGAGCGCGCGCTGCCGGAGACCGTCCTTGGCGCATTTCACGGACAGCGCCACCTCCGACAATGTCTAATACATACAGATAAAAGTTAATAAAATAATATACAACACCACGTATGTTGCTCAGATTTCAAGATGAGTAGCTAAAGCCCCGTATTATGGAGTATCTAAGACAACGAAAGTACCCAAGTACCAAGACATCATTTTCACATGACCACTAAATCATAACGCTAATGTATAAACACGCTATTTCAGCAAATAATTTAATTATTTTTTTGGACACTCTACATTAATACTGATTTAACTAAATGTGGATGGCTATATCATTAAGCATTGACACTTAAACGAAATGATCCATAGGTTCATGAAATGGCCGGCCGGATCATGAAATTATCAATTCTACTATATGGCCATGACATATACTATGTTAAGAAAACCTATTTGAATCATTAAAACGTTATTAGCTAGAGAGATTGTATTACTCAATATACTCGTAATCGCTTTTATGAAACAAATAAAAAATAAAACGGGGTACAGTCTAATATAGATTAACTTAGCGTTTGTCCATAAGTTGCCGTCTTAACACCTTTGGACAAAATACAGCACTGATAATTGTGCTGTGACATTTAACAAAATGCTAGATTTTCGAAAAAATGCTATGACTTGAAAATTAACATTTACTTAATGATTTCTTCATATTTCAATTGATCATATTTGATTGACCTTTATTGGACCGCATTTTCTTAACATTTTACAACAATTTTTTCTTACGGTACTAACCTGTAAACATATATTTTTTTGGTTGTTAAACATATTACAACTGTAACACGTTCTTTGAAATATGTAAGAAAAAATCTAATCACCTTGACAAGTAGCTGCTGCCGTATGAGTGTCCTATGTAAATTCTGTCCAACAATCGCTAGTAAAGCTCTGAGCAACAATCGGCACCGCCATGCTCCCGTCACGCACCCGTCAGTCACGTCCTGAGGCTCGCCGGGACTTTCCTCTAAACTGATCCCCAGGAACTCCTCGTTAGGGGCCTAACAGATTAAATTAAATGAAATTGAAATAAGTTTATCGAAAGCACATTTCAATAGGGTATTTGACAAATTTTGAAAATAATTTTAAATTGTATTTTATTACATTATAAGCACGTTACGTTAATGTTTCAGAAAATATACTGTATTTATCAATAAAAATCAAAGTAAAAGTTTCAATTTCCGAAACCGCGCGAAAAACGCTGTCTGTCATACGCCGCCATTACAAAGCGTATAACATCACACGCTAGTAAATAAACAAACCTCATCATACTAAAATCGTCAACAGGAAGCCATATTTACTAGCATGTGACGTCATTGGACACATCACAAGGCGTTTTCGTCTCAGATAAAATGTCAAAAAATATTTAAGTTTATTTTGTGTAATATGCAAAAATTATACATTATTTTGTTTAAAATAAAGTGAAATATGTGATAGTACGCTATTGTCTTAAAGACAAAGAAACCTACCTAACTACATATTTTAGGATCATAGAGCTATGTCCCTATCGGTTAATCGATCGGACACAAGACTGCAATTAATACATTCTTCGCTTATTCGAAAACATTCTTCGCTTATTAGAATACATTCTTTTATAATGATTCAATCAACATCTGTTCTTAACTTTATTTATATTTATTTAATTACTTGAATAATATAGGTAAAAACTAGCCTAGTCAAATTTTAAAGAGTTCGATAACCACGCATATTCTTAATGGTGAACTTGGTTCTCAGTTGACATTTGATTTTGATGAGTTAATTACATATGGTGATAGTACTCTTTAATTTTTCCTTAATAAATAATGCTAAAAATTTCTTTAAGAATATTTTTCAGATCAAATATAATAACTTATATTTTATTTGCTCTTGAAATAAAGCGGTGGGTTTGTAGTTTCCTATTCTCATCGCCCCTACTTTCTTGTTTATGACGTCATAAGTGGGTAAATTTAAAATTATGTTCATATGAACAAAATAAATTTAAAATTATGTATGATAAAATAAAACTTGATTAATATAACTATTATTTGGTTAAATACCTGAGGAACATTAGGAAGCGAGTGTACTAGTAGCCAGAACAATCTGTGAGCGACGGCGGGCGCAGCGAGTGCACGCGATAGTAATAACTCTGGAACAATCACACATTAAAAGAAATATATAATGAAACCTTATTTCACGCAATATGTAATTAGGATTATATAAAATAAACAAATAAAATAGCCTTTATTGCTGTACTTTAACTTTTACATTATAAGTGCCTGATAATTACATTACTTTTTAAACAATATAAATATCGGCAAACGGTCAAAAGTTTCTTTTAGCTTGTGCAACGCCAAAGGCCTCCTCTTAAGATTTCCACTCATTTCTGTCTCTTACTCTACACATCCATGATGGACTCACTATCCTCTTAATGTCATCCTCCCATCTCTTATTTTGTCTACCTTTAAATCTTTCTATTATGTCTGTCTTTCCTTCTTTTCTCCTATTATATACCCTCTCCATGTCCGGACATGGAACGATGAGGATTTTTACATTATAGTATACCCTATTAAAAATAAATAAAATTGCGCTACGTCGTGTCATTTTCAAGATATAAATTTTTCAATGCAGTTGCTCATAAAGCGCTTTTTTTTAATCTATTCTAAACACTGAAAGTGAGTCATTAAACACGTGTTTAATAAAAATGTACTGAAATCCTTTACTGCACACGTGCTTAAAAGTATTTTTTTAATTTTTTTTGGCCGAGCACCAAAGAAATTTCAAAAAAATTGATGAAAATATGTAAAACTTTAGAGGCAAAAGTATTTCAAGGAGCCTAGAACGAATATTTTCAAATAAAAATGTATGACACGAAAACACGTTCAAATATCACGTTTAATTTTAACAAATAATTTTTACCTTTATTACATACTAAGTTTTATTAACCTAATATTTGTTTTATTTCCTCGCAAAAAGCATTGAAAAATGCTATAAGAAACTTGAGCGTAAAAGGTTTTTCGAATTCGTGCCAATTGTAACCCTCGCTACGCTCGTGTTTTCAATTTTTCCCTTATTCGTAAAACCTTACTTTCCGCACTCGTATCTTAAATAACTATTTTAAGTTAGGAGGTCGCAGCCCGCTGCTGTGATGACACTTTATCACACTCGCTCAGCGAGCGCTATACTCCCGAGTACTTCTGACCTATGTGTGGTCAAAAACTATTTAATCCACATCCACAAACAAGGAGAACACTCATTGTGTTGAGCCTAAGGCTCTTTACCCATGGCACTATGCGATATAATCCGATTTGGGCTCAACACGCGGGCCCAGTACGGGTGCTAGGTGGATTGGTGTCATCCATTATGAATACCTGTGCTTATGCACTACCACATGGACGGCACAAGACTTAAGTTATTGTTATTGTCTTAAAAAAACCGGTACAATGTATGAGTGACTCAGTACTGCGAGTGCGGCGTGTTGTAACGTGACGTCACACGTTCATAGCGCACTAAGGCAATTTTTAAAAAGCAGGAATTAAAACCACTTTGAAACAACTCGCTCGATTTTTATCTAACAAAACAGGTGTATTTCTAAATATGAACACTACACGGACACGAAGTTTTACGTTTACATTGAAATTGAAACTCCGCAATTGGCTGTCTAACATCTAACTATACTAACTCTATCCGTTCGCCTAACAGAGAATTTCGTACAATGACCCGGAATGTCATATCTCTTGTACTCGTGCGCAAACATATTGCTATATCTCTCGCATATATGCAACGTACGAAATTCTCTGAACTCGGCTACCTGTGTTGCTTGCTGTTGAATAAAGTTACAAATGAAAATGGACTTATTATTATAATCATTGTAATAAAGTTCATAATCCACTAACCGGCCAACGGACTGCACTCATAGGTTTCGTGTCGCAACGCTTGTGCCAGTTGCGGCAGCACGCGGCACAGATCGTCGTCTGACATCTGATCGATGAGATTTGCTGCTATCTGCCGCACTGCTGCATCCGGGAAACTGCCCACAGTAAAACCAGGATAAATTACCTAGTTATTATAGATTTGAAAGTATCCGTGGGCAGATACCTATACTAAATTGTTAAGAGGATATGTTACAATCAAATCTTTCCTATGTTTGTTTCTAAGCATCGAATAGGCTTCGAAATTACTGAACTTTAAGAAATCTTTCACTTACGGGAAGCTACATTAGATTTGGGTGACGTAAGATATAAATTACGCGGGCTTAATCGCAGGAAACAGCTTTAGCATAAAAAGAAACACAGTGCAGTCTTTTAAAAATAGCTACTGAATGTTTAAGTTCAAAAGACCAATTCTTATTTTTGTATGCAAAACAACCCTGTCTAACAGTTTGTAAAATACTTCTAAAATAGTAACTATCTCAAGTAATACAAGCAGGAATCGAAAAACAAATGAAAAGAAATTTGGCTCATATCTTACGTGGTATTTGACATTTTTATGCACAATTTAACTTTAAACTTTAATGCATTTACAATACAGTTCTACATCGTATTATTACGAAGCGCAGCGGCGTGATGTTTTGTCTGCTCACTGCTAGATGGTTTCGACTAACACTGTCGAAACTACTACTATAAAAAGAAAGAGACAGTCATTGGGAAAAAAGGGACGGGTAACCGTTCTAGACTAGGACTTTTAAGTAATGCCTCGAATACATATACGCGATGGGCTATCCGTACCGGCATTCTTTCAGTGACAAGTGAACTGAATACAAGAAGGAATACAAGCCAGATCCAAAGCAAAAATTAATGAAGTGAACTACCGGGACGACCAAGTAGTGTTGTGAAGAAAAAGTAGTGACGTGAATTAGTGAAGTCGAAGCGTATATTTTATTAAGAAATTATTTTTAAAATTTTAAATTGTTTCATAAATAGTCAGATTGTGAATTATTATAACGAACCCGATGTCGTAACAGTATATTACCAGGGCAACAGCAGATGGGTGGCGTTGAGCGGCGATGGTTTGCACCACAAGTGCAGTAACGCTACGAGCTGCGCGCGATGGTCACCGTACCAGTTGGTAGCAGCCAATAACACCAGGGGCAAAGCTCCCGGAAGCTCCACCAAGTACTGACGCTTCTCCCATAATATCTTTAACAAACAGACGCAATCATTGCTATTATACACATATTAATTTCTCCACTGTTTAGACATAGGCATTCATACACACAGGAATATAGGAACCGTATCACAAGGATCATACAAATGTTATGAATAGGGAATATTTAATGACCAATTTCATCAAAATCCATTAATATTAAAATACAATACACAAAGAGGTAACAAGTATAGAAACTTTCACTTTTATAATATTAGTAGGATTAAAACATTACTAATATGTTTATCAAAATGAAAGTCAATGATTCACACATTTTTAAATTTAAAAACATGATAACACAGCCCGAGGCCAATATAAATAACTAAAAGCGCTTGTTTTATTGAAATCAAGAAATACGACAACTACCCGACTAAATAACACAGCTGAAACCAAAAACTAGTGATCATGAATCATTTTTTTTTAATGTAACTTCAGTAAAAAATAAAATATATAACTATGAAACTATGATGTCTAGCAAATTACAAACCCAGTCAGTCAGCCAACAAGATCTATTACAATGTTGGTACAAAATCATATTGTTTCAACTTCAAGCTGGTATAATCCCCGCAAATTGCTAATGCGCTTGGGCGCTATATTGGTGACGTAAATGCGTGCAACAATCAGTAGCGTTAGAAAATGTAACACTTATTGAGTTGGGTTGTGTTGAGATCACACACCATGTTTGTTGTTTTCGATTATCATTGTCAAGTATTGTTGTTACTTGTTATGGTTGAATATAATAGTAACTGCTATAATGACTTTCACATCAAGTAAACCTAATTTTACTTAAAGTCAATTTATCTAATGTCTTTCATTTGATTTTTACTTTTAGGTATGTTTTAAAGTACCTCAATATTAACATATACATCATAAATTAATGCAATAAATTAACAAACTAAACGTTAGTAAATTATTTTACCAATATCTTGAGGATTTTTTATAAACATTTCAATAATTAATTAATAATGTATCTCTCGCATTCTGTGCTATCTATACTTTCTATTTTTAAACGATGTCACACGGGGGTTGTTTATACAAGGTTCCAGGGATTCAAATTATAGTGTAACCAACTGTATCCATTCCTTACCTCTCTACCTTCAGTAGGCATCCTCTGATAAGCCCCTTGTTCTATCAGATGCAGCAGTTGTGATTGAGTGTGACCATCCAATGAGTCGAACGCGGGCAGGTCCGCATGTGAGAGCGTTTTCTCTTTGCCTTCTTCGCCGTTTGTCCATTTTACACCATTGTGTGCATATAAAGGTATCTCTGAATGAGAAAAACATATACAAAATTGTTATTTCAATGTGACTGAAACATCTCTTAAGGAAACTAAATGAATATGTACATAGACAATATGATATATAACAAGACCTATTATCTAGACTAGTTTTTAGATTTAAGGACCTAATCAAACTATTGCACGGACATTCATTTGACAATCGTTTCAAGTCACATAGTTATACCTCATTTCAGCTAGTTTCCAATCATATTTCTCTTTAGCTGTTGGCTATGTAACTTTGGTTTATGGTTTTTTAACTTTTTTCCCATTTAATCAGTTTGCTATATTGTTACTAATTTATCTTATTAATTTCCTATATCTTTATTTAGTAACTTTTTAATAATTAGTTAGCCTTGTAGCCTAGGAACTTGTAGCCCTTTGCTAAACCTATGCGCAATCATCTAGCCACTTGCTATCCCACTACTCAGCTATGTAGCCACTTACTATCGCTTTACTCAGCCAGCTAGCCATTATCTATCCCACTATTCAGCTATCTAGCCACATGCTATCCCTTTACTCAGCCAGCTAGCCACTTTCTATCCCACTATTCAGCTATGTAGCCACTTACTATCGCTTTACTCAGCCAGCTAGCCATTATCTATCCCACTATTCAGCTATCTAGCCACATGTTATTCTACTACTCAAGATATATAGTCACTTACAATCCCTTAATTCAGCCATCTAGCCACTTGCTATCCCACTACTCAGCCATTTAGCCACTTGCCATCTAGTTATCTATCAACTATATTTTTCTACGTATTTAACTAAAAAAATAAATAAAAACTAAATGAATACATAATTACCGATATTAACAACGGGGTGTGGTTGCGGCGGCGCGTTCATGAGATGTGGCGCGGGTCCAATGCGGCGGTCACACCCCGCCGGCCACAGCGGCAACACGTACGTGCCAGATGCTAGGATACTAATTATAAAACACAAGTCATTTACGGTCAGTTTCACGAACGTCCATTAAGATATAATGACGCCTTTAAGCTCTAATGAATGTCAAATTTGTATAGGTAATGTCGCTTTAAAATTAAATGACGTTTGTGCTGTTAATTAATAATCTCGTTTTAAATAGACTGTTAAAAAACGCAGTGCACATCTCGAAGTGAAGTGGAGTTAAAAAGTTATAATAAATACATTAAATGCAATGTTCGATATGAATTTCTAGTCAAATCTATCAACTGCTTTTCACGACTTATAGATACAGACAGAAAAATATGGGATTTGTATATGCATATTTAAAGAAGATAATTTTATGTGAACAAAATGTGATGAAACAGATTCTATTTCGACATAATACCGATTAATATGCTTCCGTTATAATATGTACGATTAACAACACGTTTGGCTTTGTTTGACTTTTGAATGCCTTATTGTTCTGTTTTAGTTAATTCTGCATACATTAAATAGTCCGTTACTGTAAAAGTTAAAATATAGGTTTATGAACGTAAATAAAGATTTTAACTGCTTGACTACTATTCAAATCATGGAAAATAATGATTATCAACATACCCATCGTAATCGAACAGCTGTAGAGCCGCCCATCCTAGCTCCACTTGCTCAAACTGTACATCTGTGTTCTCCTCTTGATCAGAGCTGTTCGTTTGATTAGCATCGTTTTGATGCGGCCCGTCTACTGTACGTTGAGTTCTACCGTACAATGTCAGCACTAAACGTGCTTCTCGAGGTAACGTGTTCACTGGCACATCTTCTAAATTGAGCCTAGAGACAATCTCCTTTTATTATATTTGTTGAGGGTCCTCAAACAGTTGAAATAAGCATACCAGCTTGAAACGAGAGAGATGGTAAAGCAGATCTACTAAAGCTAATACAGTAGCGCTATCTATGTATAATCAAAGATACAATCAATTATAATTCTTATTTACCAATATTACTAATTCCTTTTTTGTTAACATATTTCAATAACTTGCTGACAAGTGTATATTTGAAGTGACAAGGACAAAAAGTCAACTCCATCCCCACCACACTTAAAAGCAAATAATAACTAAATTCCTTACATAATCTAATATATCTCACGCCCTTTTTATTATAAGCAATTATATTTCTCTTTAAAGTTTGTAAAATAGTAATTTTAGTCCAATCTTTGTATCTAAATAAACTTATATTTTATTCTTAATGAAAACTGCTTAAAAAATCCACTTGGTCCCTGGCAACGTGAGATGGAATTCGAACCCATGACCCATCTCAGGGCATTTTTCATTAAGAATATTTTAAAGTATAGCATTTTGAATGCGAAATTGGTGAAATATAATAATAAAAACAAACTTTCATCTTTATGGAAAGTTTAAATATTTGTAAAAATATTTCTTTCGGCTGTTTGGGTGGATTGCCTTAACATTGATGAGAATACGTTCTGTAGTAACGAAAAAACAGCGAGTGCTTGAAAGATTAATCAGTCTTGTTATATCCTGGGTTGCTCAGTGGTTAGAGCAGTCGCCCGGATTGTCATGGGTTCGAATCCCATCTCAGGGTGCTAGGAAGTGGATTTTTAAACATTTCTCATTTCTCATTTGTTTAAAAACAAATATAAGAAAATAAATTGCACCGGACTTACCATGTATCAAATATGATCCTAGGATAAAATCCCCCGCACTCGATCCGTGATGACTGTGTTAAATGGAGTGCTTTTAGAGGACGCGTGCCGTAATATACTTGAGCGTGGAACAGATACTCGTCGTGATTCCAACACAGCGGTAAGCAGTGTACCGCCTCGATACAAAACAGAGTTGTCTCTTGAATAGTGTACGCTGGTACCGCTTCTGTATTAGCAAAATATCAACTAAAATCACACCATCTTATGGCTGGTTTACACGTAATTAAGTAGATAAGTAGTAAGTAAATTATTCATTAATTTAATTTAAAGAGATATTTACTTGACATTGGCAGAATTGTGCGAAATGCGCAGATAAGCCATTAATTAAAAAAAAAGAAGAAGAAGACGCTTTTCATTTTTTAAACTTTTCTTTGTGTATTCTTTTCGTATTTGTTAATTAATAATGGAAAAACAAAAACGTGAAAGAAGTGTGAATTTTAATCAAGAAGAAACGGAGCTTCTTTATTTTTTACTTAGTAGCCCGTTGTAGTTTTTATATCACTTTCTATTAACGATAGAATATAAACAACAGCCCGTTTGGTAAGCCGAAATCGATTCCTAAAAATCTTGATCGTCAAGTGATTCTAAATAATTAGGTCTAGGGTTAATTACTCGATTTCTACGGGGTCGCGTAATATGTTCGAAATATTCATCTAATTCGTCTTCTAAAAACTCAAATAAATCCATTTTAGAATATTTGTGACACTCGTGACTGCAATCGACGCAAAGCACACAATAATGGTCTAAAACTAAAACTATTTTCGTTCCCGCTACTTGTAAGTACGTATAAACACATATGTAATTCTGATTGAGCTCATAAGTAATTATCTTTTTTAACTTGCTACTTATTTGTGTGTTTACATGTACGTAATCACTTAAAACTAAGTTAGAAATCTACTTAATCACGATTATCGAGTAACTCGGTGGCGTAGTGGTTAAGACCCGCGTCCACGATCGTTGTTGTTGAACAACTTTACAAGGGTCGATCACGGGATGGGTGACGCACGTTAGGCACGAAGACACGTTAAGCCGATGGTCTCGACTACATTTGCAGTCATTAATACCCTTCAATCCGCATTGGGCCAGCGTGGAGGATGGGCCTCCTTAACCATCCATTAGAAAACCTGACCCCCTAAAATGGCGACATAAAAGTGCTTATGATGACTTAATCACGTGGAAATCTGCCATTAAACAGGTTCAACAACGATTTTGAAACCACGAATCGGGTATATTAACCGCAGGTTTTAGTAAGATGCTCATTCGTATCAATTATAAAGAATGCGAAGCTTGACATCGTTAATATTTATTCATAAAGATAAAAACAGTTATATACAATATTCTTCAGACAAATTTTATGTAGAATAGTTTAGAGAATAATTTAGTCATATTTAGCTTTAACTAGTCGGACATTTTTAAAAAGAAACATAATCCGCACTTGCAGTACAATCAAGCTCCTTATTAGTATTCTAAAAATTAAAAAAGAAAATATAAAATTGATTTATAATGGCCACGCCAGACATTTTTAAAACTCGTCTTATCTAAATACTTAAACAGTATTTCATTAAGCTATCTCATTATGTTTTATACAAGCACTTACGTGCGATAGAGGTAGCATTGTGCAGTAGGTACTGTGAATCTGTGAGTTGGAAATCCAGTAGTCTAGTTCTTGTATAGAGGGCCAGTAACGCCCTGACTGCATCCCTGAGTCTGGCACATTGTAGGGCGACATTTTCCCGCGCTGTTGCCGAACGTAGCGACACAGACGAGTAGGGACCGTTGTCGCCATGTATTTCAGGAGTTACCGCATTGCTGACACTCTTCAAAAAACAATTTTAAAAGCTTGAATTTCTTTTACTGAAAACCACTTTTATTGAGTTATGTACTATTATTAAACTAAAGTCAAAAATATAAAAAAAAATCGATTAACAATACTAGACCACAAAAAAACAAAGCTAGTGCTTTGATATCTTAAATTTCTTCCATATAAAAAAGAACTCAATAAATTAGTTTTGATTTAGTAAGTTGTTATTTGATGTGTGATAACAATAAGACTACATTTTTAAAATTTCTGTATCGAATCAACCATACTAACAGTAATTTTCTACTGAGATGCGTTAACAGGTGAAAAAAATACTCCGTTAGCCCAATACACACTTAGGGTTGCCTTTATAAACAACATCAACTTTAAGGCCGGTCTTAACGTAACAAACTTTACAATCTACCAATCCGTTGGCCTACTATTTCCACGTTCTACCTATTAGTGATATTCGTATGACGATACTAAAAATAAATGATTACAGATGATTAACTCACCTGTGCCGTGCAAGCTTGAGCGAATGCGTTTAACGTGTTCGTAACATGTAATGTTTCGACTCCGCCGGCGAGTGCACATATCGCCTTCACTGCTTGGAACACAGCTTTAGGAGAACAACTCCCTTCTGCTCCGGTCACACCTATCGCTCTTGATAACTCGCCCTCCAACGTTTCTGAATTCATATGCGACTTTAAGTCTAATAAAAAATAACATTCAATCCCAAAAAAAATATACAAATTGGCTACTTGACTGTTTTTCGAAAATTATTATAATACTTTCTTATGGCCACGTTCAACCAATATCAGATTTATTTTACATTTGTTTATTAGATAATGAAAAAACATATTTGTACGCATTAATTGAAATTATCCCGCGAAAACAATTAGCCAAGTGACATTTCGACCCGTGACGTCACATTTCAATAAACATGAGTACTAATTTCACTCGCTACGTGTCTGAAATGTGTCACAGTCGTTTCGATTCTTGTAATAGGTACACAGATTATAAATCGCCAGTTAATCTTAGAGAAATAAAATATATATACAATTTATTTTAATACAAAAAATACTACAATAGCTATTGTTTATATATCAATTTTTGATAATTTATTGTTATAACTGTAAAGTGACCAATTAAAAACTGTCTTGGAAGTGTAGTTATCTAAATATATTCTGCTGGTTCCTCTCGAGACTGAACGTACACATACTAAATTCAACCAATTATACTATAAAAACTATATTACTTGACACATACCTAATAAAATAGATAAGTTGTCAAACGACAACATAGGCGTAGCTCCCTGCGTAGGCAATAGATCGTCTAAAGTGAGATGCGAATCTCTAGCGTCGTCTCTTTCTGTGCGAGCGAGATCGTCATCCCTCCCCTCATGTAGGCACAATGTGACGTCCTTCTCAAGTCGTACGCACTCGCGCACATAATCGTATTCACTGAGAGCACTACCAGGCGTAAGATATTCTTTAGCACCCCAAACCTTAAACAAGTTTTACTTTAAACATTTCAACGGCATGTGATAGAAGTTTGCATCAATCTGTGCATTTATAATGGGATCAAAAAGGTCTTGGTTACTAGTCTATTTCAGTCTTTAACTAATCAGAAGTTTAATACCTAATGATTTCCCTATTTATAGTCTATCAACCAGTTGCACAAGATTAAATGTATCATTAGCTTAATGCCACATTACCCATATAAATTCTCAAATTTTAATGTTCATTAGAGCTTAATGAAGTCATTGAGACTTAACGATCGTTAACTAACTTTAAGAGCCTATTTAATCAGCAATAATGAACAAAAAGTAAACCTTAGGCAAATTACCCTAATTTTATGTATACAAAAACAATATTAGTGGTCTCAAATATTTTTGGATAAATATAAATATTTTTGATAGCTTGTCGTTTCTTACCCTCAACATATATCCCGACATATCTTCTCTTATCTCTTCTTCAAGAGAACATACTACAGTTAATATCACATGTTCCACCGTCGACTCCACTGAAAATGATACGAAATTATATAAAATTTAAATTAATAATTTTTGAAAACTTGCATTAACTAAATGTCTTAACGAATTTATTTCAAAGCATCTAGGATATTTCTCAGTCTTTATTAATAAATTTGAACTAAAAAAAGAAATTGCGATCTAAACAGGAAATGTCCGAAGTGGCAAAAATTAGGGAGGTGAAATTAAGGACACGAGGCAATTAACGTTAGTGTGAAAAGCGTTGGATATTTCTAAACAGGAAAATCGGGCCCTGCTTGTAAAAATGATGTGTATAGCATTAAATTAAAAACAAATATGTGAACTATTACAATTTTATGTTACCAACCATCCGAAGTGAAGGTGATTGGCTCATCGCTATGAGCATGATGGACTAGAATCTTCAGACTGGTGTTAGGAGGATATTTTCCACCTGACCTAGCCGCTATCACATGACCTGGGTTCGTTTTCAGATCTGAATGCACAAACTTTTCTGCAGAAGATCAACAATAGAATCTTTATAATATTATTTCAAATGAGAAATTTAATAAACCATCGGATTCAGCTACTTACTTCTCACATCGAGAACCATATTTAGAAATGCTTTGTGCTCACTATCGTAATTCCTTGTTCTAACTTTCACTATGCAATCGTAGAGTTTATTCTGCAAAAACATCATTACTGCTGTTAACTAAAAAAGGAAATGCAAATACGGTCTACTGTATGAAGATAGTATACATATTTGCTAGATATTATTGCAATACCTTTCGATCATACTTTTCATTAACTATGAACTTCAAAAATTATTCAATGAGACAACCATCAACTTTAATTTGTGGTATACATACATTATACATAAATGCACTATTATAAGTTTTTAAACAATTATAAGTTCCAAAACTTGCTTTTTGTCTTACGCGAGTAATTAACCAGATTCGATTCAGAACCACCATATTATATTACAATTTCAATTTAGCATGTTGTTAATAGATCTGTTAAATAATTAAAGATTAATAGCTATTCTAATTAAATCACTCACTGTAGTGGATCTTTTGGCGACAGCGGGCACACTTGGTATAGATTTCGGCGGCGGAGACGGTAACATCGTGCTTTCTCGCTTGTTAATTGTTGCGTACACGGGCGCATCTCGCATCTCCGTTTCTCCGTATAGAAAATCGAGAGGATCGTACTCTTCATATACACTGCTGGAGCACTCACTGGCCACGACATATTCTAAGGAGCAATAACACTTAAAGAAGGACAATTTGTGATTGGAAGCAGTTTCAATAAAATCAATTTCTGTTAGTAATTATATACCACAAAAAAATTATAATAACAAAGTAAAAATCAAACACCAACTCAGTAACACAAACATAAGCAGAAAAAAAACAATGGTAGAAAACAAATGATAATTTTACACTATGATGGATTTCAATATGAACGATGATATATTGCAAATATAACCACGTCTTCACTATTATAAAAACTAAACGAAGTAGTAAATACATAATATAGTCATCCCCTTAAATGTGACCAACATATAAAATGGTAATGCACAAGATAAGTTTTATATACAGTTCTAGATTCAAACTAATTAACTGACCACAGAAATGTATTCGATTTTTTTTTTTATCTGATCACCAAATCACTTTAATCGTAGTAAAAACGTGGTACAGTAGAACACAACTTATACGGCATGCCGATGTACCCGCGTAAGTTAAAATTCTCAGTGTAACAAATCCTGTAAAATTGAGAATTCGAGTGGCGCGCCATTATGATTTCCGTGATTGAAGACGTGCCTGATCGCCTCCGGTGTAAATGGGATGGAAAATATAGTTTTATTTCAAATCTAATGGTTATTGAAAAAATACTGTAAAATTGATATGTCTGGAGTGCACAAACGTATATTAACGACACGCCATAATTGTTGGGTTTTACTGTAGTGTGAAATGAACACAAACCACTCACCAGCGTTACTTTGCTCAGATAATAAAGGGTCAAAATCCTCAAGCACACTGACTCTTACGCTACCTGACCCTCGTTGTCTGCCGCCGAAGTCGATCAAGTTCAGCGACTTGGGCAGGCTGCCTATAGTGTCGTTAGATTCGTTGGACTGCAACAATATATATATATTGGTAAAAATATGTTTTAAATGCCTTAAGTACTGGGAATAGCGCTCAAATTCTGTATCAATTATGTTGTGTTGCTATATTTTCTTGTGGTATATGCGTCAAATAGAATGTGTATATTTTGCTTTAATAAATAATGACACTAGATCACAAGATTTCGTTTTATTAAGAATGTTTTGCTTTTAATATACTCTCTATCCATGGTCACAAATGGTCCCAGGTTCTGTTTGATATAAATTAAGTAACGCATTGTACCCCATTGCAATCAATAGATTATATTTTTAATAAACATAAGAAAACAATGTTGATGAAATAACTCAAAGCAAATAATATTTACCACATTGCTAACCTCCGAAAGTTTCCTCGACTTGTCACTTTCAACGATATCCTTACTTGGTTCATTCTTCACAGGAGTAGGAACGGCGGTATTATTATTAATGTTATTGTTATTCCCATTTTGTTTCGGTGCTGGATTCGTTCCCATCGGGTAAGTGTGTATTTGATTTAGTTGTGGATATATGCTGGCGGGTCGAGGTGGTCTTGATATCATGTTTGTGGTGTTGAAATTATATGTTGGCGTTTGTGGGCTTGACGAATGGTAATTAGGATAAGGCGTACCCGATGGGGTAGCCATACGTGTCTGACTGTAATGCATTGTTGGCGCATACATCGGTGGGTTTACGGGCATGTAGACGGGCGTGGATTCACGAGAAGTAGCAACAGTTGGTGCGTAATATGGATAGTTTGGCATCGGGGTTGGCATTGCCGTGGGCAATGGAGTTGGCATTGGAGTTGGTATAGGTGTTGGCATTCCATATGGCGCAGCAGGAGGATACGGACTAGGGGTCATCGTATTATAAGAATAATAGCTGTAGTATGGTGCGTATGGATATCCAGGAGTCTGGTTGGGTTGGTTCTGATTATTCATTGCAACTGGATTTAAGTCTGTCGTAGTAAGTGCAAGCTCCTCGGTCTGTCTGTAAAGAATATTTTGTTAATAGATCTTTCTAATAACGAATATGCTTTAATTTTCTATAATTAAGTTATCTATAAAACTTTTAATTATGTATAAATAATAGCTTGATCTGATATTGTCCTAGCCCTAATGGTGATTACTCTCTTTTAGGTTCAAAGTTTAGTTCTTATTAAAGAATGATAATTTTTCCATAATTCGTCTCGGTGTCTGTATAGTTGCGAGAAACATTTATTATTTTCATATCACTTCTGTTATTAGTTTGTGAACAGTTTTTAAATAATCGTAATATTGTCTAATATTAATTGGAAATTCTAATAATTATACATTTACAGTTGTACGTAATATTCTTGAAATCGATCTCTTTTGTTCCGCCAAAACAAAATTTTATATCTGTATATCATGCCCCTTATCAGGTTGATATCATTTATCAAGTAACACACAAGAAACCTAAAAAGAAAATAGACCGGTCGGCAGTAATGGCGTCGCTTTATTTTCATATTGATGTCAATATTAACATGGTCAATTATACAGCGACATGCGGTAATATATCTTAAAAACATTAGATTCAAATCTGTCTTGTATAATTAATAATCACGGCATTCGACTAAGTAAATAATATCACTAATCTTCAATTCCTTTAAACTATTAAGTCTGCCGCGGTTTAATAAGGTTTTGATTAAATAAGGTATTCGAAGTATGACAATAAATTTATCCTAAAAATGCTTAATAAATTTAATAATGACAATTTTGTTGAAAAAAAGTGTTTTGGAAATTGGGAAAAACTATTACAACTATTGTAAAATTAGTGCATAATTTCCTCGGCTAACTATATCACTTACACATTTATCAATTAAATTAATCATTTAGATTTTTAGGGATAGCCTTTTTATTTCAATAAGAAAATGTTATAATGTACTTATGTCATATTTAAATTACAGACTATTTTTTGTATGAAATGTGGTACAATATGTGGTATAATATAATTTAAGAAAATTACACCCATGTGAAGTCCTCAATTACATAAAGTTGCAAAATCTAAACAAACATCAAATATTCAATACTTACTTGTGAATTTGATTGATATACTCCTTTAATGATTCATTGGCATCTTTGGGTGCTGATTTACTTGTAGGACTTGCAAATGATATGAGATCGCTGGTGTCATCTCTCGTCGGGCTCGCTCCTGTGGACCTGATGACAACCAGAAATAGATGACACGAATAATGTTTACATTAAGCAAATCTATAATAAATAATCATTAAGATATAATTTGTTGAATTTAGTATATGCACTTTGAGTCTCGAGCGGACCCAGCAAACTATATTTACGTTCTAAACTTCTAAACACTTTTTAATTGGTCACTTGACAGTTATAATACATATACCGAAATGTTACGATAAAATAAAGTTGACTTATTTACACATATTTATCGGAGTATATAACGACCAAACATCAATAATTTCATTGTGGGACATCGAAGTAATATTATCTTTTCTATAAAAGTCAAAATTACGATGTCTTCACTCTAGTTATCACGGGTTAGAACTATTTGTATCCATTTTAAAATGGTGTAACAGCCTGTTATGCAAATAATTATGGTGGACAGGTTTCTTTAGTGTTCTTAAATTAAATGTCGTCGTCAAAAATCACTTTATATGAAAGACTTAATACGTAATATAATATCACATATATAAAATATACAAACACTATTAAAAGAAGATACAAAAGGCTAAATTACTCTAATATTGATTAGAGTACAATACAAGCCTTATCATGTTACGACTGAAGTTCAAAATTGACTTGTGGATTGCATCTTTTTGAAGTACCCTGGTGAGCTACTGTGTACCACTCTCCTTACCTGGTATTATCGGCGGCGGCACGTCCTCGCGGTGGTTTCCGCGGGGGCGGGGGCAGTGCGGGGGGCGGTCCGTCACTCTCGTCGCGACGACGGGAACTGACGCCCACCTCGCGAATATTATCTGCCGTATCGATAAACGATAAACATATATCACCAATTACAATTACCTTATCACTAATGCCAATGCTTACAATTTATAAATATGAAAATCCTCAGCATCATTATGCAGTGCGTATTTCACACACTTGGAAATGAGTAACATTTTTCCGGGGTGTGAAAATATGCAAATGGAGTGCTTAAAAACATTTAATTTTGCTTCTACACCAAGATATTATATTTCATAAAAAGCAACAAACATAAAATGTTTAAAGCACGGTGTTATATGATTATAGTAATACACATAAAATTTTGAAAGAGAAATTATGATACTTGATTATCAACTACCTATATATACAATCGTTAGAGGGAAAGAGGGCAAACAGGCAATTGTCCAGGGGGCTTAGTAGGGGGGCAGCAAAAGCAACGGCACACGGCAGTCAGTCCTTAATCTCCTTACAATTACCAAAATAACAGTCTGTTGCACATACTTCCATTAAGATTTAATGAGCCATTAAGCTGTAATGAATGTCAATTGCTTTAAACTAATGACAATTATAATGGACGTTTGTGCAATTTTTGGCTGTAAGTAAACTGTTAGACTTCTTTTAAATATATTTTCTTTAATTAATGCTACTTTTGTTTCATATTTTTGTTTAGTATACAATTATAACACAAATGTAATGTAACCCTAATTATTAGAACAGGAAGCACATAGATTAGTGTCAGTGTATAAAGTGATAAATTTTGCTTGAACATGCCGCATTCCTGACTGGTAAGCAGATAGGACGGAACTCCAAAAATATCATATACTGCAAAAATGTGATAACTTAAATCCGCCTGAATTTAAACTAACTATCCACTTTTATTAATCTTATTCTTTAACAATGTACTCTGTTAGTATTTGAAATGAAATGAAATGAAATGAAATGAAAATATCTTTATTCAAGTAGGCTATTACAAGCACTTTTGAATCGTCCAAAAAACTTTTTTCCCCTACCACTTGTTCAGGACGTCTTTTAGCTGACAAGAAGAACAAGCGAAAGAAACTTATCAGCTTTTTATCATAAGTAATGACATTTACATAAATCATGTCATTACCAAAATAATATGTATTATCAATTTATCACAATAGTAAATACAACTTTCAAAGTCTGTAGGACATAAGTTGAACATATAATTAGTCTTTATAGAACAAAGCGAAGGCTATTAATTCCATGCATTGCGATCCTTAAAATAATCATCAACTTTATAATAGCCTTTACTCACAAGTATATTCTTTACATGAATTTGAAATTTATTTATGGGTAGGTCAATTACATTTTGTGGAACTTTATTGAACATAGCAATACATTTACCCAGAAATGATCCTCTGGTTTTTTGAAGTCTGAAGCTTGGAACGGCAAGTTTATCTTTATTTCTTGTGTTAAGATTATGAACACTACTTTTTTTTGTGAAGGAATCGTAATGTTTTCTTGTATACATAATATTCTCATAGATGTATTGAGAGGCAACAGTCAGAATATTTATTTCTTTAAATATTTCTCTTAGAGATTCCCTAGACCGTAAATTATATATAGCACGGACAGCTCTCTTTTGTAAAATAAAAACATCCTGAATGCTAGCCGCAGAACCCCATAACAATATACCATACGTCATTACACTATGAAAATAACTAAAATATACCAATCTTGCCGTTTCAACATTTGTCAAGAGTCTAATTTTCTTAACAGCAAAAGCTGCAGAACTCAGTCTACTTGACAAGCTATCAATATGAGGATCCCATTGCAGTCGGGAATCTAGTGTAATACCAAGGAACTTTGTCGATTCTACTAACTCAACTTTTTCACTATTTACATTTATAAGTGTACTGACATGCCTCACATTAGGTAATGCAAACTTTATGCATTTCGTTTTATTTGAATTGAGCTTTAAATTATTATTATCAAACCACTGTAGAACGTTGTCGAGAGCATTATTTACATCGTCAAAACAATCATTACCCCTCTCAACTTTAAACAGTAAAGAGGTGTCATCTGCAAATAATACTGTCTCGCACAAATTCTTCGTAAAGTGAGGAAGATCATTTATATAAATTAGAAAAAGCAATGGTCCTAATATCGATCCCTGAGGTACGCCCATAGTAACTGGTGCCCCTGCAGATTTCGCTTCATTGATTACTACCTTTTGAATTCTAGCAGAAAGATATGATCTTATTAGATGAAGTGAATTTTTCGTCACACCATAATGTTCTAATTTCCCCAACAGTGTTTCATGACTAACGCAGTCGAATGCTTTTGATAGATCACAAAAAATGCCAATAGCATCTTGTTTATTCTCCCAAGCATCATAGATATGCCTCAGAAGTGCAATTCCAGCGTCTGTTGTACATTTACCTCTGCTAAAGCCAAACTGATTTTGGTGAAGTAATTTATTTAATGAAAAGTGTGCAAGCAGTTGATTGTACATCATTTTCTCAAATACTTTACTTAATGCTGGTAGAATAGAAATTGGTCTGAAATTACTAGGATCAGACTTGTCGCCTGCCTTGAAAAGTGGGATTATTTTACCATATTTCATTAAATCAGGAAAAGTTCCTTCATCAATGCACTTATTAAAAATAAAAGTTAATTGAGGTGCTATAGCTGGTATTATAGATTTGATAACATAAGTTGAAACGCCCCAAAGATCTTCGGTTTTTTTGACATTAATACAATTAAATGTTTTAATAATTGAGCAGACGTTAACGTGTCTAAAATAAAATTCAGTATTGCACTTATCAACAACTGACTCTAGATGCGTAACCGCAAGTTTAGAACATGAACTAAGATTTCTTGTGATTTCTATTGGTGTCTTAGAAAAGAATTTCTCAAATGTCTCGGCAACCGCTTCATCTGTTTTAATAATTTTATTGTCAACCTCTAATGAGTATGTGCGCATATTACTTTTATTTTTACCCGTTTCTTGATTTATGATAGTCCAGGTTGTTTTTATTTTATTTTCTGAATTGTAAATTTTTTCAGATATATATTTTGCTTTTGCTGAAACACATACTTTCCTAAAAATTTTCGAATAATTTCTGACATATTCAATAAACTTTGGATCGGTCGAGGTACACTTTAGCTCATACAAATCATACAGCCTATTTCGACTTTTGTAGATGCCAGGTGTAGCCCAATCACTAAATTTCTTTTTTTGGTTAGTAAAGTTAATTGTTTTGAGTTTAAATGTTTTATCAAATTCTCCCTTTATCAAGTTAAAGAAATTATTATAAACATCATTTATATTTTCCAAATTACTAGTTGTCAACTGAGTATGATTTGCAGAAACACTGTTTTTAAATTTTTCTAAATTACTTTTGGTAATAGGTCTACAAATTATATTGCATTTAGGAGAAACATGATGGTGCTCGAAAGTTGCTAGAACTCCGCTACGGTCAGATTGAATACAATTTATTATCGATTTTTTGAACACCTTACATTTACAAAAAATATTATCTAAGCAAGTAGCAGATGTGGGTGTAATGCGGGTAGGTTCATTAAAAATATTTTCTAAATTAAAACATTTAAACAAGTTCAAAAATCTACTTGATTTAGCACATTTTATTAAAATATCTATATTAAAATCACCACATATCACTACTTTCTTATCGACTTTGCAAATTAATTTAAATGCATCCTCCATAGCAGATTCAAATTGACAGTAGTCCCCATCAGGTGGTCTATATACACATATAATAATATACTGTTCAAGTTCCACACATGACAATTCAATATGTCGCTCAATTGAGAGGGATACTATATCTTTACGTTCTTTACATTTTAAATAATTACTTATTATTATTAAAGAACCCCCTCGTATGGCATTTATCCTACAGAATGAACTTATAATTTTATAATTTTTAAAACCCGTAATTAATTCATAATTTTTGAGCCAGTGCTCTGTAATACATATTATATCAATATTCATACTATTTAAACACATTTCTAATTCTAGATCTTTTCCAGAAAAGCCTTGTATATTTTGGTGAACAATAGTTAAATAGGTAGACTTTTCCTTGGTCATCTCATTGCTAGAGATTTTCTCTATTGTCTTATTAAACAATTTAAATTATTTAAATTGTCAAAATTTAGTTTTGGAACATATTCCAAAGTCTGTTTGTTTAAGTCAAAATCATTCTGCTCAATAAAAGCAGTAGAGATAGCCAAATTATTGGCTAAATTTTTAAAATAAAAAACTAGCGAGGATGCTATTTGTCTCTTAAAATAGAAAGAAAGATAATATTTATCTCTTGTCAAATTTTAATTAAGAATATATTTGAGACTAGCTTTCCGCCAGCGGCTTCGCCCGCGTGGGCCCTATGGAACTATTTAGTGGGATAAAAAAGTATCCTATTCAGCTAATACCTAAGTCAGCTAATACCCTCTCTGAATACCAAATTTCATCAAAATTCGTCAGTAGTTTCCGCGTGATTGACGGACAAATATAACTTTCTTATTTATAATATTAATAGGATTCATACATAAAGAAACAGGTTGAAAGGGGCATCTGAAGCATATCATCTTGTAAATAAATTGTTATTTTATAATTATATATGTGTATCATATAATAAAGAGATATGGTATAACACCCACTCACAAAATTTTAATATCAACAATCATGTTTAATCACTGCTCTATTTGCAAAGGCCAAAGACCTTTACATCCTCTTATATTTTAAAACTTTAAGAGTTCATTGGCTAGTTTGATAAACAATAGGTCAATTGCATAAAACAAATATCTATATATTGGGGAAAAAGTTTCTTCGCATTTTATATGAAAATCCAAAACATTTTTTAATACAGTTTATGTACATTTACTAAAGTATGTAGGTACTATTTTGTTCTGTAACTCTTTGCTATCTTGTAGGTAGAGACATGATCCCACTACTATAGAAATTTTGGGGCTTCTGATCTAAAAACCGCGACAAGTGATTTTTCAGTCCTTGCGTGATGTTAACCTGACACTGCCTAAAAAATCTGAAGAGACTATAACAGGTGGATATCAAAAGTGCAAGGTCAGCAATAGTACGTCGGATGCTTAACACCTTCCAGCCTAACTCTCTTAATTTTTGCTGAATGGCAAAATATGTGTGAGGTCTAGTGTTATCAAGATGAAAAACCACATCCCTTCTTTTGATTAATTCTGGCTGCTTTCTCTCAACTTCTTGCTTTAATCTCAGTTGTTTGCAGTAGAAATCAGAATCAATGGACCTGCCTGGCGTTAACTTAGCTCATGATGAATAATGCCCATACAATCCCATCATACTCACAGCATCACCTTGCAAGTTAAACTGGGTTTCGCCACAGTCTGTGAACCGTCGTATTTCTTTATTAGATTCACTTCGATTCGATAGTAAGAAAAACAAGTAAAAATCACCAAAACAAAACTTTCAGGTCCAAGTTTGGACCTATATTGATGAAAATTGGTATTTAGGTGTTTTAAGACTCTAGAAAGGTAATATGTTAAAATATTTTCCCCTGAAAACTAGGACTTAAAGGGATGAAAATGGGAGTGAAATATATTATGGGGAATCAAAATGTTACCTACATCAACTGTTTTAGTCAAGGTTGAGTTTTCAAAAAAAATTTTGTAATAACTTTAAACTACTCCACTGAGTTACTCATCAGAGTAGAATGGTTGCGTAGTTTAAATAAATAAATATTCAGAAAACCAGATGTGATTGATTTTTTAAATTATTTTTTCTGGATAAGTCTTACCTTAATAAACAAAAAATTTACAAATTCAGCTAGGGTATAAAACCATGTAAAGTAGTGTATCAGGCATAAAGTTTATGTATACCATAGCAGGGTGACTGATGCACTTTCACTTTATATAGGCTTTAGTTTTTCTGCCAGCCTGCATTGAAATTATGCTTATTCAGTCTCTTGTCCTGCCTATTATAGATTATGCTTATATCTGTTATCCTGATATAAATGAAAATCTTCTCAACAAATTGGATCCCCTTTTCAATAGTTGTATTAACTTTATTTATGGATTACATAAGTACAACCATTTACTTACCATTTGGAAAGCACCTAATAAATTTAAATTCAAGAGACTGGTTTGTGAACATTATCACAATTGTACAAATCAGTCCTTATATAAATCAGTAATTGTTTCTGATTTATTTTTATAAATATTGTTATTTCATTTGTATGTCTAATATATTGTTTATAATTCTACATATGTCACTAAGTTTTATTTTTCTTTTTATAATCTCTTTGTTGGGGACTAACAAATAGTTTATTTGACACCCTTACTGGTGAACTGGCAGAGAATGTCATATGACATCAAGTCCACCCTTTCCTGCATCGCACTAAAGATTGAATAAATAAAAAGATAATAGTAAATTAGCCATTTACTATATAGCGTACATAACAACTTATTAATGAAAAACTTATTATTATTCTACCTGCTAACCATTAATTAACCAATTGCTTAAATTCGTTATACTTTAGTTAACCAATCACATATTACATTGATAAAGTTCAATCATGAGATATTAGATTGAATGCCAAACTCATCAGTAATCTTTTGGTAAACAAAGTTACGTCAATTACCTGCGCTAGATAGTTGCTTCTGTCTACGAAACTGTTCCAAAGCCAGACTTTCCATACTCAAAGCCTGCGCCTTCTCCAAATCGGCTTGAAATTGAAGATCGTATTCTGACATTCTCGGATGTTCCTAAGTTTGCGACTGCAACACCCATAAAATGAGCGTGGGAATTAAAACAATAAAAGCACTGTTTTGTAATGCACATAACACTGTACAAAAACTTTATCCACTCGACACCGAAGAACGAGAAAGGCATGTAATTTGAAGTAGCACTATTCACCTTAGAACACTATCTAGCAGATCACCCCTCAAACTACAGATATTTCAAGACATTATCCAATATTAAATAAAATAGTTTTTCTAAACTGTACTTGAAGAATTTCGACTCGGGAAAATAGCCCGACTACACAAAAATCATTGTCACTTTTGACATTAGTGACATGTAGTGATGGACACGTAAATGTCAAAGGAACCTCTCAATCCTGGTTGCATTATAATAAATAGAGATGTTAAAATACTATTTAGCGTTTAACGCTGTCATTTAAGTGATTGCGCTAAGGCCCTAAGGGCCAGTTTTTTGATCCGTAGTCAAATGTCATTTCACCATTTGTTAACTTGACTATAGTTAAAACATTAACAAGTTGTTAACTCGCTATTTCGTTTTTTGATGCCAAATTAAACCATAGCCAAATTTAACCACTGGCCAATTTGCTGCCAGCACAATCAGTCGTTTTTTCGCTATACATTGACATGGGTAATTTTTTTCTGGGTGACAACACTAACGGTTTGAATGAACGGAGCGAACTATATAACATTTTTGACATTATGATTTTGTTCTAAATATCAAATAGACGAAAGAAATCTATAGATTATCAAACAGTGTGGATGTTTATGGTTGTTCTGTTGTGTGCACTATGTGTTATTTTTCATGAAATATAAGGCAATTTCTTTAATAATGTTAGAAAGCAACAAAGATATGTTTTTTCCAGTTATTTTAAACTTAACTTTTTTATAAAAAGCATATATTTGTTTTTTATTTATCTTATAGAGAAATACGTGAAAAGAATATAGTATCTAGTATCCAAGGTGGGATAGAGTCTGGCAAGCGAAACGTGTCACAAGAAAAGGGCGGCAATTTCAAAAATTCTTAAGCAGTAAACACTGAATGTAGTACTGCAAAATAATTTTGATACTTTTATTAATTATATTTAATCTTAACATTTAGATATCAATTAAAATTATTTGTTTTGGAACATTTGACTAAAGCGTGACTGTTCTTAATTGTACAGTTAACAGCATATCAGTAGGCCTATTCACTAACTCAACTGACAACCAAGAATCGTCATCACCGTAAAAAATAGACACTTTGATTGTGTCAAAATCACTATTTCGTATTCTCTATCAATGATGAGCAATTTCGAAATGTCAATATCGGCATTCTCCACTGGACTCCATTTTGACACTTGATTTCGTATCGATAAACTGTATTAAAGTAACATTGTTGCAAAGCATATTTGAAGTCGTCGCATAGTACCTCTTAAGCCATTTGTTGTTAAATTAAAGCGAAAAAAAATACGTATCCAATATTTTTCTATTATCTGACTGACGGACTAAATCGAATCTTTTTTTTAACCCTTTCGTTATACCTATTGGCTAACAGCACTTATAATATTAAAAATTCATATTTGTCATTAATTAAAAGGGTGTTTTTTGCAACGACTTCTTTGTTTTTTTGTAATGAATATGGGCGACTCTGGCCACATTTTTTTAATAAATGTGATGTTAGCCAATTTTGATTTCTGGCCCTTATATTTATAATGTGTTCATAACACATACATGTCTCCTAAGGGATTTTCATCACAACCTTTTGCTCTGATCCAGAACCACTATCTATCAAATTAAATTAGTCAATATAAACACCAGATTACAATAAAAAAAACATTTATTTTTGTTACAATTAAGTGCCATGGATAAATTACATAATACAGGTGTCACAAAATCATCATGTTAATCACAATAGAAAATTTAAGATAAGATTTTGACTATGAATCAGACTAAAAATACTTTAGTCTGATTCATAGTCAAAATCTGTTTCTAAATATTCTACACCTGATAACAATGACAAGGAATCATCAGAGTCACTCTCTTCACTACTGTCTGCACCAACAGATATAATAAATTTTTCAAGTTCGTTTTCAACAATGCCATCTTTTAATTTGTAATCATTTTCGACATTTAAAACATGATCAGTGTATTTCTTCCAGTCACTAGGGGTAATTAAGTTAAAACACTCTATTATTAAGTTTTCCATTTCCTTTCCTGGTATTCCAATGTTTCTGCTTGCAATTTTTCTTTTTGCTTGACTCCAAACCATCTCTATTGGGTTTAAGTCACAATGATACGGTGGCAGCAATAAAAGTTCATGATTATGTTCTTTTAAAATCTCTTCAGCTTCATATACAGGCAATGTTTTCTTATCATTAACCAAACACATTAACTCTGCCTTTGTCTGATATTCCTCAAAATGTATTCCATTATTTACAAGCCATTTACGGATATCTGCTTTGGTATTAGACATTATAGGCGGTTTATTGATTTGTTTTATATGGTAGCTGGCATTATCCATAACAATTACACTGGGCTTACTTAAATTTGGTATTAATTTTTCTCTGACCCATTTCATAAAGTTCGATGAGTTCATATCATCATGATAATCAGCAGATTTGGATTTACTACTGAACACTAATAATGCACCAGGCACAAAACCTTCCTCAGATCCAGCATGCACAACAATATGCCGTTTTCCAGAGGATATCTTTGTAGTGACACCAGTTGTTGAAGGTCCTTGCCAAGACTTTTTAACTTTATAATTCTGATGTACATAAGTTTCATCAAGGTACACAATTTGCTTTCCTTCGTTTCGTTTTATATTTATTTCTCTCAAATACTTGTGCCTCCATGCAGAAATCTGGTATTTTTCTATAAGCATAGAACGTTCATTTTCATTGCTTTTAAAAGAAAATCCATTCTTAAGCATAATTTTTCGTAAAGTCTCACGGCTACCACTGAATCCTATTGCATCTTTTAATTCATTGTGAAGGCTTCTTAATGTTGGAACAATTTTTTTCACACAGTAAAATTCATTTACTTTATTCCGAATTGCACTTAAATCAAAATTATCTAAAGCAGACACTGTTGGTTGATGAGGTCGTTTTTTCCCAGGAGTGTCCCATTTTCCTTTATTAATTAATGCTTCATTTTTTATCCTTCTTAGTGTCCTTATACTTACATCTATAAAAGATTAAACACTTTGAAACAAAGATATGTTAAATGTATTTAAAAGCAAATAATGATAGACACATACATCAAAATAATTTAAATACCTATTCAACTATGAATGCAATTTATGTTTAATTTAGTTAAGTTTATGTGCATATTTAGCATGTATAACAATTACATGGTTTGATTAGTTTCATGAATTCTGTGAATTTCCTTGTTAAACAAAACATTCTTATGACATCATTGGATGTCAACAATAAAAACCAATACATCATAAAAAACCTATGTAAATATTATAGGAATACTATCAATCTATCTTAAATCAAAACAAGAAAAGAGACCTGTCATTGAAGAAATATTTTGTAAGTACTGCGTTTCCGAATTCAGCATTTCTTGTTTTTCTAAAGTTTTTATTGCATTTATCTCCTCCATTATTGGTTGAATATCACCATCACAGTTATCTGAAATAGAGCAATATTTTATAAAAAATATCTGTTTAGTTAATTACAGAAAATTAAAACGAAAGTATCAAAATTATAATACAAAACTAACCTAAAAAAGATACAACTTTATCTAATCGTTGTAATTTCTCCATGAAATTTTTATTTAATTCAGTTTTCACTTCAGTAAACTTGTCAATCATGATGGAAAGAAGTTTCCTCGATGAACTTTTTATCGGCTTCGACATAATTTTTAACCAAAAACACAAGTTCAAATTCGCAAAAACAACAAAATTCAATATTCTTGAATTGTCTAACGTAGTGTCAAACTGACAGTTCTATGTTGTTGCCATATGAAAACGGAAAAATAGGTGGTGTCACGTTTCGCTTGCCAAACTCTAGTAATGTTGAAAAATAAATGGAGGACTATGTATTTTATGTACTATAGGCATATTTACCTTTTGTATTGTCTATTCGTGGAATTTATTCGATTTTTAATAATTGAATAATTTGGCATCTGCCCGTGGAAACAAGAAAAACTATTTTTATATAGTACAAATATACTAAGGATGATCAAGATAAAAATGTAACTTATTTTCAATAACCAAATAATGACAATGAATATTTTCCTATGAAATTGCATCATATAACGAAATCCCAAAAATAGCTAATGTCCAAATTCACTATGAAATCATGTAGGTTATAAAAATAACATAACAATAACAAGGGACCAAGTAAATACAACGCAGTTGTACATCTGTTCTTTTAACAATTGGTCATTTACTTACCTAGCTTCCAGTGATGGTTAAATTTTTTGACAAATGGTTGTAATTCTGACAATTGGTCAGGCTAACTATTAATCAAAAAACATATTTTTCTGATATTTAACCATTTGTCAAAGATTTTAACAAATGGTTGAGTTAACCACGGATCAAAAAACTGGCCCTAACAAGTTTGTATGAAAGTTCAGACGACCGGATTAGGGGGTAAATATGAAATCTATTTGTTACGTTGTTATGTCTGATCAAAAAAATACAATTTGACGTTTGTATGTTTGTCTTCTTTGCGCTTCTTAACAATTTAGCTGATGAACCTTTAATGATATTGATATTAGCCCAATAAAGAGACAAAATAATTTAGATTTTTCGATTACTCAGCTAGTATTAGGTAGGTGGTGTATGTTCTAGACATTTAGTACCGACGTTTTGAAAATTTAAAAAATAGACGCTGTTCTGTTTGTTAGTGCCTGTATCAGTAATTCCAGTACTTTAAGATTCTCCTCTAGTACAAGCGGTAAATCTTACATTATTTAATCGCGAACCGTTTATGTTTACACTGATACTAATTTTAATTACATTGTAAAATTTTCTAATATTTTTATATGGACATTTTAACTCC